GGGGGAAGAGAGAGATATGGAGGAAAGGAGGGAGGGAGGAGAAGCTGAGAAGAGAGAAAAGCAGCGTCGATGAACAAAGGATGGATCGTCTACGTAGGATAGCTGCCCGGTTCGCAGATCCGATAATTGTTCCTGCCTGTATCAGGGGTAGAAGTGGTCCAGGTCTCCGTAATCCATCAAGACAAGATGGGGCTGAGCCGGCGGACGGGAGGGGACCAGTGAAAAGAAATTGCGAGCTAGATGCACATTGCGCCGGTCACACTCGAAGACCATGGCACCGAGATAGCTGTCTGCCCTAGTCGAATGGCGCGGTCTGAAGTGCTTATACGGATTACAGGGACCCCCTCCTCGTGGCCATTGTGGAATCGCAGCGGCCAGTGCCCAGCACACAATTGAAGCTGCTGCGCTGACTGGTGATTGTGTCGAACGTGCAGCAGAGCAAAGCCCTAACGTCCTCAAAAACCCACTATGCATAAACCTAGAATCCCGAGTCCACCTGACAGCGAGGGCGTCGAAATTGGATCTGCACGACGTGCAGTTGAGCTAGTACCGCCATCATGCCAATATTAGCAAAAGATCCAGACCTGACGTTATTTACCAGGCACGTACGGTAACCATAGGCCAGACGACAGCGGAGTGGGTCGGGGTCGAGGAGGTACAGAGTTCATGGGACGAGGAGTTGACGGCTTAGGGCCATGGACCAACCGAATGCGCGCGCCAGTCAGAAGCCGAGTATTCACGCGCAATGGAGCACACGAACACCTATAAAATTAGCGCGGAGAAGATGAACGTGCCCTTGCACCTATCGGGTAGTTGATCGTCCACCGACAGCGAACCACGACCCGGTCACTAAGCGGGAAGGCCTCGTTCGAGCCGAGCACCAGCATATCCCGGGCGTGTACTATGGGAAAAACCGCCCCATTCGCCGTATCGATTGACAGGGGCAGGTCATGCTAGATGCCCGACCCTGGGCCGCTATTGGAAGCCCAGCACTAACGGAGGAATGTGACAGTGCCGTTTTGACACGAAGACGTTGGATCCTTTTTGCTTTTGTGACAGGAACATTTTTTTTTTTTTTTAGCTGTTCCACTCTCGGCGTCCTCGTCACACTTGCCCCTCTTTTTGATTTTTGTCTCTCGCTGGAAAGTGGAAGCCGCAGGGGCTCACCACGAGCAAGCTGGGAAGTTTAAATGACTATGAACCATGCATCGGAGATGGAATCATCCTCTTAGATTGAGGGGAATGGAGCAAGATCGAGCATCTCAGGGGCTGAAACGCCGAAGCGCGATAGCTCCATGCTTGCTTGGGAAATCAAAAGATGCGATCATGGCGGAAAAGACTGGAGACTGGTGGGATGGAGACTTTTGGAGATGGAGAATAAGAATCTTGTTAAGAAAGAGAGCCATTCCAAGGCCAACAAAACAAGGCCGCGCAAAAACTGGTCAGGGGACTGGAGCCAATCACGGGGACACACGCCAGATGAGACCATTCCTCGCTGGGAATTGTCCCCGGCGGCCGGAAGTTGAAGCTGCCAACTGCTTCCCGATGAGCTCTTATGTTAGTTATGCCAATGGAGGAGAACCAGAGTAACCAATTCTATGGCCATTGTGAACTGAGACCTCGTTCAATAGTGGAAAACTGATCCAGAGGCATTTCATCCATGACTCCTTCTCCTTTAGGCTCGGATTTGAGTACCCCGGCACAATCAAAACAAGGTATCCATAATGCATATTGCCAGTCTCCCTACATACGTATTCACACCTCTCAAACCTCATCTACTGCATACCCTGCATATCATTATTTATTATCTTACTCCCGACAGCTCCACTCAGCCTTAGACTAGCATTGATATCAGACGGAGATATGATTCCAACTAGAACTAGACAGGCAGACGCGCAAAAAATCTGACCTATCTGGACCGTCCCTAATATCGAGAAGATAAAAAAAAAGTGGTCCTTACAACTGCGCCTAAATGATGCTTAATACGGACGACTAACCTACTCTAGCTGTCGGCTCCGATCACACAAATGTGATTGATGGACGCTAGCGCATTGAGATTGATTATCATCCACGCTTCACTTCCCCCTCAATTGATCGACTAATTTAGTACAAGGGCCCTGTTCCTGATGTCGGTGGTTGTGTAGTTTGTATACCCAGGATCGTATGATCATACGATGCGCTATTATATGTACGTGCTTCGAGGTTGTGGGGGAAGACAATTAGCATTGTAAGAGGCTTTGTGGGCTTGCTTCAATCTGCGTGTGGCGTATTAATTGCACTATATAGCGATTCCTTGAGGCCAGGTAGATGGAATTCATGTTGTTCACGCCTATGATTATGATTACTATATCCGGCCTCCTTTCTGTATGCATCCGCAGTCCACTGGAGAACCCAGGATGCTACTCACCAAAATGGTACATACACCCTCTACTTCTTATACATGATGAGTAGTAGCATACCTAGCCAGGTTCAATTCTTCCTCCCTGTCAGTTGCGTATAAAACGGGAATTATTGAGGTAAATATATATCTCACTGGTTGTCAATCAACACATTCTGCAGGACAGCTATGGGAAGAATTAGAGATCACTATAATACTATGGCCCATTGCCATGCTTCTGAGATTCTCGAGGGTAAATTAGGCCGGTCATAACTCCGCGAACCGTGAGACCTCCAACATGCATGAGATTACGCTTAGCCTTCAAGTACAAGGAAAGTCATGTACGATTGCCCGAGCTTGCAACAATCTCAGTCTACGCCTCGCGCTTAGATGTAGAGAACCGACATATGACGAGAAACTCTTCATTCAACTAAGGGCGCATGAAAACCAATCTCATCTTAAAAACAGAGAAAGGCCTGAAATACTATAATAAATATAAAAGCCCGATTTCCGTCCACATTCATTTCAACTGTCTCTCCTAAGTAAGAAATACTTAGTAAGGAGCCGGCCTCATCCTCACAAACTAAATTCCAATACCGACTCTCTGAGCTCCCATATAGTAGTGAGCAAGCAAGTAAAGAACAGTGAATCATCACTCTTCCTTCTTTACCATCTTCGCGGTCGGCTTAAAAGCAAGAGGACCACCGGTATGCATGTAAGGAGGATACACAGGCAAGTCCCGGAAACTGGGATCGATGATGGTCTCGGCCTCAGAGTCATCATCATCTGCCATCTTGCGCTTGGTGGGAGACTTGTTAAGAAGAGCAGCAATGCTGACGACTCCAGCAGATGTGCCGACCACGGGGCTGTTTGGCTCAACACTGCTTTCTTTGTCGGTAGCAGTAATCATGTCCAAACTCTGCTTCTTGGCTGGGGTGGAAGCAGAAGTGGTGCTGAGGTCAAATTTGCCATCTTTGATAACGACGTCCATGTTCTTCTTCAGACGGTGGTAACGCATGCGGGCGGCCCCAAGCTTGAGGTTGGTGGCCTCCCCGAGGGCTTTCCAGTCAATCTGACGGGGCATATTAGTGCGGAAGAGAGGGTGAGCATTGGGTAGAAGAGATACTTACGGTGGTGAGATCTGAATTCAGGATGCACATGTAGAGGAACACGAGACCATCGTTAGGATGAGTCTTAGGCATTTTTACGGTTGATTAAGAGCGGTGGAGGATGAGGTAGTTGAAGTTTTGATAGAGAGAGAAGGCAGTATGATTTGACTTGGCAAACGCCTTATCTGGTCTGGTTAGGAAGGGTTGTAGGAGAAGGTTGGGTGAGAACGAGAAGGAGAGCGAGTAGAGAAGAAGAAGATATAGAAGAAGATATAGATGACCACAACACGAAGAGATGAAGGGACGTGATTCCCTCAGCAAATGATTCACCTGATGATGACATCGTCGCCGTGGAATCATTATGGAATCACCGTGGATTGCAGTTCGTAAGAATAACCAGACTGCACGAGTAGATACGAAGCCCTAAGAGGATGGAGGAAACGGAAGCACGTAGGGAGCGCATGGCATTAGGTGCTAAACAGTGAAGGATATATGATATTGAACAACGCCACATGTGCACAAATGGAATCACGATTACACCAGGTTTGCCCCTGTCGGTAAACCAGCAAACCTCTCAGCAGACTCCTTCACAGCTTCTGCCAGAACAGTGTGGGCACCTCGAGCTGCATTCACTGCCCCATCAATGAGAGATTCGTGGGTCAGACTCTGATCAGTAGTGCCTAATGATGCCTTTGAATGATCGCCCTTGAGCCACAACTCCGTAATCTCATCTCTAGAGGGCATGTAGGCAACGACACAGGCAGACAGAATAGACTTGTGCTCAGCTGGGTCCGTATCGAGCATCAGCTTAGGGGTAGACGATTCACCCTCTGCTGGTTCGTCGGAGACGATGGCAGCCACACCACCAGCTACAAGGTCAAGACAGTCAATTCGAGCATCAGCAATTGCTGCAGACGCAGCGGTAATGCATCCAGCCAATACATTCATCATTCCCCAAGGAGCATCATGCGAATCGGGTGCGTCGCCCCACCAGCGGTCATCTTCTGCTTCCAGGATGGTGATTGTGATATCGAGGCCACTCTTGGGCCAGCGCTCAGCAACAATGACGCCTCTAAGCGCCGTCTCTAAATGCACACCCAGGTCCCGTTCGCTAGCATCGCGGATATGCCCCTTCCTCTGGCGGGCAGCAAACGGCGCATACTTGACGTGTGTCGTAAGGACGACGTTAGGCGAAAAGCTAGCCGAGCGTGGCAGGGGCTTGGGGCCATGAACTGTACAGGCAAGCTTCAATGCAGAGGACGGAGGAATCAGGGATTGGGGGTTTGAGCGTGCAGCAGCAAGTGATGCGGAGGGTTCGAATTCAAGATAGGAAGAACCAGATGCCGAAGGGATGAGACCTGTCTTCAGAACTGGAGAGAGAGTGTATTAGCCATGGTAGCATACAAGAAGAGTTGCAGTTATTCTTACAGATCTTGCGAAGCTCATCCGGCTGCCTTTGACGTCGTGGTCTGCCGGTAGAAATGCTAGAAGCGGACTTGAGAGAGGAGGCGAAAACGGCCGGCCTCGTGCCGCTAGGCGGCCCATTGATTCTTCGTCTGTCAGTCATTACACATGACTTGGCATCCTCATACCAGCGCGACAAGCGATTGAGGAAGCGAGACAAGGATTTGGGTCAGAAATTTGGATGGTCAAGCAGAGCTGCTGTCGATGTCCAGAAGCGGTCATCTACAATTTTGAGGGAAGTTTGCATGGTTTGCAAGGCGGGCAGCGCGGAATTCGGCGCTTTCTTTTTCCTCGTCCACTTTTCCTTTTCTTCGCTTCAACTCGCGCTTTTCCTTTCTCTTCTTCTCCCGCACCACACAAGCTTGATTTGTTTGCGAAAAGCAACACGTCTTTTATGTTGAGACTTAAATTACTTCACATTTGCCTTCATTGGCAACTTGTCACTAACTAGTATAACGTGAGTCTATTCCACTTCTTTACTTCCCTACTATCATTGCTTGATGAACAAGATCCAAAAATCTTTCAGTTCTGGCGACAAACAAATGGGCCTTGAACAAACATGCATCACCATCTGATAATGCACCTACAATTGCCTTGTGTTTTCTCTTCCATGCTTGGTTGAGTAGCTTTGCTGACATTGCTATAAGATTATAGGATATTAGCTAGAGCTACTTCACCTCAAACCCGCCGTTGTAAACTAATTGGTATGCCACACTCTCCCCTTACCCACAATCTTTCCGGGGCTCTACCCTGGAATATCATCCAATGATGAGAAACATTTTTTTCAGTTCTGCTTCTGCAAAAACCTTGAAGAAAACAAAATACCTTACCAAAAACTCCTGATCCAATTGGACAACTTCCACTACTTGCTCCACTCATTGCTTTCGTCAAGAATCTTACTGACAGCTCTCAAGAATTCTCTAGGGTACTGTATGTAAAATCATAGGTGCCATTAGCGCGCCGAGCTGCATTATCCTGGACTATCAGAAGAGGTATGATCATAATTTTCGATCACTACAACCTTAAACACAACAACCCACACGTCGATGATGACAACAAGTCAATCCATTCAATGATCTCCTTTTGGAGAACCGCCCCTCGGGCCTGCATCATCCAACAATGTCATGCATATGACTTCAACGATCTACTTATCCATCTCCCTTATACTGGACCTTACGCTCGCTTCTTCCCTCGGGAGGACGGCAGGCGTTCAAGGGAGGAAGGTTGTGGAGTCCTGGAGAGGCAGGCTACATCGTTGTTGTCCGCATTGTCGGCGTCGGCTTGTTTGTTGTGCCTGACTTGTGTCAGGGCCTTTTCCCCGCCTCGTCGTTCGTTTTGGATGGCTTGACGGGGGATCGGAACTGGCAGGGGATGGGATGAATTACCCGGCTTGGCTGATCCTTCCATATACTCTATTCTCTTGAATGGAGTCCATGCCCTATATCTCAGAAACACATTCTCGTGGATCGTGAGCTGACTTTCTCGTCTGCCTGCAGACTTCGAATCTCGTCTTGTCCGCCGTCTTATCATAGCTAGTAATATTAATGTCATTTCCTATTTCGATGCCAATTTCTGTTTTGCATATACACACCCGTAACTCTAGCCTTCGTAAAGCTAAACTAAAAGCAACGAAGGACCAGAATAGCCATATGTATGGGGAAGTTTTTATTTACACTTGTTTATCATTCGTAGAACCATCTCTGACTTTGTCTGGAGCACCATGCAACTAAACAACTGGTCTCCTGTAGTACACCTGCCGATCGAGAGTTGATCCGTGAAAGAGAAAATGGGACAAATAAACAGACAAAGTCGCAAAAACGCATCATTCATTCACTCTCCAATTAGTAAGGAGAGTCCTCACGCCTCGTCCTTCTCATGCGCCTCAGTAGGTGTTGTAGCACCATCTCTGGTCATGCTATAAGGAGCCTATTACAAACATAACCTATTAGCCCTTCGCCTTGCAGAAAAGGTACGATACTTACCAAGACCCGCTTCGCATTACAGATTCTCCAAGCGAGGTTTCGAACAGTCCCGTCAGCTCGGACAACTTCAGGAGCGAATTCAATACCGAACCTAGATAGGATATACATTAGCATGCAAATGATCGGCAATTAACGCCAACGAGGATGTAGTGAACTTACATCTGATGCACAGCAAAGACGACCCTTTTAGCGAATTTGCCGTCACGCTCCACGAGGCTACCGAACTGCTCTTCCACGGTTTCGGGAGCGATTTCCGGGTCTCGGTCGAAGCAGTTTCGGACAACAGGGAGGAGGCTCTTTTCAACGGATGCCTGGTTATCTTCGAAGGACTCTTCGTCGAAGCGCCGGATACGGATCTCGAAAGGTCGAGAAATCGCCATGACATTATGTTTGCCATTGTGGTGATAACGGAATTCGAAGACACCCTGGGTCCAGAAAAGCTTGTCACCTGAGAAGATGACTTCGCCGGTGGCGACGTCGCGATGCTCGCTGTTTTGGGTGACAATGTCACTGGTTACGATGCCCTTCTCGCAGGTGAGGTTGTCGTAGAAACCCTCATTCGTTGCGACCCATCTTCCTTGTGAGGAGACGCGAGAGACTTCACGCGAGGTGTTGTCCGTGACTCGGTACAGACTCACCCAGTCCTTCTTGCTGTGGTTGAGAGGAGCGGTCCATTTGACTTTGATGGGAGAACCGTATTCAAAGACCAGGTTCTTCAAGTCGCCTCGTCTGTCGAGGGGCACGCGAGCATTGGCACCTTCTCTACCAGTACTCTTGTCGCACTCCTCGAGAGAGGATGAATCCGTGCCTTCGATTTCCAGGGCATAGTCCCGGGAGTCCAAGCCCGCGAGGTCCTCATCAATGCGGGTGATGGTCACACGCGCGGGATACTTCTGGAATAGCGCCGTGGTATCCTTGACGAAAGTATTGACGCCAGCAGCTAGCTTTGGGCGAGCGGTGTCAATAAGCTCCTCGATAAACTCGAAAGAATCATCGAAGATCTTGTCCACGCTTCCATGAAGCTGACGGAGAGTGGGGGGCAGGGTCCGCTTCAGGCTCTTGACCAGCCCCGCATCCTGTCGCAGGCTTCGGCCATACAGCTTCTGCATGTGCGGACGCTCCACGAATTGGATGAAAGCCAGACTTAGAATGTGGCTCAAAAGGGCCAGGAATGTAATTGCGCCACTACTTGTGATCAAGACGGCGCCCCAGACGCCGGCCAGACCCAGTACCCGCTCGGGATTGTTCAGGAAGCGATAAATACCGTTATACGTTAACTTATGAGCCCCTTCAAAGAAGAAGTCCCCATAGAACCAGCCAAACTCTCCGAGAGACTCGTAGATGCTGGCGGAAGTCCAGATTTGCAAGCTAATGAGCCCTGCGCCCAGAACATGGCGGAGCAAGACCAGACCGTAGCCCCAGTCAGCGGGCAGCGTGTACATTTTCCATACGGCAGCAATGAAACTAGCATAGCACATGATCATACTCAGATGATAAGTGCCTTTCCACTGGTTCCAGGCCTCATTAGGTGTTTCGCCATACTTAAGAAAATGACGGGTCCACGCTTTACAGTCGGATTGCTCGGTCAAAAGGTATCCGATGCCCACCGAAAACACCAGTCTCCATACCGCGGCATTGGCCACGAAGAGGAATTGGTATCGGGGCGTCGAGGGCGTCAAAACGGTCAGTGCAAATACGAGTAGTTGGATCAGGATTGACGATGTATCCGTTATCCGATACAGATCCAAGTTGTTGAAACCCAGTAGATTGTGAACTGAAGGAGGTGGGCCGCTTGGGGGTGTTGTCGCTTGGGGCAGTGGCTCATCGGTTGAAGCTGAGGCAACGGAAGGCTCAGTGGCCTGAGATGATGTAGATACAGAGTCTTGTTCGGTCATACGCTTCCGCGGAGGAGGGGGGTTGTACGTCTTGTCGATGTGCGGGTTTTCGACAAACACCAGAAAGGCGAATTGAGCTGCATGGGCGATTATGGAGATGAAGAGCACTTTGTAGCTGGCTGCCATCAAAGAAATACCGTAGTACCCGGCGTACCCGACCGAATACATGGGGTGAGGGGCCATTTCGAAGACACCATCGAACGTCAACTCTTGGTCGATGAGGTAGAAGAAATCTCCCCAGTACCAGGCATAGTCTTTGACCACGCGGTGTGCGTCTAGTTTAACCCAAAGGTTGAACAATACGAGCACAATGCCGGCTGACCAACGCGAGACTGTCATCAGCATGCTCTCACCCACAGGATGGTGGCTACATGCTATAGCAAAGAGACAATATGACGTGAAGTCGCACATCAAGATCAAGTCCACCAGGCGTCTAAAGACAAGCCAGGTGTTGTACTCAATCGGAGCTTCTTCAAAGGAATAGTCTGTAGGGATCTTAGTCTCCAATTCCCGCTTGAGCAAGTTATACAACTTAGGGTGTGGATTCTGGTTAGTAGACGGGTTCACAAAGATCCTTGTCTTTTCCGCCCAGCGCACAAGGGTCTTGTGATGGGACTGGTTATGCAAAAGCCATCCTATTCCGGCATTGTAAGCTGCACGCCAGAAGAGGTAGATGACCGCAAACACAGGAATTTTGGCAAAGTCCGGTAGCCGCCACAACAAAAGGATGTGTGCTCCCAGAATAGCCAGAACTATCACATCGGACAAATTCTTAGGTTCCGAGGGCGACAGGAGTTGAGAGACCATGTCGTGGGTTTGGGGCACCGTGAACACTATGTAGCAATCAAGTGAGTTAGCCGCCAAGTTCCGCCACTAGAACAATAGAAGGAAGTCCGCCATTGTCGAATGATAATAGAGGCTCTGATATCAACCAGGTTCAACGCATAACTCAATGGATGGTATGCCTACCTGTACCATCAGGGGTCCTGCCAAAAGTTTTCTTGTTCTGGCTTGTACCATCCTTGGCTTCGACCTCACCAGCAGCAGTGAGTGCCCCAGCGCCCAGGGATGAATCGGACTGAGAGGCCTGAAACCTCTCGCGAAGCCCATCATCCCCGATATGAGTGCCTGTTGAGAGGCCTCGATCCATAATTGTTTAGCGAGAAGTGGTTAGGGGAAAGGAATGAAAAAAAGCGCACAGTCGAGAGAAAAGCATGTGACAGAGGTGCTGGGGGCAGGCTGTATTTAAAGCGTCAGGGTAACTATGATTGGTCCGTGCTGCTCAAATCTGAGTCACCAAGCCGCATTGGGGAATCCCTCGAGTTCGCTGGGAATGAGTGATGTTCAAGAGGTGAAGCGTACACAGCACACAACCAAGTCTAAATGCTAATGGTTGAGTGTACCAGCAAAGGGGAAAGCCTGAGGTCCGTCCACGTATTTATTCTGCAAAAGCGTTGGGGTGAGGACTAGCGAGCAATATGAGACAGCAGCGACATCTCCTCCCCCAAGTGCCCACTTTTGTCGGTTAGCACAGCTCAAGAGTGGACCCCCGTGCACTGCCTGGGGAAAGACCCGGACTCTCAAGCAGTCCAACTGACGCCAGACGTGACGCTCGCCCGGCACGCTTTTCTGGGAAGAATGGGCTGGAATTGAACAGAAGTAATGGATCTCAACATCCAGGGTCCGACGGCCTTCCCACTTTTACCCACCGCAGATTGGATCGCTGCGCACTACCAGATTCTGGTCCTTGGTACACAGTTCGGAATAAAGGGTAAACCTCTCTTCCATAACCAAGATATCGTCGATCACGAACATATGCGGAATTCCGCATCATTCCAGTCTGCACCTGCTGGCTGCTGGCCCGTTAATGATGCAGCCACACCCTAGGAACTGGCTTTCGGGAAGCACCTCCCTCACTCCAGGCATTCCGGGCCATCTCATTCACCCTCGTATTGGACATGAATTTCTACTGGCGGCAACTGCGCCTTTTCATTGATCACAGACCCATTCGATATTGAATCAATTGTTTCCTTCCATCAGTAGAATATCATGGACGTCCAGGATGGTGTGTACCTTGATTGAAACCAAGTTCGATGCAACTAAACCTGTACCTGGAGGCGCATGCGGACAATGAGCACTCCCTATGGCTAACGAACCCACTCCAAACGACATTGGCTCCACGAGAGACGCATCTCTTCCCCTCATCTTGGTAGGATTTTGCAGTACTACCGTCTTCTGACTATCCAAGGATAGGAACTGATTGACAGGACTACGCGAGGTGTTTATTTCAACGCACATATGGTGACATTCTGACCCGCATAGAAAGTTACCCGCTTAGTAGTAGGATACTGTGGTTGTTTCTTATACTGTCCTACCCAACCACGCATTCTTCATGTAGGCAATGGGGTTTGAGGATGTTCTTACCCATACGTGAGAATGTTGTCCTTGTCTAATAGGGGCAACATGATATCATTGCGCAACCAGATTGTGGGCGTTGTGTGACTCCGTTAAAGTTCTGACACTGCATGAATTTTCCGCGTTACCCCTCCCGACAACATATTGAGACCAGGTTGCCCCTCTTGTGTCGGCCTGCCTGGTTGGCATCCCTTTCCGAGTCTATGAATCGGCGAACTTGCTACAATATTAGAGGCATTGGGGACAGCATTCGTCGGGTATCTGAAGAGTAGTTACGGACAGCATTATTTGTCAATCTCGACAAGCATCGAGTGAGGGTTATAGTCTACTGCATATACAATGGCCCTTCCTAGCAGGTAGTGTCTGTGAACTAGCAGTATGGGAGAGTGTTGCTTCGAGTCCAGAGGATTCATAGCATCCACGCTCACTAGAATCACTGTATTGGTTTCAAAAGTGCATTAAACTACTTAACAATGCGATAGGATAAATTTTCCATACACAGCTTAGATCTAAGATTATGTGCAGAGCTTGTTTGCTTTGAGATTTGTTCCTGGCATGGGTAGCAATGGATCTTATCGCCGCTCTCTCCGACACCGCTGCGACCGAAACGAACCCCGCGCCAATCGCCACTGCAGCGTTTGTCATGTGTTGCTTATCAAGCATCCCGCCCGCGGTCACGCCGCCACTTTTCTCGTAAGACAGCATTCAGCTTTTATCATACATAACGACATCTTTTGGGTGGTTGAATGTTCAGTATCTGCCGTGTTCTCGCCAATAGCAAAAGAGACCATACAGAAGTGACTGAAAATCCAGATGGCACCTTCTCTGGAGGAGCCGACCGCTGCCTACCTTGAGGCGCGGTCGAAGATGGCCCCGAATCTGGTGGCTCCTGAGCCAGGTATGTCCGATATGAAGCCGGGATATTTGCTTAGGATATGATTAGTGTACTAATCTCTGAGAAGAACATTGTCCTGGACCTGAGTCCGAACAAGCAGGCAAAGGCGATGCCTGTGCAGGGTGTCCCAATCAATCGATCTGCGCATCTGCCCCCAAAGGTCCTGACCCCGATATCCCCATCATCACCGAACGGCTATCGCAAATACGACACAAAATCCTTGTACTCTCTGGCAAAGGCGGTGTCGGAAAATCCACTTTCACCTCCTTACTCTCCCACGCATTCGCCGCAAATCCTGAATCGACTGTGGGTGTAATGGATACCGATATCTGCGGGCCGTCGATACCGAAAATGATGGGCGTCGAGGCGGAGACCATCCACGTGAGCAATGCAGGCTGGAGTCCGGTGTGGGTTACGGATAATTTAGCCACGATGAGCGTGCAATTCATGCTGCCCAATCGGGATGATGCGGTGATCTGGAGAGGGCCGAAGAAGAACGGACTCATTAAACAATTTTTGAAGGATGTGGATTGGGGCGAGATGGATTACTTGGTCATTGATACACCCCCGGGGACATCGGACGAGCATCTGTCCGTCAACTCTCTGCTCAAGGAGTCCGGTGTGGATGGCGCAGTAGTTGTCACTACCCCGCAGGAGGTCTCGTTGCTCGACGTCAGGAAGGAAATAGACTTTTGCCGCAAGGCAGGCATTCGCATCCTGGGGCTAGTCGAGAACATGTCTGGCTTTGTGTGCCAATCGTGCAACACTGAGACCCAGATCTTCCGGGCTACCACCGGGGGCGGAAAGCGACTCGCCAAGAAGATGGGCATTCCTTTCCTGGGCGCTGTGCCTCTTGACCCGCGGGTAGGCATGGCATGTGACTATGGTGAGAGCTTCGTGGATCATTATCCCGACAGCCCAGCATCGATTGCGATCAAGCAAGTTGTCCGCTCGGTTGCTGGGATGATTGGAGAGGATCCCAACGACGTGCTGCCGGAGGATGCGGCAGAGTGATGTTTATCTCATATATATGATGTTTGATCTGATTTCACGGGCGTTCAGCATTGGGATAGCAAGCCGAGGTTTCTTTCAATTCGTGGGTGTTCCGGGCATTTTCGACTAAGAAGTCATTTAGATACCAAATCTTCAAAATCTTTCTCTGTTTCCCGCTCAACCTTTTTCTAAAGGCTTCTCCTTTTTCCTACTATTTTTGTACCCCAAGGCACTCTTCGTAGTCTTCGCTTACACCATTGGGGGCGAGATACACCTAGCTTGGGGGCTGCGCGGGGGAGAAAGAACCCGTGTTCACGGATGGTAGTAGGAGTAGTTCGCGTGTTTACTCCAAATAAATAGCAGTTAATAACCAACTACCGACTTACGTTATTAGTGCTCACTAAGCCCTAGACTAAAGCGAAGGAGTTGCTGCTGTCGATCCTATAGATAGCATCGAGATACAACATGAAGTGTACTATGTAACATGATAATGAAGTTACTACCCACTTCATCAGTCATATTTTACTTCCTAGACAGCTTGGCGACAAGAAAAAGTGCCGGACCGCCCGCCAAGTGGAAAGAAAGGGCCTGAAATGTACTTGGCAGATTGCAAGTTGAATCCCCGCCGGGCCATCCATCGGACCATTTTCATCTCACCGTTTGCTTGGCTCTGTTTGAGGGAGACGGAAATCCGCTGGTGAAGATCCGCAACGGGGGTGGCCCGAGGTTGAACAAATTCAGGGTGCTGCTGCTTGCTGGTCTTGTCCCGCGAGCCACAACGAATACTGATTACTGATTGGGTCTTGGGGGGTGCTTTTGATGCTGCCGAGAAAGATAAGTAGCATTTCTAAACATGTGGGATTATTGCTGCTACTACCTAGATGGGTTGAAGATCAACCTTTCCCCCGGAGTAGCCGATTAGATAGATAGTACGGAGTAGTCAGTGTCATGCAGTTAACGGGTTAACCAAGAAACTAAACGCTGGGCAAACAAAAAGTCTATCACCCAACTGTGTTGACGGACATCTATTCGTCCAATTCTTGAGGTTTCCTTTGGGCAATGATGAACACTACCCAAAAAACTCGACTGCCTACGTACGCGGCTTTCCAGGGCTGAGTAAGAATCCTGTTTGTTCAGATCGATCTATTGTGTACGTGTGCACGATGCGAAATGTTTAGCCACGCATGCAGGACTCGTCCATTGACGTACTCGGGATTCGGATGCTTATGTGGACTGGAGCCATGCCGATGCAGCGTACCTTGTGCACTGTTGTTGTTGTTGCTGCTGCTGCCTGAATATTAATGCCGAGTGGCTCAATGGCAGGGCCAGAGGGTGGGGGGAAAAGCCGGCGTCCCAGGCTGGACTTTGTAACACGCCTAACTCGAAGTTTATCCACGGAACCGCTTTCGAGGCACGCTGGTGTTTCATGATATTCCTGTGGTGATTGGCCGGTGACCCCTGGCCCTGGCGGTTAGGCTGTTTCATAATGGAAGGAGCCACTCAGGGACTCGCTCGCCCCGGTCGCTGTCAAGGTAAAAGGCCAGTCGCCCTGTCAAAGGCAGGTTACTCATGTCCCATGCGCTCACTACTACTGCTACTGCTGTGAACAGAAGAAAATATAGAGTTTTCTGCAGCAGCACAAGCGGAAGATCCAAGGTTGAACTTGAACCCACTTTCTTCTCTTCCCCCTCCCCTCCCATCCCCGCCGGTGTCAGGCAAACGAAAATGGGTTTCCCCTGGGTTTCTCCCGTGAGTCCAGGCTAACTGGGCCTGGATCATCCAGGATTGGTTGATGATTCCACCGCTGGGCTTTTGGGACCAGACTGGTCCAGCTAGTTGGAACAATGCCACCCCTCCAGCCTCCGTGCTGGGTGGATCGATGTAGAGTGCGAAAGTCTTGGTGTCTTGGGCGAATCAACTATAGTAGGCCTGCTAAAAGTCGCTCGACGGTGAATAATGCCTCGCCGAACTTTTTCCTTTTCGACTTGCTGCCCTTTTATAGACTGCACTTCTTTCCCCTTTTTGTTTACATTTCTCTTCTAGTTTGTTAACCTTAGTGTTCTTTCATTTCTCGTTCCGCTGTCACTTTCTTTCTCATCTGCTGGGCTTTGTTGGGCTGAGCGCTACTACTTTCTCTCTCTTGGTCTGTTCGTTGCTCCGCCAGTTGGTTCACTCAGCCTCGTAACATCAGTATACCAGGCTAAGTCAGGACTTTGGCCCCCATACTGCTTCCCCTTTTTTTATAAAACTCAATCCTTCTGGAAAGGATTCTATTTCTCAATTCTCAGACTACTTAATACGTTCTTTGTTTTCGAATTGTTTTGTTTCTGAAACTTGTCGGGCCCTATCCCCTCTTTTTTATAGTCCGCCCGTCGACATCTTATCCAGAGTGAGCCCACCATGCAGCTCCTCCAGTCCCTCATTGTTGCCATTTGCTTCAGCTACGGCGTCCTCTCCTTACCCCATGGCCCGTCAAACCAGCACAAAGCACGTTCCTTCAAGGTTGAACGGGTCCGTCGTGGAACCGGTGCTCTGCATGGGCCCGCTGCTCTCCGCAAAGCATACCGGAAGTATGGAATAGCTCCCAGCAGTTTCAACATCGATCTGGCAGACTTTAAACCCATTACGACGACCCATGCTGCTGCTGGAAGCGAGATTGCAGAGCCTGATCAGACTGGCGCTGTCAGTGCTACTTCAGTCGAGAACGATGCCGAATTCGTTTCGCCTGTTCTTATTGGCGGCCAGAAGATCGTCATGACATTTGACACTGGTTCTTCTGACTTGTAAGTCTTGGATGCAGCTGTTTACTCTTTGGTACAGTGATTAACGTCGATCTACAGTTGGGTGTTCGATACGAATCTCAATGAAACGTTGACGGGACACACGGAGTACAACCCTTCGAACTCCTCGACCTTCAAGAAGATGGACGGATACACCTTCGATGTCTCGTATGGTGACGACTCGTACGCCTCTGGCCCCGTCGGAACGGATACCGTCAACATTGGCGGCGCCATTGTCAAGGAGCAAGCCTTCGGTGTCCCCGACCAGGTATCCCAGTCGTTCATCGAGGACACGAACTCCAACGGCCTGGTCGGGTTGGGCTTTTCCTCCATCAACACCATCAAACCGGAGGCGCAAGACACCTTCTTCGCCAATGTCGCACCAAGTCTGGACGAGCCCGTCATGACCGCCTCTCTCAAGGCTGACGGAGTGGGCGAGTACGAGTTCGGCACGATCGACAAGGACAAGTACCAGGGCAACATTGCCAACATCAGCGTGGACTCATCGAACGGATACTGGCAGTTCTCCACTCCCAAGTACTCCGTGGCAGACGGAGAGCTGAAGGACATTGGAAGCGTGAACACCTCGATCGCGGACACCGGTACCTCCCTTATGCTGCTGGATGAAGACGTGGTTACTGCCTACTATGCGCAAGTTCCCAACTCGGTCTACGTGAGCAGTGCCGGTGGTTACATCTACCCCTGCAACACCACTCTTCCCAGCTTCTCGCTTGTCCTCGGCGAGTCGAGCCTGGCCACGATCCCCGGTAACCTGATCAATTTCTCCAAGGTCGGCACCAACACCACCACCGGACAGGCCTGTAAGTTGCTCCCCTTCTTTTGCATGATTGAACATGATTGACTGATTGTGCTGGTTAGTGTGCTTTGGCGGCATTCAATCCAACGGAAACACCTCGCTGCAGATTCTGGGCGATATTTTCCTGAAGGCCTTTTTCGTTGTCTTCGACATGCGCGGCCCCTCGCTTGGTGTTGCCTCTCCCAAGAACTAGTTTCCTTTTCCTGTACTTTTCCCCCGCGTGTAATAATATCGGCTGATTTTTTGGACTGTCTCCTACGTGGGCAAGATGGATGGATAGTTTGCTCACGTGCATTGCTTTGCCTTGGGTCTGTGAGTCAAGGCAGGAGTGCGTGGCTGTATCTACAATACAAGTTACAGTGCCGACCGTTATTGCCTTCCACATCGAAAATCATAGACACTCTTTCAAAACCCTAATCACATGATACAAGCATATACTTCGAGTCCATATTATGGTGGTGTATCAAGGCGCCATGTTTATATCTAATGAAACCAACGTAGGTCTCATCTTCATACGTTGTTTAAAAGGCGCCGAAGAATATACGAAGATAGATATAGTAGCACCCGGAAAGTCTAACGGCTAATCAGCGCCGGTAAACGGTAAACTCCAGGCAAAGGAACACGAGGTAGGCAACTAAGAGAACTACACCTGCACTCCTCCCCAGTCCCAAAAAGATAACAGCACAAAATGCCCCAGAGGACACCCACACGGCCACCAGCTCAAAAAGCACAAAATTATCTGCCTCTTGTACCTGGTACCCCGCCACTGCAACGACACCAACACAGAGCGTCAGCAAGAAAATGTTGCTTCCTGCAGTCGTCGCAGCCATAATGCCGCCGTGGCCGCGGGAGCCACTAATGATTGCAACCAGCTTCTCTGGAAGAGTGGTGGCAAACGAGACAACTGTCAGACCGAAGACAGTTCCCGAGAGGTGCAGGGAGTCGGCGATGGTGACGGCGCCGTGGGAGAGAATATATCCTGACATTGAAAGCGAGATGAACCCGAGAATAAGCTGGAATATGTGGTAGGGCAGGCTTCTGCTTCGTCTGCTTTCTTTGTCAGCCGATGAAGGCGCATGCTCATTCTCAATGAGAGGCGATGTCTCGGAGACAGGTGCCTGATTGACGGATTCCCCGTCCCCGTCCTCGCTATCGCTAGATTCCCCGTCACTATCACTGTCTGATAGCTCTGGGGGCGATGCTACGCCTTTATAGATGGCGTAGATGATAGAGACGATGTAGAGACCAAATATGGCAATCAAGACCCCGCCGATGATCTGGTTCAATTGGTTGAAGAATGCTAACACCACAAAGAGCGTCGTAACCATGAACAGCAGCGCCGAGTATAACTTTGCGCTGCGATCAAACTCCACGCCTTGGGGGTAGAAGAGTAGCCCCAAAGAAAAGGCACCGAGAATGTTGGAGATAGTCGAGCCCGTGACGTTCCCAAGGGCTAGGGGGCTGCGATGCTGCAGGATGGCGGCAATCACCACAGCGAGCTAGTGAAGAGATTAGCCAGGATAGACATTGGATCGGATTGCACTGAATTGCAAAACACCTCTTCCCATTCAGCGCCAGCTGTCAAGAGGGCAATAATAGTTTGCGAGATACCAATGCGCCGCCCGACAATAACGGTGTGGTCGATGAACTTGTCTGCGCCATAGTCAAGGACAAACACCCCTGCAATTAATGTGGCAACGTTGAACCACAAAGCATCCCAATCCATTTTTGTCTCTCAGCCTTTCTAATGTAGGTTGGGTGCAGTGGGAAAATGGAAAGGGCGGGTATAAGATGATGATAATAATTAAGGAGTCGTGAAAATCAAGCTTTTGTCCTGTCCTCGACCGCCTGCTATACTAAATTACTGGTGGTTACAGGTCGGCTAGACAGCAAGTTTAACTCCGTTGACAGTAAATGCCCGCTTGTGGCCTTAGGCATCAAATACTGTCAACTTACTACTTTTAATACCAAATATTAAATCTTACAGTCAACTCAGCTTTCCAGCTAGATTACAGAATTTATTACTATTTTTAACCCTCTTGTATGGAAAGTATACAGATATTGGTATATAATTAAAATACTATTATCTAAGTACATTTATACTTTACAAGGATTTTCTATGTTTGAACGCCTATTTACCTCCTTTAATTTAGAGATTGAGTAAGGATAAACTTCTTGATATACAAAATTACTCATATATTTTTGAAAAGGGTCGATTGTCTATATCTTGCTTATTAATAACTTTGGCAGTCACGTGCAAGGGGTAGGGGTCACACGACGAAGGCAATAACGGGCGGCACTGTACATATTAAAGCAAGATTAATATGCTAAATTGGCAAGGGAATAGAGAGCAAGTACTGAATCAGCTGTCCAGACTGGTGGAGAGAGTGAGTGTCGCCAAGAAATGTACATAAATATCTCGTAGATCGAAAGACCGTCTTCAGCGGTGCTGAGTAAGCCAGCAGCCCTAAACGGTTTTGGGCGATCAGCCCAGAAACGGAGGAGGGACAAAAAAAGAAAAGAAAAGGAAAAATAAACCGTAAAATGAAGCCGGACTGCAGCGAGACCAAGTGCTCCTCAATTGGTCGTTAAACACTACTACTCGACTTGTAGAGAAAACCATCTAATCTAATCCTATTAAACAACCCAGGAAACAAGATCCCTCTCAGCCAGGGATCTTGTGTGAGCAGCGACCAAGGTGACGCTCCTCAAGCCAACGGGGGCTCTTCTGCGGGTCGCCAGCAGAAGAACCCCGCGGTTCGCTCGACCGCTGAATCACCGTGACTGCTTAGGATTCAATCCTGCCCCTCCTCTCTCGTTCACCACCTCGTCGTCCCTCCTCCTCTTCCTCCAGCCTGCCGGTCGCCCATTCGCAAAAATGGCCATCAACTCTGCCCCCGAGTCCTCCCTCCTTTCCCTCCTCTACCGCTCCTACCCTACCGCCATCTCCCCCGACGCCACGGAGCCCGACCTTCACACGGCCACCCCCAAAATCTTTCCGCAGACTAGCTTTTCCGTCGCCGAAGAGGCCGACGTCAAGCAATGGCTGGCCACCATCTCCGGTCTGCAGACCGCTCTCAGCAAGGATGACAAGCCCGTCGTCTCGACCATCCTCTCCCAGCTGAACTCTCACCTCGCCACCCGCACAACCCTGCTCGGTGCGAAGCCCTCCGTGGCTGATATTGCCGTCTACGCTCTCGTCGCTCCTCTCGTCGAGAAATGGACCCCCGAGGAGCGTACCGGCGAGCAGGGCTACCACCACATCGTCCGTCACGTCGACTTTGTCCAGAACAGCCGCATTTTCGCTCTACAGATCCCCGACGAGGAGAAGGTCACCATTGACGTGAACGACGTTCGCTTCGTGCCCAAGCCCGTCGACCCCAAGGAGGAGAAGGAGCGCAAGAAGAAGGAGAAGGCCGCTGCCCAGAAGCCCGAGGCTGCTGGCAAGCCCCTCGTTGTCGGTCAGGGCAAGCCCGAGGCTGCGGCCAAGGCCGACGGTGCTAAGGGTGACGCCGCCGCCGCCGCCGCTAAGCCCGAGGGCAAGCCCAAGAAGGAGAAGAAGGAAAAGAAGGAGAAGCCGGCCAAGGCTGCGCCCGCCCCTGCTGCTCCCCCGTCTCCCTCCGTCATTGACCTCCGTGTTGGTCACATTCTTCGTGCCGTCAACCACCCCAACGCCGACTCCCTCTACGTCTCGACCATCGACTGCGGTGACGCCCCGGGCACCGAGAACACCTCTCTGGATGAGGCCACAGGCAAGACCGTCCGCACGGTGTGCTCCGGTCTGAACGGTCTGATTCCCCTGGAGGAGATGCAGAACCGCAAGATCGTCGCCGTCTGCAACCTGAAGCCCGTCACCATGCGTGGCATCAAGTCCTGCGCCATGGTCTTGGCTGCCTCTCCCCGCGTGGCTGAGGGCGAGGACTCGCACGCTGGACCCGTCGAGCTCGTTTCGCCTCCTGCCGATGCCCCTGCCGGTGAGCGTGTGTGCTTCGAGGGCTGGACCGAGGGTGAGCCCGAGAAGGTGCTCAACCCTAAGAAGAAGGTCTGGGAGACCTACCAGCCTGGATTCACCACCACCGATGACCTCGAGGTCGCCTTTGAGATGTCTGCCGTTCCGGCCGTGCAGGGCCAGGAGGGCAAGCCCGCTCTGGGTAAGTTGAAGACGCAGTCCGGTGGACTTTGCACAGTCAAGAGCCTGAAGGGAGCGGCTGTCCGGTAAGGGATTAATTGAATTGGGAAGAGATACAAAAGGCAGTTTCAATAGGAAGAAAAGAAAAAAGAGGGCTGCTCTAATCAAAAACGTAAATAGTCAGTTATGATTGATAGCGCCATTGCGAGTTAGACGAGAAATGGGAATGATATATCGATATTAATCCACACATCTCTATACCCTAAATTTCTCCTCACCTTGAATTAATCTACCCCTCACCACTATGATTGCCAAGTTTAATCATCCGAGAACGTAACCAACTTCGCGGAAATCTCCCGCTATCGGAACATAATCACATAAACCACTTTCAGAATCCTTCTTTCTTTTTCATCTTTTCCCCTGAAAATTCCCAATCATAGTATCATACATATAGCCACATCCACAGAAATCCCCCCCCAAAAGTAACATACATTGCCCATATAAATGATATCCATCTCACCATGAGAGCAGTCCGATACCACGGCCGAGGCGATATCCGCGTCGAGGAGATCCAGGAACCCGGGTCGTGCGGGGTGGGTGAGGTGAAGGTTCGTCTCTTCCTATCTTGTTCATTTCATAGCAGTTGCTTGGTTCTATATCCGATAGTATTACATCTCTATACTATAATACCCTGTTATTATGGCGGTCCTTGCATGATCTTCTATTATCTTATCTACTATACTATCTTTCTTACTGGTAGGATATAGTACTAACGTGCTATGATAGATTCGGCCTGCTTTCGTGGGTATATGCGGTAGTGGTACGACATTCTTCCCCCTTAAATTCAATCTACATTAGATATTATGTACTATGAACAAAAAGTCCAGTCCACGCTAATAGAACAAATAGACATCCACGAATACCTCCACGGCCCGTCCACCATCCCGAGCACAACGCACCCCATAACGGGGGAAAAGATCCCCGTGACACTAGGTCACGAGTTCAGCGGCACGATTACAGAAGTAGGGGAGGGTGTGACTCGTCTCAAGGTTGGTGATAATGTGGCTATTAAGCCGAATCTGTTCGATGGAGGGTGTGCGGCTTGTCTGGGGGGTTGGGTGAATTGTTGTGATAATTTGGGGTTTGTGGGGTTTAGTGGTATCTCTCTCTCTTTTCTTTCTTACTTTTGTTTTGGTTGGTGGTGGTGTCTATTTGAGAGTTTGGCTGACTATACAGCAGGTAGTGCTGGGGGGTTATCAGATTATGTTGTCATCAAGGAGGATAGGGTTGTGAGGTTGCCGGAGGGCTTTGATTTGGATCTTGGGGGTGAGTTGACTATCTTTTACTATTGAATGTTGATTGGGGTATTGATGTGGTGCTAATTGTGTAGCACTCGTGGAGCCGTTGACTGTGGCATGGCATGCAGTCAATCGGTCTTCTATTCAAAATGATCATGCGCGTGCGGCACTGGTGGTGGGTGCTGGACCTATTGGGCTTGCTGTACTTCTGGTTCTTAAGGCCCGCGGCATTGAGTCCGTTGTCGTCGTGGAGGTCTCGTCGCAGCGGAGGGAACTTGCTAGCTCTTTGGGCGCTACGCGTGTTCTTGACCCCCGGACGGACGATGTTGTGGGCACGGTGCGTGCGATGACGGGCAATGCCGGAGCTGATATAGCATTTGAATGCTCTGCAGTGCAAGCAGGTCTAGACGCCGCTTTGAAGGGGATTCGAGCACGGGGCACAATGACGATTTTATCTCTCTGGAGTGAGAAGCCGGCAATCGATGCATTTGACGTGGTACTAGGCGAAAAGCACGTGGTAGGGTCGGTGATATATGAAGACGGAGAATTTGAGGCCGTCATCGAAGCTATGTGGTCAGGTACGTGACTGCCAGAACCATGACCTACACATGCCAGCCATGCTTAACTATATCCACACGTTATACCGAAACTGACTGAACACAGGCAAACTCAACCCTCGGGCCTTAATCACCAGTAAAATCCGCATGGATGACATCGTAGAAAAAGGCTTCAAAACGTTGATCCACGGCCGAGACAACCAGATCAAGATCTTGGTGGACATTTCGGCATGAACGTCCGAGACATCGAGAGCGAGTGGGACGAATATTGATCAGCTGCGGCTGGCGGTGTGTAGCACAACATGGTCCAAATTCAGATACGTGTGTTGTTACTTGCATTTTAGCCCATGTTGTACATGACAACATCCATACCATGCACTTGTTCACTTCCTCCCGGGATTGGCGTACTTGAAGGCGCAGCATAGCCAGTTTTCTTTGCTTTGCCCGGGCAATGCCCAGACCAGCAGAGGCAGACGTGTCAGCAATGCCAAGGCATTTCTTGATCCGGGGACTCCGTGTCGTAGACTGGTCCGCCAGGGGAGGGGAATACGGCGCTAGCTATGTGCGTGATGGAGAAATGTTCCCTGCAGTGTTGTCTCTCAGTATCCATGGAATGGAGGAAATCACTTAGAGAGGAGGCGAGGCGGGGGTGGGAGGACTGTACCTTTGATGTCCAACACGTGTGGAATGAATACGAGAGACTGAGCAGGGATGGTGAGTGCAACCACGACAGCAAGCTGTCCAGTCTTTCGGAACGGTAAGTGGTAGTGGTGGTGGTGCCAAGCAGTGCTATTCCCGCGCGACTCTGCTGGGGCGGGGTCGATTTCTCGTATAACCTCATCCATCCCCAAGTAGTTCGATGCAGCAGCAGCATCCCGCGGGCAAACCCGTCCGTCAGATGCCAACTAGTTAGTTAACTAGTCAATTAGTTGGATGAATCCACCTCGCCTGATTCAGCGGGGATCGTGGACCCCGACGCCAGTTCGTTCTGGACACTTGGAGAGGCTGGCCATGTCAGTTAGTGCTATCCGCGAAGGATAGTTAGTCGAATCGAGGTGTCAGATATCCCATTGTCCGGTAAGCTTAGTGTGTAGTTAGTTACAATGATCGGGTTTTCGGCAATTGAAGGGAAAAAAAGAGAGTTTCACTTCCTAGGAACTGACTGTAGTCTAGACCTCATCGCCACCAACATTACCCTCTACACAGACACACAGCATATCGTACAATTAAGTAATATCCATCTCCCCTCTCCAATCTTCTACCTTCAATATATTAAGCTACTACGACGTAGTAGTATCAACCTAGTTACCTCCGAGATCTCCCCACCATTCACCTCGGAGATAACGCAACTCATCCTCATCTATCTAATATCCATCACGCGCACCTAAAGCCTTCATCCCTGCTTACCCTTTTTGTGTCCTTCCCTCTCGGCCCCCATTCAAACACAGACACAAGCACAACAGACACACCCCGGTCCATACTTCTACTTAATTCAGCTTAGTGTGTATACTAGTCTGCAGAAGGAACATGCGTTCGATCGCGCCACTTTGGGGTAAGTTGCTGTTGCTGTGCTCTCCAGGGTATAGTAGTCGGTAGTGTCATAAATCGCGTCAAATGGTGCAAAGCGGTTACGAGATAGTATCAAATGAATACTCCATACTTAGTAGGCTAGTTAGTGGTCTACGATCAGTCTGGATGCACGGGCGGGCTTAGCGAAGTCAGTACTTATGGAATCTGAAATAAATGGTAAATCTTGTTTTATTCTTATTTTCGAGAGATTTTAATTCCGTTTGAATCCCAACCGTGCTTGTTCAAGATTGATGTTGCTGTTAATAGGATAGTCGGGTTGGCGATGATAACGTCACCCATCATACTGAAGTACATTAGTAGAGGTGGTGGTACGTAGTATGTTGTATCGGAGAATAATCTATTGATTATTCATTGTTTAGTTAGCCCAGTTCGTTAGCTGACTTGAGCACTGATGAATTGGTTACTCAAATTCTAAGATGATGAGGTGATGAGCCTAGAAAGTATTCTCTCTCTTCAAGTAGTAGTAACGCGAAGAAGAGTATGGAATTAGAACCAGTTTCTACCTGCATAAAGGGGCGTAACAGTGGCTGCCGTCGTCTTATGCATGTCTCGCCTCCACTTACGCTGACCTGCTTTTTGCCTTTCATTACAACTTTTGCTAATTTAAGGAACAGAGAAGTGTAAGGACTGGAGAATCCTGGCAAATTTTAACTCACGACTGTTACAGTTTGTTTGTCAGTAATAATGAGTGATGATGATCATGATTATGATGATTATTAGCATGGCCTGATCTGATTCCCATGTAGCAAGTAGTAATGAGCATCTGCCTCTGTTTCATCTTCCTTTCACAGTCATAAAATAATCCATTAACTGACCGGTACCTAACTGACGCCATACCCAGACTCCCTCCATCTATTAATAACCACACAAGTATCCATTAACCTAAGACTACTACCTGACCAGCTAACTAGTAGTAAGTATCCATCGTTCAAGCTCCATCCATCTCCTTTTCCTTCTTGGTTCTCACAACCCGAAGAAGTGTGTGGATCCCCCCATCCATCCTGACTTTCAATGGTACTACGGAGAACAGTCCTAGATTAGTACTTTTCTACCTTAGTTGGTTACCTCCCCCCACCCACGGTTTCAAACTTCTGGGTTGGTTGGTTCTTGTCGCTTCATTTTTTTCGCAGCATCTCTTATCCGCGTGTGCCTGATTCTGGCTCTGGCGTTGAAACTAATTATTATCCATCCCATCTACACTAAACTAAACTAAACTAAACCACCCCCGATTTGCCCTTCGGCTGCCGGCGCCTCGATCTTTTCAATTTCCTTGGTTCGGGACGGGGATCGAGTGCAAGCAACTAAATTTTTTTTTCTGCGCCTCTTACTCGTATAGCCTTTTTTTTCTTTCTCAATTTCTAATTTTTTTTTATTATTTTGCCCTTTGTGCTTGCTGATGGTCAGCAGCCGCTGCAATTGGTTACTCCTGGGGGATTTATTTTATTCTGATTATTATTATAATCTTCGCTGTGCTACTGCTAATACTTCTGCTACTGTAAATCGAGGCGAGAGGCTGTCGGTGGTTCCTTGACCTACCTTGCTGGAGACTGACTTCCGAACAGTGCCCCATCATGCTCTGATCGGGATTTATCTAATGAACCCTGTTTGCTGATCGCTTAGAGGGAAACTAACTGTCCGCCTTGTCTGTCTGTCTGTCTGATTCCGTGATTCTTAAACTTCTGGGACCCTGTCGCCTGTTGTTTGCGATTTTGGGTTTCTCTTGTTCTTGTTCTCTCGAACCTTTTTTTTGCGCCCCAAGCATGTTGTTGCGCTGAGTTCGGCTCTACGCTGACATTGTTATTATTATTGTCACCTACTTATCTACTACCCCCTTACCGTTGGCATTTATTCTTGGAGTTGTTGGTTGTGCTGGCCAACCTTCGTCATGGGAACTCCACTTGTTGGTACCGCTATTATCACCGGGGCGAATGGATTGCTCGGGTCGGAGATAGCTGTCTCGATTGCCAAAGCACAGCCGTTTGTTCATTTGCTGCTGGTGGCCCGCGATATCAGATCCGACAGCGTCAAGGATGTGACGGACAGGATCCGTCTCATCGGACCCCGCTCCGTCGAGGTGGTTAAAGCAGACCTTGCCTGCTTTAACTCCGTCGTGAGCTTTTCCCAATACACCGTCGAGAGGGTACGAAGTAAAGAGATCCCTCCCGTGATCTTGTTGATCAACTCCGCCGCAACTTCGTCATACGTTACCGATCAAGTCACACGAGATGGGTACGATCCCGTCTACCAGACCAACTGCATCGCGCCGTTCCTGTTGACTGTGAGCCTGCTCGAGGCCTTCCGCGCAGGCGACGGTACACCGAACGGTGGTGCTCGAGTAATCAATATCGGGTGCTCCTCCATGTCCAAGGGATCCCTGGACTATTTTGACAGCGAAGACCCGGAGAGCGCTGCCCAGCCGCCAGGAACACCAATTGGCGCCAAGGAAGCGACCAGTCGCTTCGGAAGTAGTAAGTTGTTAATGAGCGCTGCTATGTATGCCTTGCGTCGAAGTCTGGTACTTGTAAGTTGTCCTCCCCTACCGGTCCCCTCTGTCCCAAAGTACCCCACTAACAAATGCCGAATGGGGGTAGACGGGCAACATCTCGCTCAATGTATACACAATGGATCCCGGCGGTATGACCGGAGAGAGCCACCTAACGACCGATGCCCCGTTATCGGTCCGAATGGCACACCAGACGCGGTCTGGACTCCGGCCATTCCTGCGGGTGTTTTCCAAAAGTGCGATAAACAAGGCTAGCGTTCCAGCCAAGGTCATTGCAAGAGTCGCATTTCAAAAGGAGACGGTGGAGAACTGGGGAAGGGAACGATATTATATCTTGGATAGCGAATACGAGGCCGCATCCGTCATTCCGGCCTTGCGGGATGTGCCGCGCATGGATGGGCTGCTGCAGAAGGTTATGCGACAGATCGAGATAGGCGTCAAAGGCATGGGATCGCCTCAATCAAGAGTATCGCGGCTGACTGCTCGTTAGTGGGGGATTCTACAAGCATTTTTGACATCAGCTCTTTCTGTTCTGTTCTGTGTCTTTTGCGCGGTACCATCCCAAAATTAGGAGCATTTCTGGGGCGTTACTTTGAACTATCGGTTGAACCTGGGTTTGCAGATAAGGAGTTGATTTTTCTTTGGGTCATAAAAAGCCACTATTGCTGTATTTAGAAAATGAACTGTACAGGAGCGATGAGCCGCCAATCAAGATGGACAACCACCGCAGTTGATCAAAAGATAATGGAACCGAGAAAAACGTGGAGTAAGAGAGGAGAGAGACGAGCCAGAAGGAGGTTGCATGGCTGCAAACGGAGAAGGCCTGATGCCGGATTCGGTTCTGGACCCGAAAGGCGGGCTATGCTTGGCACCTCTTGCTCGACGCCGCCTTGAGCCTACGTTCGGTCGACGCAATCAATGCTACCGTCAGACCTCGTTGTTCAATTCTCACGCTCGTTCGGCCCCTTGAAGCCTTTTCGGTACCTTTTTATTAATCTCCTGGATCTGCGATCCGCTAACATTCTTCATCGTCTGTGCCCGCGTCGGTGTTGTTTTCTACCCCCCGTAAGCGCATTCCAGGGATTCTTGAAGCTGGTGGTCATCGCTCCGGGATCTAGGAGCCCCGGAGGTTCTTTGCTTCAGGACCTGTTTCCTAGCTACATGCAATTGTAGGAGAGATGAACCGGCATCACGCCTTCTCGAATGGCTATGCTGCCTACCCCCGCGGCAAAGCCAGTCACAACAACACCTTTTCAATTTCCCCCCACCGGTAAGCGGCCCCTGCAACTGTCGAAGATCATCGCATATCATCACCACCTTCACATGGATTAGACCTCGCTGGAGGCCAATCGGTGGCCTGACATATCAGTCATCAAACTAGCAGTGCAAGAGGATCGTTTGGACTGACATTGGTTTGCTAGCTTTCAACCGCGCCCACAACCGGCTTTGCGACGTCGAAGACAGCTCCTTCAACGACTGTGCCTTATTGCCGCCATTTCAACGCTGCTGTTGATCCTCATTTTCCCTTCATTTCGAGCGTTATTCCTCCCCGCAGTCTCGCTTGGCCTTGTTTCCTCCGCCGAAGATTTACAATTAGAAACAGTCCGATACTATGACTTGTCAAAAATGCAGGGCAGTGGCAGTGGTTGGGAGCATGGAGAACGGGTACTCATGTGCACACCCTTGAGAGACGCTGCGTCTCACCTGCCGATGTTCTTTTCGCATCTTCGCAACCTTACGTACCCTCATAACCTGATAGACCTGGCGTTCTTGGTTTCGGATTCCGAAGACAATACGATGGAAATGTTGTCATCGATGCTGGATGACCTGCAGAACGACGCCGATCCGAAGATGTCGTTCGGAGAGATTTCGGTTATCCAGAAGGATTTTGGTCAACAGGTCCAACAAGATGTGGAGAGTAGACACGGATTCGCCGCCCAGGCAAGTCGCAGAAAGCTGATGGCTCAGGCACGGAACTGGCTGCTTAGCGCCACTCTGCGTCCGACGCATAGCTGGGTTTACTGGAGAGATGCGGACGTCTTGACGGCTCCCACAACTATTCTGGAGGACCTTATGAGACACGACAAGGATGTTATCGTTCCGAGTGAGTATTTACGCGCGACTTATGCGATTTTTATTCTAACATATGTGCTAGATGTTTGGCGCCCCCTGCCAGATTGGCTAGGTGGGGAACAACCGTACGATCTGAACTCCTGGCAGGAGTCAGAAACCGCACTGGCCCTTGCCGAAACTCTGGACGAGGATGCGGTCATTGTGGAAGGTTATGCTGAGTATGCAACGTGGAGGCCTCACCTCGCCTATCTGCGTGACCCATACGGGGATCCTGATATGGAAATGGAGCTTGACGGTGTAGGAGGCGTCAGTATTCTGGCGAAGGCCCGTGTCTTCCGGGCCGGAGTCCATTTCCCGGCCTTCAGTTTCGAGAAGCATGCCGAGACCGAAGGATTCGGAAAGGTAGGATTTTACGATGGCGATTCCACATGCAATATGCTAACTCGAGGCAGATGGCGAGACGGATGGGATTTTCCGTCATTGGCCTTCCGCACTACACGATCTGGCATCTTTATGAGCCGAGTGTGGATGACCTCCAACATATGGAGGAGATGGAGCAGGAGCGACTGGAACGTGAGAGGGAAGAACAAGAACAGGCCGAGCGTGCTGAGCGGGTTCAATCGCTGTTCAAGGACGCCAAATCGCAGTGGGATGTCGATAGTGCGAACCTCCAAGACGCCATTGATAAGGAAGGGAAGAGCCAGGCGAGCGACTACTCGTCGTCATCATCGGATGCCGATAGTACGAAAGGCAGCGAAGAAGGTCCCGTGGCCCAGCCCGCTGCGAAAGAGCAGGAAGAGCCTACAAATGAAAGAAAACAGGCAAAGCAATAGAGCAGCAATGCTTGGAGCGTCGAGATCCAGTGACAGTCGAAACGGGCCACAAGGATTGGGTCACTGAGGTTTTCCTCAAACAACGGCGCTGAAAACCCCATTATAGTCTGACCCTGCAGCGCTGTGCTGGCCACAGGGCGACTTCTTTGACTGGAACTACTGTTTCTGGATGGGCTCCTGTACTGTGTAAATGGTGTTGGGGACTATATTTGCTTATGGCTTTCCTTTGCTTCTATTTGATTGTCTGATCACACAAGAAAATAAACTTGTTGATCTCTGTTATGGCTGAGATGATAGCTTTTAATTATGTACAGCATAGACCAATGAATTACTGCATTAAATGAAAGAACAGCTATTCAACCCAATGCCTTTCGTAACCGAATATTCAGGTTGTAGTTTCACATTGTGATTCCCACACCAGGCGCATGGCAAGTTCCGTTTGCAAATTAAGCGGTGGCCCGTGCATTTATCGATCTCGAAAAGCACGCGTACCGCGTCAAGAGCCCACCCGGAATACCTCTACACATCTACAATCATTGGGAAGGGAACATAATCAAAGCGACTACAACCCTTCCACACACCCTTCTTTTCTACCCCGAAATCACATTGAAGTCAAAGATGTCCACACAATCCGCCCAAAGCATCCTCTTCACCCACACGGCCCCGCAACAAGCCTTCCGATTACTCGAACTGCCACCGGATCTCGCAGAACTTCTTGCTTCAGACAATCCTCCAACGTACGTACAGCAATCCAATGCCACCCAATAAAAGGAGTGTTGAACTAACAAATCTAACTCAACAGGCTTGAAATCAAATCTCTCACACCCACCACCGACACAACCGACGCTCCCACCGACACCACCCGCGAATACATCAACCTCTGCACCCCAACCCAAACCTACCGCATTCGCCAAGTCCAGTCCTCCAACTCACTCCATATCCTCCGCCCAAGCGACGATGGCATCCAGCGCGGCGACCTCGCCGTCATCGGCGCCACACAAGAAAACGACGAGACCGTCCCCGACGTGAACCTCTCGGAGACAATGACTGCGATCGCGAAGTGCGGGTCCACGCTTGAACTACACAATCCGCAGGAAGGGTTCAATATAATCCCGATTCTCGAGGGGTTATTGGGGAAATACAACTCGGCTGATGATGTCTCCATGTCTACGAAGCAGGGGGGGAGGGTGGTGGAGTCTACGGACCAGAGACAGATTGTTGAGAAGCTATTTGCTGATGTTCCAGTGTCGAATCTGCAATGTGCGAGGGCCTGGAAGGATATTTGTGCGTTTGTGTTACCTGCTACGGGTCGTGGGTGGGTGCCAACGGCGAGGGCCAAGATTGGGGTGTGGAAACGGGTGGTGGAGGGGGCTGTGTTACAGGGGATTGATCTGGGGACGCAATTCTTGGTAGGGGATCTGTGGAAGTCGATACTTGATGAGGATGGAGAAGGGGAGTGGCCGAGGGAGTTGTTTGAGGCGGTTGTAAGGAGGGTTTGTGAGACTGGTGATGAAGGGTCGTTGTTGGAGGGGGAGTTGAAGTGTAAGTTTCCTGTACCCCAGAAGGCGTGGATTTGACTGGCCGGAGCTGACTCTTTTATCTGTTGGTGCAGGGGCCAGTATTGATAAGGAGCGGTGCGTGCGATGGGTTGGCGAAACCTATTTAGAGGCTGTGGCGCCTACGGCGGGTGCTGCTGCTGGGCGGAGCGAATTTCTCAACGCTTGGAAGGATCATCTGCCAGAAGGCTGGAGGGAGGAAGCTACGTTCTCGCAGCTTACGGTAGGAGTCTTCCTTCTATTCGTCTTTCTTGTTTTACTCTAACAGTGAGTACAGGAGGATAAACATAGATTCCCTGATCCAACGACTGTCTGCTTTGTCAGTGATGAAGATCGGCAGAGACTGAAGAAAAATCTCTCAACAGATGCTAGTGCGTCTACCGCTGCGAAAAAGACAAGAAACTGGCATGAATTATTCAAAACCCAGAAGCGACAGAAGCGTTGAGGCTCTAGTTTTAGAGGCATTATAAACTTTATCAGGGGGGCAGGTCTTCCTCAGCACCAGGCGTACTTCTCGTTCAAGTGCCATTCCACGTTTGCACCCAAGCCGTGCTCGGCACCAGTCCATCTCAGGCACGCAATGCTGCTCTTTTCCCGATGGACTACCTCGGCCTTGGGGTCCAGCAAGGCAACTGCTTTTCTCAACAGCGGCGTTGGGTTCCAGAACTCAACTGTTGCCATGTTCCATCTGTGCGCTTCGAGCTGAGCACGTCGCAGGACCGCCGCCATGGCTTTCACGATCTTCTCGTCCTGTTCTGGTGAGGTTGGCTCGTCGTACACCCACCGGAGGATGTAAAGGGTATTTTCCTCGGGCGTTTCACCAAAGCTCCTGTTCCAGGCACAGTACACCCCGGCGCTGTCTTCTCCGGCACCCTTTACGCGAGGCAATTCTCGGTCGGAATGAATTCTCTCGGCATAGAATTCTTCTCTCGCCCAGTGCCATTCAAAGTGCTCGAAGTTTGGCGCAATCGCAATCCTGGGCACTGACGACTTTTGGGAGACTGCTCTCAACAGTTCACGCTCCTTTTGCAAAACTTCCTCACTACAGATGCTCTCGTGGACGTCCTCCGCTGCCAAAATCCTTGTTTTAGGGAAGTTGGCCTGGGCATTGGCAGAGGCATAGTCTTCCTCAGAAACTGGCGGCAAGGCAAAATGGCATGACGTGTATGGCTGCCAACCAAATTGGGCATAAAAGTCCTTTCCGATATCCGAAAAGAGAACGGTGAAAAGACAACACTTTCGGGTCTCTGTCTCCATCTTCCAGGTCTTGATCTTTTTGCTCAGCTCCTGCATCATTCTCTTGGCGTATCCTTTGCCTCTGAAGTCCGGCCGGCAATAGACACTTCCAATGCCATGAGTTAAGACATCCTCCACAGTACCGTCATGTGCCAACATGGCTTTCTTTCTGTATGTCTCGCAAGAACCGAGGATCGTTCTATGCTCTTCCGGCTCGTTGCGATCAACCAAGATCCAACAGGTCAAGCCATCCTTATTCAGCCGTTGCTGATACAGATGGTTCTCGCGCGTGATATAGGTCTCAAGGTCGAGACGGCCCTTCCATGCTTTGCTGTTGAGGCGGATGGACTCAATCCGCTCTCCGGGGGTGGCAGGAACCAGTACCAGTTCAGGAGAATCCCCTTGAGGGAGCTTCTTGCCGTTGAAATAGGAGTTGTCAGCAGCGATCATGATGTCTACTTGGTAGAACAGAGCTGTTCTTGTTGTCTGATGGTGAAACTTGGATATGAGGGGGTGAAAGATATTCAAGTGAGCGAGAAATGGTGAATGGACTACACGGCGCGTTTTGAGAAAGCAGATGTTTGGAGCAAAGGAGCAACTCCGAAGGTGTTCGACCGGAGTCCGCTCAAGACCGCAAGGGGGGCGCCGAATATTATAGATGGACCGATAAGGATAAGAAAGTAGACGTGACCGGGATAACTTACTGGACGCGCAGGCAGCTGATTCTATTCGCCCCGACAGCCGACGACAAGCGGCGACAAGCGCAGCGGTAAAAGAAGCTGAGGGATGGACTTGCCTGGATTGGGTTGCGTCTCATGCCCCGTGACGTCGAGCGGCGCATGATGACCACACACGCCTTTAGGGCATAGGGCTCGCCGGATATGGGGGTTGGGTGGATTGGTCTGGGGTTCGGGGACTACCGGGGGCTATTGAATTGACATCGTGAGATATACTTGACTACAGATTTGTTTTGTGAATCGAGTTGTCTAGAAATGATCAATCCATCCGGAACTTGAAATTAACTTTCAATTCTGAACGCCCATGATGAGTCATTGTTTGACGTTCCCTCTTCGTAGGCAAACAGACAAAGACAGTTCCCCTACTTGGCAGGCGGTCGGGGTAATACCGGTACCTGTCACGTGGGGCAGCTGTCAGAGCCGGCGGGGGTTCGTTTTCTGGATCCCCCCAACCATCTCCCACTCGAGGAATCCCCGTTCAGACTCTCGCAAATGACTGCTGCTCCGTCTAGACGGCGGCTGCTTTCTTATTTCTCCGTCTAGCGTCACGCGTTGGAACGCCTCCTCCGTCTACTTGCCTGATCAGTGTCTTAGTCTACGGCTTACAACGGAGCTATTCCCCTGTTGTAGATAGGATTTTCCCCAGCATTGTTGACGGACTTCCGCCCCACTGTGTGTGCCAACCTTGGGCCTTGTTGATACTATTCCCCGTTGGGCGAGCTGGTATTCGGATGATCAACCGCTAAACAATATCTCTCCATCCACCAACATTTTCTATACAAATTTAGCCATCCGGTGGCAGGATAGAGCCTTGCGAGCACCCTGAGGTTGTGGGCTGGCTTCCTCAGCCTTGCTTGGGTGGTGGCCTCTGACGAGCCTGATCCTCACTCGAGTATGTTCACTGACAGCCTTTGTGTATCATCCCATTCATGCTTGTCAGGTGTACAAAGACAATAAACTAAGCTCGCCTTGGCTGTATGCTTATTGCTCTACATACAGCCGCACGCCCTGCAGACTGATATAACATAGATAGCCTCATCACATTACTTTCACTGCCTCGAGCGATTTACGGCCGTTGCCGACGTTCCTCACTGACTATTGCGGGGTCTACCTTTCCAGGCAACGCTACGTTCAACACTTTCACCACCATTTCCCCCTTCCTATATAACCATCACAGCTAATAAGCGACCCTTAATTTCCCTTTGGCTTTCTTATCAACCTTGATACTTTCATTCACCTGGACTTCCCTTTCAGATACTCTCAAACGTAGGAATACATCGCTTTTTTTTCTTTCGCTCAAAGCAAACAAGAACAATGGAGGGGCCCAATTTCACCAATCCGATGTATCCATCGCTCCCTTTAAGACTGGGATATATGAACCATGCAAATGCAGATCTTACTCTGGATGACAACCCTGCGCTGATTTGGGATTTGTACGGCCACGGTTACTATCCGTTGCCTGACTACGACCAACCCATGAAGAGACAAAGGCAGTATAGTCGCGACAGCAGTCGCAGCAGCAAACGCAGCAGCAATCATGAGTCCATAATCAGCATTCTGGACAGTGATACTGATGGTAAAAGTCGTCACGAGTCAGGGATCGAGTCAGGGAGCTCCTCGCGCCCATCGACCATTGCCACCACATCGACCTCGTCACGCTCCAATACGCACTCTGAAGCAGTTTACATTGACCTCACCCTGGAGGATGAGCTATTGTGGCAGATTACAGACATCTTTCCGGGCATCAGTCACCAGCATGTGGAAGAGCTGATCGAACGTCATAAAAGGCCCCAAGCGCACCAACCTGCGCTGCCCCTGAATGCATTGAAGGAAAGCGTTATTGAAGATATCTTACAGCATCCTAACTACCCCATGCAAGAAAAGGCCAAGAAACGTAAGATTGAGGAGACGGAGGAGGAAGCTACGATACGGTATCTGCGAAATATCCCACAACGTGGTAGCCGTGCATACCTCCAGCTAGCGTGAGTGCACCGCCTATCATTATGAAGTAACAAACGCTGAACTTTCTATTACAGAACCGGACTGCTAGCTCAAGAATTTGAATGGATGCCGCTAAAGCATATTCGGGATGTTCTGACCGACAAAAAAGAGCTATTTTCAGCGTATCTCACTCTGCATTCTCAGGAGAATGAACAGACGGGAAAGTACACAAAGTTGAAAAGCAAAAGGGTCTCGATAGCAGCAAACCTACCACAAGGCGACGAGGAGGTATCTATCGCTGAGAACCTGGCTCGAGAACTAGGTGCCGCCAAGAAGAAAGCTGAAAAAGAAGACCGTAAGTAACCTCTCTCTGAGTACGAGAAACCCATGCTGATCAGCTAATCACCCGCAAAGATGTACTTCGCAAGAAGAAGGAGGAGCAAGAGGCTGAGATCAGAAATGAAGAAGAACACAGCCGAGCTGAAAACCTCATCGAATGCCAGTGTTGCTACCTCGATGTTCCAGCGAACCGATCGCTCCCTTGCGAGGGGGAGAGCGTCCATCTCTTCTGCTTTACATGCATTCGAAAATCTGCAGAGACCCAGGTTGGGCTTATGAAATATCAAGTTCAATGTGTCGACACTAGTGGCTGTCAGGCAAAGTTTTCTCGTGCGCGGCTCCAAGAAGCCCTCGGAGAGAGTTTGATGGAAAAGCTCGACAACCTTCAGCAGCAGGATGAGATCCAGCAAGCTGGATTGATAGGCCTTGAAGCTTGTCCATTCTGTGAATATAAAGCCATCTATCCTCCCGTGGAAGAGGACCGCGAGTTCGTATGCAAAAACCCCGACTGCGAAATGGTCAGTTGCCGTCTCTGCCAGCAAGAAAGCCATATTCCCCGCACTTGCGCAGAGGCCAAAAAAGAGAAGGGTCTTCCCGAACGCCACTTGGTTGAAGAGGCAATGAGCAAGGCTCTGATCCGCCCTTGCCCCAAATGCAACGTGAAGATTGTCAAGGAGTCGGGCTGCAACAAAATGATATGCTCCAAGTGCCGTACTTCAATGTGCTACATTTGCAAGAAAGATATTACCCGAGAGAAGTACGACCATTTTGGGCGTCCTCCGACCTACTGTCCTAACACCGATGACCCAAGATTATCGTTAGAAGAGGTCGAGAAGGCCCAAAAAGACACTATCGATGTTATATTGGCACAAAATCCCAATTTGACTGCGGAGGAGCTGCGAATTCCTGACGCAGAAGCAGCACAGTCGGCCACGAATATGCCAGGCGTCATTCCAGGTTATGGTAATGGATTCATACACCGATACGGGCAAGCGCCAGTCCACCATAATTACGTGGGGTATCCAAGACCAGGGATGCCAGTTGGAAGAGCCAACCCCCCAGCTGTTGTTCAATTTGATGCACCCGTAGGCATTGGAAATGGCTGGGGTGGACAAGACTGGCCTCGGAACCCAGTAGGACAACCTAGGAACCCACCAGGAGGTCCTGTGCCCGCAAACGTTCCTGTGTACGGAGGCTTCGTAAACAGGGGCGTGAACTATCAAGGCAATCCTGGCCAAAATCAGACAAAAAGGGCAGATACCCGCCCCCCATGGCGGTACTAGTGCCTCTACTACACGCTATCAACACGAATTCGTGAAGCACCAACCGTTACGTTGATCGACAATAATGATGTCGCTACTCCAGTAAGCCTTTATACCTCGTTTCACTCCAGAAAGAGCGATACACCATATCCTGGGTCGACATTTGTCGATACTGCAGCTCCCATCTTGGTATACCGACTCCCTTCCTTTTCCCCCAACACAGTTCCTGCTTGCTACCTTCACATCGAATCCAGCTTCTAACCCGTCCTCGTATCTCTGGCCCCTAAATCACTCTCGGCAATAACAGCAATCAGCTTTTCAGCGTTACACAAGAATTTTTTCTCATACCAGACTTCCCAACAGCGATCCATACTCCTGCTTCATCCGAGTATGAAGACAAGACAAACAAGCAGTGCCCCCGTTATTGATAGAAAGCTTTCTTGGAAGTTGGATTGCATCGCATATTTTGGTTCCATCACTCTAATGAATCAACTACTGAAGCGGTTTCCCTAGCATCTATCATCATCATTTTCTCCCCTCCAGCCCTTTCCCTTTCTCCCAGTCCCTTGCCTCAACCATCCTACTTTAATCCTCTATTTTCTCTTTTTCTATCATCTCTATCTCACCATTTCTCTCGGTTTAGGTAACTCAGAATGGCTACTTTATTCTATTTTTTTGGCTCAATCCAATAATACAATGACTTGCTAATACAATGACTTGCTCTTTACTCTTCTCTCTCTCTCTCTCTCTCTCTTGTTTGAAGTCGTCATCATCGAATAAAGCCTAGCTATTCTATTCTCAGAATGCCAGCACGAATTCATAATTCGATTTCAGAACGAAATCATATTATGACAGATCACAGATCGCATGTCCTGGACACCTTGGGTTATAGTACAAGAAAGAAGCCGATGGAGTAAGAGCCAACTGTAACCAGAGATGGGACTTGTTACAATGTGGTAGATGTATACCATCGTAATATAGTATGACGTGATATGGCATACGTTGGCGAGCGTCATATCCAACTATGGCTTTTCCAGAAAAAAACAAGAGACATAGAATTACAGCTACGAAAAGCAGGAACAGATGGATGGATGATGTGACTGGGGCGCGCTGAAACGGACGATAAAGGCGATATGGCAACATGAAACGAAGAAGAAGGCGAACCAGAGATGAAATCCAAAAGAAAAAAAGTATTACTTTAGAGATGAGATAAAAGAAGAAACTTCCTACCTATCTGCCTACCGAGTGCCCGGCCTAGTCTACCACTCATCACTATCTCATATCCAAAAAACATCACATCTTATCAGTCATGACGACGCAAAAAAGAAAAAGAAATACGGCACCAAAAAAGCAACGTAGGCGATGATAAGATGGGGACTGAGCCCAACAACAAGCGCTGACAACGAGTCAAAGGAAACCACGAAAGCCATGTTTAATAAAAAATCACTTTCACAGGATAGGTAGCATAGCACATGACCAACACGCATATATGCCACAATATACAGGTGAAAAATAATAACTCACATGATGCGTTAGGACCCCTTCTTCTTCTTCCTTTATTTTTTTTTAAAAAAGTTTCCTTCCATACAGATATGTCATCTGCGTCCTTTTTCCATAGCCAATCGATCAGACAACCTCATGGACAAGCACAACAAGCACAAGCACAACCAATTGTATTAGACACCCCATTGTCTGTAAATAGCGGCTGCGTGTGTTTGTCGGTTTCCGTAACTCAGTTTTGGATTTTCTTCCATGTGAGGCAGTATGGAATCGCAGTGATACTGACACACTGTGGACGCCTGTATCCCATTATCAGCTGATATCATGACTTTATGCAGCCAAATGGTGTCAAGATCTCTTTCACTGGATCACGTTCTCAAAAGGGACGTGGAAGTCAAAGCGAGGCGAAGGAAGAACATAGGCAAACACACACGCCGAGAGAAACAAGGATAGGCCAACTGAAATGCGATGGGGACAAAATTAACGATTACGGACAGGACTCGAGACCCTCCCCGAGCAGTGGGGTCCATGCTGGCAACTTTTTGGCAGCTAGTTGCTAGATATTTGAATTTGCTAGGATCATGTAGTTGGAGAGAGCTCAACAAAGGAGACGAGCGGAATACAATAGGAAATGGTATGAAAATGAGAACACTCCGAGGAAATGGCGGGGAGGAGAATGGAGGAGTATGCTTGGAAAAAGAAATAGACGTCTCCAGAGATGAGAAAATTGTAAATAAAAAGGGAAAAGTGCAGAGAGAAAAAAAAGAAAAAGAAAAGAAGAGAGATATAAGTAGTAATAGAGAAGAGAAATAGAAGGGGAAAAGGAACGTGACAGAATGACGACAGGCAGAAATGGACGGAAAGAAATTGCGAGCAAAAAGACAAGGAAAGATATGAACCAGATCTATGTAATGCCATGCGAGTCCCAGAAATCGTCCGCTCCCCATTTTATATATTTGCGCCGCTCACTCGGACGACAGTGCCTAATTTCCTCATCCATCATGTATGTTCGATCATTGGTCACGCTAAAACAAGAATGAGATAAATGGAGATATGAGATAAGGAGCAAAAAATGTTTCACTGAAATCAGAAAATAATGGTGAACTAGACGAACACGGCAGCAAGCTATAAGGTGGAGATCCAAGCTCATGGTGGATGTTCAGAGTCCACCGGTTCATTAAACTTCTGCCGTGCCTCTTCCACCCATAGTTCCAGTCGAAGCTCTCCAGCTTCTACACGTCGTACCGGGACCGTCTTGGCACGTCCATTCGATACCTTTGGAGGCGGCTGTTGCGGCTCGCCGTTTCTCAACTTAGAAACGGAGTAAGGGGCGGTGCACGATCGGAGGTGGACCTTATCCGGTTCGGCCACAATCCATGTCTGTTCTTCGGTTGTGGTCCCCGCCGGGGGTAAAGCATCTTCCCGCACCTCGATGCAAACGGTGAAACTGAATTCATCGTCCCGAGGCAAAGGAGTCAGGCGCGCACAAGCTGAAGCCAGTCTTGCTAGACAGGCCCGGAATTGCGCTTCAAGGTCGACTGATGTGGGGGCGGAAGCCCGGTCGGTTACGGGAACACCCGCTTTGGTTTGTTCCTCTCTTCTGTCTTCGAAGGTGGTATTGACTTCGCCAGCCGGAACACGGGGGAAGCCCGATAAATCAAAGGCATATCGTTCGAGGGGTTGATTCGTACGGAGGGAGGAGATGATAATGCTGACAGCGGTTATTGTGCCTTTCAAGATCTCCGTTCCGACCGCAATTGACGCGTCATTGATGTAATCACACACCTTGGGGTGACGGGATTGTCGGACGGGATAGTTGTACGCCCGCACGGGGAGGAACGTGGCTCGTGGATAGACCGAACGTAGAAACAGGATCTGGTGTATTGATACGGTGAGGAAATTGGTGAAGGATGCCGCCAACGCAGACTGATTGTTGGGCATCGATCTAGGTGCGGTGACCGGGGCGGAAAAAGTTGTCATTGTGGTAGTAACGGAGTTGACGGTGGTACTCTCACTGGCAATCGGCATTGCCGTCGTAGGCTCTGGTATCGTCGTTTCCACGGGAAAGATGGTCTTGACGGGATCTCGGAGATTCTGAGTGCTGTTCCACCCTGAGGCTAATCATCGCTCTGCCTTTTTCCAGACGAGTCAACAACAATATTCGTTTCCACTCATGGAGAGGTTGGTTTATCTCTCTTCCACTCAAGCTTTCCTTTGCGACAACGGGAGGGGAGGATGGTGAGGCGAAGAGGGGAAAGAGTGGGGTGGTAGTCAAGATGAGAGGGAGGGAGGGAGGGGGGGTGGTTGGTTGGTTGGTGGGTGTGCGAGGCCAAAATAGGGAGGGGGGAGGGAAGGGAATGGAAATGAACAGGAGTTCGAAGAACCGGGAATACACCCGGGAACACAAGAATATGATAGAAAAGAGACAGAACGGGGAAATAGAGCGAAAAAGAAGAAAAGGAGATGGTATGGCAGAAGATAAGAACAAAGTTGTTGTGTAAAAGGGGAGAGAAAAACAAAATTGAGGGCGGGGGGTGGGTAGAGGGAAAAGCACCTAAGATAGTAGGGCGTGGTGGGAAGTGGTGGTAGTGGTGGTGGTGGTGGTGAGTTGAGTAAGAGGGTCGTTTAAGGGAACGAGTGTGAGGGAGGGAAAGAGAGGGAGAGAGACAGAAGGAAGGGAAGAGGGAAAGAGTGAGGAGGGGAGGGGTGAGTGAGTGGATTGGGGTTCGAAAAGTAAGGAAAGAACTTCGGAATTAGAACATACGTTGGGTGGACGAGACGAAACAAGCAGACCTCAGAGCATGGATGGAGTCGTTGAGATCGTGACAACCGGCGTGAACGAGATCTGGGATAGGATTAAGGAGAGAAGAGTCCTGGGCTTGACGATAACGACAGCGACGACGATGTTGCTGCTTTGCTTTGCTGATGGAAATTTCCTTTTTTTTTTTTCCTTTTTTTCTTCCCTGGTTGGAGTTCCCGTTTTAGTATTTTCCTCTTTGGCTCTCCCCTCTCCCTCGGAAGTTTTTGTTCCTGGAAAAAAAAAACTTTTTTAAAATAAGAGAGAAAAAAAAATATTACTTGGCTAAAGATGAAAAAAATATGTCTTTTTTTTTTTAATTCCTTGCTCTCTGCGTCTAGGGAGAGGAGGGACGGCAGACGATAGGAAACCAACCCTTTGAGGGGGGCGGCGTGGGAAGGGAGAGGTGGGCTGCTGGCTTGAGCTGGTTGTGATTGGGAAAGGCCGTGTCGACCAGGGAAGCCCACTCAGGTCCCAGAACTAAAGTAGAGAGGGAGATTTTGCAAAGAGAGCGAGCAGAAAGCGCCGGCAAAGCACAGAAATATGAAAAGAGAAAGAGAGAGGGAAAGAGAGAGGAAGAGAGAGAGAGAGAGAGCAGAGCGAGAGAGTCGCGGGCAGGCAGTCCTTCGGAGGGGAAGGCTTGTCGGGCGACGAGTCGTCCAGGTAAAAGGCGCCCAAGTCACGGTTCCCAGCCCGTCACGTGGTTGCGTCATGGGTGTGGATGCCATGCAGCAATCATCATAGTAGTGGTCGTGGGAAAAGGCAACGCACGTACGGACTCCCTTCCTCGCCCGATGTATGCCTACGTCTTGTTTCCACAAACCGCCCAGAAGGCTGCCTGCTTACTATCTACTAGTCTACAATCATACATTCTTCCCCTCCAGAGTCTGCCTGCTCATCCTAGTCCTCGGTGGGGGTTTGATGCTAGCCGAGGGGATCAAGTGACGCAAAGGGGTACCTCAGGCGCAGCTTGGGGGCGAAACAGAGGATGTAGGTAGAATGGCAAAGAATTTGGCCATGATGCACTTCGACTACACACTTCCCGGACAAGTAAGAAGCCCGCACCGTGCAAGCACTGTGTAGCTTAATGCAAAACTCATGGGAGACACACTGTTGGCAAAGGAAAAAGCAAAGGGAAACAAAAGATTATCACTGGGCAAAGTATGACAGTATGTATGACGGTATGTAAGTAAGCATCTGCGCCGTATTGGTATTGTCCACGCCAGTACAGGACAATATGACCCAGACTTGTCAGTAGTGGGATGACTGACTCCAGTTCACTGAGCCGATCATCATGAAATCAAACTTGAATCGACACGTAGGTGACCGGGGTAGAAGACAGGAGCAGCAACAATAATAATTAGTCAGGATTCCGAGAGATTAAAAGGAACGAAAGTTAAAACAGCTAGTCGTCCCAGAAATCTTACTACAAAGCCGGAACAACTACTCTGGTTTTCCCCCGTACGTAGCCCGAGGTTTCCAAGGTTCAGTCAATCAAATCTGGCTTGCTCCGGGGATTAAGTAGGTCAATCAATCTTACCTAGGTGAATAGTTGTTTAGTATAGTCCGGAGTATTTATTAGCTAGTTAACCATGACATTTTAATTTATCTACTCCCTCTGCAGTTGTTGCATGTATTTGCTGCTCCGGTTGTTCCTCCCGGCCGAACAGTATACCTTCAGAAAGGTAGATAGCATGCAAAGGGCCTCCTCCTGACGGCCATAGCATCGTCCCTCACCGTCCGGAATGTCTGAAGGATAAGTTGAAGAATGCTTAGTGCGTGCGATACGAGAGCTACCTTGAGCTTACCCCTCCTGCTGCGGATTCCGGGTCTTATGCATGGCCCTGAAGGTCGCCAGTTCGCATTATTACCCGATCCCTGATTATTATTAGAATCTCGACACAATTGCTCTAGCACACGCGATCGCCTTCTAGGTTGTTCCTCGTTGATCCATCAATACAATACCCGAGGCTACTTTTGACTGTATGGTATTCGACCTTTCATGAGTAATTGTGTAAGAGTATGTATGGACATAACATACTCCATACAGCGACCGGGAGTACATTTCATGCGGTACTTTTCTTCTTTGGGCGGTTCCACCCCTCAACTGGCGTTAGATAATCAGAGTTGCCGGTTTATCCTCATCAACCCCACTATGATCGACTCACAACTCCCCCTTCTTATTCCTTCCTGTCATCCTTTTCAGAAATGCATCGAGTCCCATCTACGCCACTTACCTAGCTACCCCGGTGATCACTACCCAAAGTTTGCTGCACCGCTGTACGGAGCACAGTTGATGATACATAGTACATAAAACATACATCTGGCCACTAGGCACGTATGGAGCCTGGGAAGAAATGGGCTACAAATACGCGCCTGGAGCAAAAGTACAGTGCAGGAACCCAGAAGAATGAAATCTATTGCTTCTCTACATCATCACACACTTCATAAGTGGCCCCAGAATGGATTTACAACGATCCAAGGGATTTTCTTTCCTCCTTCTATGATTGGATTGAAGCCAGATCTTCTCCACAGAAAACTTCGACTTAGGCAGATCAGCAACTGAGACAAATGCCGCCTCTGATTCAGACCCGGCTCCTTCACATAATTAACTATTGCTGCTTCTTGGTCTAAGAGGCTCGCACCGCTGCATTTCAATGTCATCATTCCCCCATCCCTGGCAATTATCTACAACCTAAGGTGATATGTATTGGGCATACTAGCGGACCACAGTTGCTAATAACGTGCGAGCCAGATCTACCCACATAGTATTGACCACTAAGATCCGATTACCTGCCATTGATCGCTCATGACTTCAGTGGACACAGCACCTGCTTTTCCTCCTCCTTAATTGGGCGGTACGTCAGGCAGACCTTTGTATTGGCTGTATCTTTCTCTTGGAAGGTCTACCGGATAACGTAGGGGTCAGCAAGACACCCGCCATTGCAGGTACGTTGGTTCAACCAAGTCTCCGGTCTCGGAGGTCATCCAAAACCTATCGTTCAAGACCGGGGGTTGTCAGACTATTGAATGTGGCTGCTTGGGGATGCCTAAATCTTTGTTCTGGTTGTCTGCGTAGACGCATAACAAACTTCAGACAAACTATATTGCAATACACTGGTTTCTGTGAGGTTCTGTAAGTGGACGGTATTGTCATCCCTAGCTTCCATGATGTTCAATCCCGGATAGTTTGTGGAAAGTACGAAGACGTTGGGAGGTGATACTCAGACGCTGCTTGTAGGCTTTAGGCTATTTAATCTCCGATGATCAGTGACGTGAGTCGGGAACCAAGACACGGGGAAACTGAAGACTACTTCTACTACGGAGTACTCTCACAAGTCTTGCCGTTCTTCTATTGCTGGCAGCCAGCTAAATAGGGAAGATATGTAGAGCTTGGCTGCTATTGTCCTGGGACAAGCTGTTTATGATAAGCAAGGTTGGCTGATGTACATACGGTGCTGATAATAGGGCGTTCCAAAGTACAGCACACTATAACCATAGCTGGACAAGGATGAGGGAGGGTTCGATAGTCTGGTTGACAGCAAGCGCTAATAACCTACCTATACTCCGTAGTTAGTTGTGTCTCAGTTGCTACCCATGTATCTCGGCGGGAACAAGTCAAACCAAACCAAACTGGAAATTGATTTGGGGGAAATTCTACCCCTCACCGCCTCCCTTTTCCCGCTCGTCTTCTGCCCCTCCACGACGCGACATTTCGCGATTGATATTGATTTGAACAATCTACCTGGATACTCGTGTTACCAATAGTGTGGTTTAACGGAGCCGTCTGCTGTGATCTCAAACGCCAGGACTCCGAAGATTGGGCTTGAATTCAGATCCAGGCCCCTTGTTAAACCATTCGTTGACTACACCCCTCTATCGACACTCCCGTCTACTCACCTACGTTCTCCTATCAACATGGAGCAAGAGCTCCTGACATTGCTCGCAGACACTCAGTCGCCGGTCTCCGATACCAGAAAGTCTGCTGAGCTCCAGCTTCTACGCCTTTATTCCAACGAGACTTTCCCTCTAACACTTGCGGCCATAGCCTCTCACGATTCCGTTCCCACCAACCTCCGCCAGTCTGCCATTTCCGTTCTTCGGACCTTCATAGCCGCATCCTGGTCACCAGTCCTCGATGAATTCAAAGGCCAAGTTCTGGTCAGCGATGCAAACAAGGCCCAGCTTCGACGAGCGCTGCTGGACTTAGCCACCGTTACCGAGACTCCGGAGCGCAAGGTCAAATCGTCTGCCAGTTATGCCGTCAGCAAGATTGCCAGCGCCGACTTCCCCGAGCAGTGGCCAGAACTATTGCCTGATTTGCTTCGCATTATAAACGATGGCAACAGCACCGCCAGTGCGCTTCACGGTGCACTAAAGGTTCTGTTGGATCTGGTGGACACTGGATTCAGTGAGGAACAGTTCTTCAATGTTGCTCGGGATCTCGTTACTAGCCTCTACAATGTTGCTACGAATGAGTCGAGAAAGCCGATGCTGAGAGCATTGGCTGTTGCAGTTTTCCGGGCCTGCTTTGATACTTTGGAAATGGTCCTCGAGCAGCACAAGGCGGCTGTCAAAGGGTTCATGGACGAAGTACTTGGTGGCTGGTCTCCATTCTTCCTTTCTACCCTGGAGGCACCTTTACCACAAGCTCCTAGTGCACAAGAAGAATCTAAAGACGCTGAGGTACCCTCCAAGTGGAGAGGTGTCATTGGATTGAAATTGCAAGTGGTCAAGGTATATAACCATTCTGCCCCCTTTGCTGGTTCACGCTAATCGCTGACCTGCTAGACCTTGATGAAAATTCGCATGGTATTCCCGGGTCTGTTGGCGGCTCAAAGCCCCGTATACTTTTCCACTATCTGGACCGAGCTTTCGAACATCCAGTCCGCTTACCATGAGTTCTACATCGAGGATGAGAGGCAGGGCCGTATGGAGGATGTCGACGGGCTCCCGTATACATTGGACTTCTTGGTTCTGGAGGAACTTGATCTAATTCAGACGCTCCTAAAGGCGCCGCCGGTCAAGGCCGAGCTCCAACAGCAGCTACAGAATGCTGGGCAATCTGCGGCAACGACAAGTTGGCTTCCCGAAATCATGAAACTGGCGACCTCTTATGCTCAGATCACATCAGAGGAAGAGGGCCTATGGGATATCGATGTGTCTCTGTTCCTCTCGGAGGAGACATCGGTTACTGCCAACTACACGCCCCGTACATGCAGTGGAGATTTGGTGATCAAGCTTGGTGAATGGCTCAAGACCATGACGGTTGAGGGTCTCCACGCGTACCTGAACACTGTGTTCTCCGATGTGTCCTCTACGTAAGTTATGTTCCTTTCCCTGACGCTTCAAACGAAGACTAACCTCTCTGTGAAGGTGGAAATTGAAAGAATCGGCCCTCTACATTCTTAATCAGCTCCTCCGGGACTTCAACGAAGTTTCGCAAGATATACCCGCCGGCTTGGCTAGTGGAATCAGTAACTTCATTCAGTATTCCATCCAGCAACCAGAAGATCTTTTGAGAGCGCGGGGCTACCTCATCGCCGGAATTCTGTGCCAGGTTGCCGGCGACTCCTTCCAGCAGACGGCTGCATCTTACCTCGAGGCTACCATCAAAGCAATCACCGAAGATGAGTCTGAAGTGGTCAGGGTCGCTTGTATTCGAGCACTGCAGGACCTTATGCCCTCGCTTCCCCCCAGTGCGACGGTCCCTCTCCAAGTTGCTATTGTTTCAGCACTGTCGCAGTTCGTATCCGCACATGACCTGTCTGACCAGTCAGAGGGTGAAGACCTGAAGGTTACTATTGCTGAAACGCTCCGCGATACGATCATGGTCCACCCAACTGTCGTTCTGTCGTCGACCGCTATTGATCTACTGTTCAATGTTGCCAGCAGCGGAGCCACCAATTTCCAATTGACGATGATCGTCACGGAAGCATTCGAGGACATAGTTGAAGCTATCGCAGAGAACGGGGAAGAGGCTTTCGTTCGACTATGCGAGAAGGTTCTTCCTTCCCTGACCGGGGCAATCGACGTCGGCAACCTCACACAGGAAAACGCTCTGACTAACTTCGCTGCGGACCTTCTCCGTGCTCTTGCTGAAGGAGCATTGGAACCCTTGCCAGCCGGCTTCGTGGAAACGGTCATGCCGAAGTTAAACCGCCTGCTGCTCGATTCGTCCGACGCGGAGCTGATCCGTCCGGCGACAGAAGCAGTCCGCCATATGCTCTCTCATGACTTCAACCAGTTTGTCGCCTGGAGAGACCCGCAGAGCGGTAAAGAAGCAACTGAAGTTGCATTGATCATAATTGACCGCTTACTCGGACCTTCTGTTGATGACAATGCGGCGACAGAGGTTGGTCAATTGGCTGCGGAGTTAGTTGAAAAGGCCGGCTCCGAACGTCTCGGCCCCTATCTACCGCAGCTTCTCCGTGCCGTGGCCCAGCGACTGGCTACTGCGGAGCAGGCTCAGTTCATCCAGAGTCTGATTCTTGTATTTGCACGACTCACCCTGATCAGCGCACGTGAGGTTGTGGACTTCCTTGCGCAAGTCGATATCGGCGGCCAGAGTGGACTTCCCATAGTGCTGAGCAAGTGGCTCGAGAACTCGGTCAACTTTGCTGGCTACGATGAAATCAAACAGAATATCATTGCACTGGCAACACTGTACAGGCTGGGAGACCCTCGCTTGTCCCAGGTGCAGGTCAAGGGAGATCTCATTATCCAGGACACTGGCCGTATTAAGACGCGATCCCAGACTCGCAACAACCCTGATCGATACACTACGGTGACGGCTCCGTTGAAGATAGTCAAGGTTCTTGTTGAGGAGCTGGCTGCTGCATCGGGCAGCAAGGAAATCGATGCGGCCACAGCGGCTGCTCTGGAGGAAGAAGATAGCGATGACGACGACGAATGGGAAGATATGCCCGGCAACACCCTTGATCTCAATCTCGGTGTCACCAAGCAAGAGCTGATGGCATTCGGCGAGGGCGGATCTGAAAGTGTGTTCGGGGTACGCAGACGCGACGACGAAACGCAGGCCTTCCTGATGGACTTCTTCCGTGACGCAGCCACTAAGCCTGAGTTCGAGCAGCTCTATGCAGCCTTGACTCCGGCAGAGCAGGAGAAGCTGCAAAGTTTGAACTGATCCGGCTTGTCAGCTGTCGATAGGTGATACCATATTATGGGCAAATGTTACCTTCTCTTTTTTTAATGTTCTATTTATGTCCCCCCTCAGCCGACGCTGGGAATCACATATGAAACGTGTTGAATGCTTCGCATAGGTTACACCTAATGATTGTATGAACAAGCGATACATCAGTGGTCGCAATGAATACTGCTAGTGCCGACGAGGCAGCGCGCTTGATCCAGCAGTTCCGTATGATCCATCTATCTGGTAGTCAAAAATAGTCCGACGTGACCCAAGAAACGTCAACGGAGCCATGCACCATTCCTGTAGTGTTTCACCTAGCATTTAGTCTACATGCTAGTAGTTAGCTGGATACCTGCAGCTGACAACAAACCAACACGTAGCCGGTTGTCCGGGTCATTCCGATGGTCATGCATTTACTCCTTCGGGCTTGGTCTTGAGGGGGGGTTGTGGGCGAACGATGATGCTTCCTGCAGGAAGAATATCCCTAGTGCACACACTAAGTACTAGGCCATCCAGTGATCCAGGTGTCTGCTGCCCCATAAGAAGGTTGGTATGAACGTTGCAGTTAGTCTATGAGTACTCGCCTTCAAGGCCTACTACAGAGCACATTACTTGAAAAAAGATAGATTGCTCATGAACCAGTTGATAGAAGTGCTGATTTAGAGAGTGGCGGGCACGGTCAGTTTTTGTGGGTCTACAGTAGAGAACGGCTTCACCGCAGGAGGGATCTTTTTTTTTTTCTTTAATTAATTCGCATGTGTAAGATCCCTGGGAACCAACTGGCAGGTAATGGACTTGACTATCGCATTTGCAGTACTACCACTGGAGCATCCTTATCATTCTGTGTACGTTTCACATTCATCGCACAAATAGGTTAAGTAAGTATTGGGGTTTGTGTCATTTGTCCTCGGCTATTTTACCCTCAGACTTAGCAGTTAGTAAGGTTGGATGAGTTAGTACTTAGTAGACTAGGTTTGGTTTTGCACCCTCTTCTTCTCGCTTACTGTTAGACATGTTATCATACCTTTTTTTTCCGCCTAACTATCGTTAGTGGAAAGACCCATCGTGACTAGGTTGAATAGACCCGACCCAGAGCATCAGCACTTAAGTTGGTTTATCTGCTTAGTTAGTACGTAGCTGCATGCGATGAAGTGGCTGATCAACTGGCGTGATTGGGATCCCGAAACGGGACCAGCCGTCACGGGGGAGCGGGGCTGGGGAGGAGGAGGGGGGGAGAGCTTGGCTGCCAGCCTTGGGAAACTGCTACACTTGACTTATTATTATCTTCCTCTGTAGAAGTTGGGTTCATATACGATATTTTATGAATATTTATCCATCATTGTTGTGTAGAGGTGATTACCATGGTATTTGCTTCAGGTTAATCCCAGTCGCTTGTATATTTTCTTGGTAAAATTAATCACTAGTAAATAGTTAGCTACAGCCACATCCACAAGCGTGCGGAGAAAATTTGTCTGAGGTTACATAAACTACGCAGCTGAGATCCCAACTAGCGTGGAACCAGAGTGAGGGGATTGGGAAGCCTGGAGGGAGAGGATCAATTCCAAATCATTTAGGGCACACACTAGTAAGTACTTTAGCAACTGCAGGCTGTTTGGACCAATCTGTGTAAAGCATCTAACTGTGCTGGCAAGAAAGAGAGTTAGTTAAAAGTAGAATACATTTTAGTAACTTTAGTTAGTAGGGAAGTGATCCAATTCTCCATAGGGATGATGGCAGTCCGGAAAAGACCCCGACCAATGGAGGGAGCAAAAAAGGACGGGATTGAGAAAGTGACTGACGATACCAAGCAATACCGGGCGTCAACCCCGACCCAGAGCCCTGGCACCAAGCTAGACTTCAGCTAGACTGACTGACTACCTTCATGTTATGTGCTCACCGACCCGAGGGCCTGTTCCCCGGGACCGCCTCCCCCTGTCCGTGCCGCAGTTACCCGTATCTTACCTGGAACTTTAGTTATCCTATCTTGTAGTAGTAGTTGACTAGTCAAGTAGCCATTGCCTGAAGCTCTCTCTCTCGCTCTCTCTTTCTCTTAGTTGGGCTGATTGCTGCGCTTGCTCTGTCCTTGCTCTGTTTCTTTCCCACTTCTTGCTCCATCACTTATTTATCTAACTTCTTAATTACATTTATCTTTCTTTCGCTAACTACTCAACTCCCTGTCGTACTAAACCGACAGCTGCGGGTGTCATCGTTTAAAGATCCCACTTATTCCTCTCTCCTCACTCCCTCTTCACGCCCCCTCCCGCATTGTCTCCGCCCGTCATTCCAAACATGCCACAGCCAGATTCGGAGGAACATATCCAGGTAGATGTAAGACAGTCCCCCCATCTTTCTGACGGTTATACGCAATTTATATGTTTTCTGCTTTTGCGAGATTTTCCGGTTACTTATGCAGCCACTGGGCGCTTTGACTGAGACATCGATAAATTTGATGCGGTGCTCGCGGCTTTGTGTATGGCTCATGCGTGATGCGTTTTATGCAAATCTCAGACAATTCTTCTCATTTATCCGAGATGATTATGCACAATCGCAGTGTTCAAACTGACTCTTACAGACAAGCGACGAAGACTCCCTCATAGATGAACAATCAATTATCGAATCCAATATTTCAATAACATCGTCCGTACGAGATTACTGTTACGAAAATGGCCGCCGGTATCACGCCTACCGCTATGGGCAATATCCCATGCCCAACGACGAAGAAGAGCAGGACCGCCTCACTTTAATGCATCATGCCTTCAAGCTCCTCTTGGGAGGCGACCTATATCGTGCCCCGATAGGCGACCCTCAGCGCATTCTGGATATCGGCACTGGGACAGGCATCTGGGCGCTGGAAATGGCCGAAGACTTTCCCAACGCGGAGATTGTGGGCACCGACCTTAGTCCAATTCAGCCCAAGTGGGCGCCGCCCAATTGTAGCTTTCTGGTTGACGACGCGGAAAGTGACTGGGCCTACATCGGCAATGAGCCATTCGACTATATCCATGCTCGCAGCTTAGGTGGCAGTATCGCCGACTGGGGCCAGCTCCTTCGTCAGGCTTACGAAAACGTGAAGCCCGGCGGCTGGGTCGAAATCCAAGAATCCGAGACGTGGATACATTCCGACGACGGCACCTGCAAAGATGCTGTTATGGTGAGGGAGCTGCAGCAGAAGCTGGAAGAGTCAAGTACGAAATTCGGCAGGCGCATGAACATTGCTCCTGAAGTGAAGGGTTACATGCAACGCGCTGGTTTTGTCAACGTTGTGGATGATATCTACAAGGTCAGTCTGCTATAAAGATTTGGGTCGAAATTCCAGCTAATTGAAGCAGTGTCCTGTAGGCACGTGGCCAAAGTCCCCTCGTCTAAAAGAGATCGGACGAGTAGGGAAACTGATATTATACGACTCGGTCGAGCCATATACGCTAGCTCTCTGGACTCGGGTCCTGGGTTACTCGTATGAAGAGGCTCAAGCTTTCGTGAAGAAGGTGCATGCGGAGCTTGCAAGTTCCACCTATCATATCTACATTTTCTTCCATTATGTGTATGGACAGCGACCATTAGACGGATGATGACGATACGATTAGACTATGTGACGGCCGTGAATGCCTTATGCCTTTGCTCTTTTACATTTCTGGCGTCAAAACAGCGGCGGATACATTGTTCTTCTTTATGACGATACCCTCTTTCTGGGCATATATATGAATGTTCTTGATATTCGAGCTCGATGCATATGCATGCTTAATGAATAGAAGTTTCGGTGGCACATTATGCCTATGTCTAATATTCATAGCCGTCCTCTTTATTTACAAAACACACTCACCCTCAACGCACCCCTCTCAACCCTGCAAAGAATACCCAACCCCCTCCCCACTCCCCATCGCCACCAGATTCGCACGCATCCTCTCCGCCCTTTCCCCAATCCCAAAAGCAGCATCCTCCCGATGCACCCACGCCCCGACCCCATGCTGCAACACCGCCGTAGCCCTTACCTTCTTATCCTCCTCCGCCGCCAAACCCGCCGCATTCAACCCCAAACTGCCATGCAGCGTCAGCCTCGTCTCCTCCCCTCCCTCCTCTTTACACTTATACACCCCGCGATGCAAAATATTACTATCATAAAAGACCGCATCACCAGGCTTCAACTCCACCACCAACTGCCCCGGCAACTCCGGCTCATATGGCGCTGCATTGCGCTCCACTTCCGTGCGCACCCGTCGATGCGACCCCGGAATCACAATCAAGGATGAATCCGCACACAGCGCCAGATTATACTGCGCGTGCGACTGCTTCCCATTGGGACTCTTGGCCTGCAGCATCTTTAGTTCTTCCTCCGGGGTCGCGGTCTCGGGGATGTCGTCGCGGTGCCAGCGAAGTTCGAAGTCTTTGGTTTCGGGCGCGACGAGCAGGTTGAAGAGTTCCATTACGAGTGGCTCGGGAGCATCACCATTGGTGCTAGTGTTGGTGTCTGATGTCAGACCAAGTAACTCCTCCGCCACGGCAAGCACCTTCTCCGAGAAATAGAACTTGGCGAATTCACTCCGTCCCGGCATCTCAGGGTGCAGGAGGTGCTGCACACCCCAGATTCCGCCTTCCGAGGCTGGCGGTGGGGTCGTGGGCCAGGGAGGAAATTGCTTCGGTACGGTGCGGAAGTGCGGCCATTTTCCTGTCCGGGTGAGCGTGGTCGCGTGGGTGGCTATGGTGCGGTAGTGGGCGATTTCGGTGGGCGTTAGGAGGGACGGGATCACGACGAAGCCGTCGCGTTGGAGGGCGCTGAGGTGAGGAGTTGATGACATTGTAGTAGCTTTTGCTGTTGGAGTGGTGGTGATTGTTGAGTGAAAATGAGTAGTGGTGGTGGTTATGTCGGGCTGATGGCGGGGGAGTGAGCTAGGCGGGGAAGAAAAGATTATTCCACTCGGAGTGAACTACAAGAGATATGGGATTGAGATTGGGACAATGGTATATATATAAGGCGTCTTCTATCACTGGTAGTTGACTAGTATATGGGTTATTGTTGTTCTCATTACACAACAATGTGGTATACGCGATGCTACCTTGTCTGTCAGCACATGTTACCCTTTCACCTGAAGTAGAATTGCTTTGTTTTTGTGTGGTCTGATAAGCATTGAAAAGTTCAGCTAAATCACTGATAACTAGTGTGGTTACTGGGGTAGTTCTGAGTAATGGGCTCAAGTCCGGCGCTGATTGATTGATTACCCCGCGGCGGGCACAAATTAATCCCTGATCGATCAGTCATCAGGGCGGGGAAGAACTTGCAGTAAAGTAAGCTGGCTGCACTGACCTTTCATTCCATGGTTACATTCAGTGGGCTAGTATACAAGGTAGTCTCGTTTAAAAGAACCAGTATTGTCATGCAAACAAACAATCCATTTCATTGCTCAGCGGAGATTTCAGTCACGATGAGCGATGAAAAATACAGTGGACGAAACGAGTCCAGTGGCTGGTGAAAAGGGCCCACTTTCCCAACATCCGAGAATGACGATCAACAGAGCAAGGGCCATATGACGAAAGCCATCGCTTGGCAAGCCCCGTCCCGATAGCGGTGACTGCGGTGACTGAGCGGAATGAATGAATATGCTTACACAATAATCCTTTCGCTACTTTGCATAGTTATACGCTGAGGAGGGTGATGGTGTGGTTCTATATGTGTTGTTTATCGCGTAAACATGTACTCTGTACCTCATCAGTATACTAACTTCAATCCCGTTGAGGGAAAAAAAAACATCAACAATGGTCAGATGAAGTAATGCCAAGCAAAGCCACCGACAACGCCCATGGCTCCCACTGAAACCACTTCACGGGAATGAAAAACAACACCTCGCTTGTATTTATGGTATGCGAATTTTCAGCTGGCTGGCTGGCACAGAAGTGTCATCTGAAAGAGTGGGAGGGCTCACAGCCGAGCTTACGGCCTCTAAGCCACCGTCAACAGATCATATCATCGCAATGATCCGGTCTCCCACTGACTGGATAGCGGGGCATTCAGGGTCTTTTCACCCCTCCTCCGTCAAAGTCCTTTAGATCTATCAATCTAGTTCTAGCTTGGTCACCGGTTGCAGATCGATGACACACAAGTTCATCAAATCACTACTAACGGACTACGTACCCCTCGCTCTCGTGCCGTTTGAGCTTCTCCCAATTTGGCCCGCTTGTCTTTGTCCAACTAACTAGCTCCTTCTGTCAGTTGATTCTGCAGATAAGATAACTCTCGGCTTTTTTTCTTTTACTATCTTCCCCCCTCCTTCGCTTCTGCATGCACGTCCTCCCCTTCTGCAGCCTATCATTCTTCTAGACTCTTTCCTGTCATTTCTTTTTACTACAGTCCCCGCAGAACAATACCTACAGCTATGGCTCCGAGAATGAGTTTGGGCACTCACGCCCTGCTCGTTCTGGGTCTGCTGCTTGTTCTTCTTCCCACCCAGACCTGGGCTTTTGGAGCTGGAAGTAAGCTTTCCTCTAATATTTTCAGCGTGCGTCATCTTTTTACTAACACTTGCAGACATCGCTTCGATCTCGGCTGTTGAAGGCAAGAACTGGCGTCATGGAGATATCGAGGATATGCTCAAAACCATCGCTTTCATCAAGGGCCATAAGTGGACCTCCATGATGGTCAAGCGCGTGTACTTTGGTAACTGGTTGCGCGATTAGTGAGTATTTCTGCCAGTAGTTGACGGTAACTCGGGCTGATTGAATTCCTTTGCTGTTAGCTCACAAGCTATGGACGTCGGTACATTGAAGAGTCTCCCGGCTGAGACTATTCGGATCCTGGTCTGGATTCTGTCTTTCATGACGTTTGGCTATGCGACGGCTGAATTTGAAGTCACTTCAGAGAGGCTGGGTGTTTATCGTCCTGAGGAGCATATTGAGTATGTCTATCTCCTGTCTTTCGTATGTTGTGGTCGTATTTGAATGCGGGCTTATGTTTTCATCTCCGCAGTAACCCTAAGGATTACGCCGATAATCAGGATGCTCGCGAGTTCGACCAACGACTGCGAGGCCCTGTCCGCCAGGTCGAGCTGGATATCGACCCCGAGACCGGAATGAAGAACTACATTGCGAACGAGGAGGGCGGATGGGCTACCAGCTCTGCTTACATCAAGTATAGCTTGGCTCGCAGCATTCATTACGGACGCACATATACCCATGGAAGCAAGAAAGGAAACGAGGAAGATCTCTGCGAAGCGCTTCGGTGTCTGGGCCAGGGTCTCCACACGTTGGAAGATTTCGCAGCGCATACAAATTATATTGAACTTGCGCTTCGTGAGATGGGTTTCCGCAATGTCTTCCCTCACACTGGTGTGAACACTCAGATGAATGTCCGTGGTCACCGTGTGTTTCCGCTTGTGACTGGAACGTTCGGTATGGTTGACTTTTTCCACTCTGTGCTGGGAGAAGCCAACGATCACTTTACTCAGTCGGAAGTCAACGAGATGGACATTGCTCTCGGAGATGCGGAGGCAAATTCCTCTGGCGGGTCCCTTGGTGCTTTCACTGGTCTTCTGGGAAATATCCCCGGTACAAAGGATCTGGTGGAGGAGGCGGAGGAGCTTAAGCGTCGCTCCGAAGCTCAGGAGTCTGCGAACCGGTCTTATGGTGCTCGTTCTGGTTACACTACGCGCGGTGTCTCTAGGGAGGTGGATGACTATAGCGCTCCGCGTAGTAGAGGATTCGATGACGAGGTCCCAACGTACAGGGCTAACGAAAATGAAAGACCTGGAGAAAATTCCCAGTCCGGATCGGCTCTACAGGACTTCGATCCCAGCAAGACCATTGCCCAGATCTATCCCATCCTTGAATTCAGAGACAAAGTTGTCCGCAAGCTTGCGTCGATCATCGAGAAGATTCCTGGGTTGGAGGCAATCGTTGAGAAGATCACTGAGACATTGACCGTCTTCGTTATGTCTCTACTGGCACCGTTCATCCGCCCCCTCATCAACGCCGCTTCCAAGTCTTTGCAAGCTGGATCTTCCGGAGTGATTGATGCCTCCGGAAAGCACCAGTATGAGCCGTGGACTGACCCCAATTGCACGGATCCTACCCATTCGCTACTCTCCAAGGACCACTTCTCCAACATTCTCAATGAGCCAGCTGGTCAGGTAGCCTCCGCTATCCTGAAGTACGTCGCGCCTCGGGTTCTGTACGCTTGGCAGAACCTGGACGTCTCCGATGACCAGGTATTGGAAGATTGTTTGAAGGTGTTCCACCACCCAGCGCTGCGCAACATGAACAACGAAGCCCACCGCACAATGTTCAAAGCCGTGCAAGCCTGGGTTGACTCCAGACCGGACCGTGGCGCCGACCTGAACGATGTTCTCAGCGCTGAGGGAGTAAGACAGGGAAAGAACAGCACCGGTGAGGAGGGTCATTCACACTCACACGGCGGGGGTTTTGGCGCTGCAGGACATAGCCACGGATCCCAGCAGCAGCGTCCGCCTCAGCAGCAGCAGCAACAGCAAGGCTCTTCTCCTCTCCCCTGGGACAAGCTGTCCAGCCTTCCCATTCCGGGGATCTCCAACCTCAACAAGTTGAACAGCGCCTTCTCCGGTCTGGTGGTTGGTGGTGGCACGAGAGGCGAGACCGAAGAAGCAGAGAACCCAACTCGGTATGAGTCTCGTGAGGAGTCCCAATATACTACGCATCACCAGTCCTCGCACCAGGAGTACAACAGCTACCAGCACCAATACCAGAGCCAGAGTCAGAGTCAGTACTATCACAGCCAGGAGCAATCATATCAACCACCCCCTCCCCCTCCCTCTGACTTTGGCAACTACGGCGGCTATGATGACTACAATGGAAGTCAGCGAAGGCACCATGGAGAACATCATCACAGTCACCATCATCATCATTACCCATCACCTGGTCGCACCCCTCCTCCTCCGGGCCCGCCTGAAGGTTACGAGGAGCAGTCTTACAGTTCTTATTCGAGTTATGGACGCGGGAACGGACATGGTCAGGACTATTATGGAGGGAACTATTGATGAATCGCTAGGCTGGCAAGTGTACTACTTTATTTTAGCATGCAATAGACTGATATGATTTTCGGAGTCTCCGCAGAAATTATATTCTCTTCACTTAGTCATGTAACATCTAGATCTTCAACGCACCCTATAGCAGACTCATACCAGTAAACTCTCGTCTTAGCAAAGCCCAACCAACCTATTATATAAATAAATAATAGTAACCCCCTACAGCACGAACATACACTAGTTACAATACCATAGATAACACTTTGCTATCCCTAAAAGCAGATACAGACTGCCCAGCAGTTAGTTTTAACTAGTAGTTCACCGAAGCCAAAGCCTAGTTATTTTACTCGAACCCACAGAATTCCGCCCCGGCTCAGAACGCAAAAATATCAACCCCCTTAACAACCAAAGCCAGGCTAGCTCTAGTATCCAAGGGTCTTGCGAGGCAAAAATCAAACAAAAAAGAAAGCCCAACGCGGGGCTCGAACCCGCAGCCTTGAGATTAAGAGTCTCACGCTCTACCGATTGAGCTAGCCGGGCTAGTTCGGTGATAGTCGATTTTTAAAATTGGCATATCAAGAATTGGGAAAGGTTGGGTTGACATTTTGGTTGTAGAACAGTAGATACTTCGTTGGGAGTCGGATATATACAATAGGTGTGTGTGTGTGTGTGTCTAAAAGTCACGGGACAGAAGCTGGATCATATCAGAAGTTACTATTCACTAAGCTATTACTACATGGTTATCTCGAAGAGTTATGTAATATATGATATTCGTTTTCTTAGATCAAAATGATAATTAGTAATAAAAGAATCAAGTATTTAAATATCAATTTTCGACACCCGCATTCGGCTTGTCTTCTTGTTTTCTACTTTTTTATTTTCTTTTTCTTTTTTGTTGGGGGGAATATAGGGTCTGCCGGTTGCGGTGGTTGTGGTGCCTCTTTTTCTTCTTCTGTCTGCTGTGAGTAAGTAGCACCAGTACGTGGTACTGGGATGGTAGTAAGGAATAGCAATTGGTGAGTAGGGCAGTGGGATGACTAGATTAGTATGCATGTCTTCTCTATTACGTCCGCATGGGGTTGTTGTTAGGTTTGGAGAGGAGTAGTGGACATTATTTTCGCTGGTATAGTACAGAGTAGTAATCAGTAAGTTCCTAGCAAACTAGCGGATATTGTGTAAATAGTATTGGTTTAAGACACCCGGAATGTCTAGTATATACATTCAGAACTGGAAACGTATGTACAGTGCAACAACACACATAGCAAGAGTGCATTATGAGACATATCCCCGCCGGATATCTGTATTTTATGTGTATGCACATAAAGGCACTTAGCCACACCACATATGACCTGCACTTGCAGGTATGGAAGGAGAGGAACAACCAGAACCGATAAGGCCAAAGAAAAAAGCAAAAGGATATCATTATCACATCATGTCGCAACCATGCATTCGCCAAGCACCGAGTCATTAACCACATGTATGTGGGCTCCAAGTGGACGGCGAAGGAAAAGAATCATGGGGAGTAAGAAAAAGCGTTTACCCATTTACAAAGCACCAATGGAATGGACCGAGTGCTGTCTATCATAGTTTGGTCCCCTCTCGTCCGCTATCGCTGAGTCTCCGCGGTCGAAGAAAAGCAGTAGAAGGACCAGCGGCACTACTTGGCCCGGACGCAGACGCAGGGCTGCCGTTGCTGCCACTAGCGTTGTTTGGACGTGCACCTGCTCGCTGGCCCTGATGCAGACGAGGGTTCAAGAGCCACTGCACCTGCATGCGAATGCTGCCCACGGCTGCATTGGTGTGCGCCATGTCTTCTTTTAAGCGAAGACATTCGTTCATGAGAGCCATGCTAGCGCGGGCGTCTAGATCCGTGATGGCGTTGGAGAGCTGTCCGACCTCTTCGCGAAGAGACTCGTGGAGGGAGAGTAAGTAGTTCGTTGTAGTGGCAGTATAGAGGTTAGAGCTGTCGATCTGAGATTGATTGCTTGCCGAATCTCGTCGACGAGGGGCATCGGAATTTGTCGGGGGATCTTGCTCGGCTAGAGTACGAGTCGACTGGGCTAATGTCGAGCGGATGTTGGAAATTCCGTCCTCGAAAATCTCGTTCCGCTGTTGAAGGTGACGGATGGTAAGTTCAAGAGAATCGAGTCGTGCATTCTGCGCTTCAAAATACGGGCCCATGGCTATCAGCGGACAAGTCTGTTCGTGTGTCGTCAGGTCTGCACGCTTGACCTTGACGGGACAGCCGTATTTCGAGGCCGCGCAAGGATGGACAACCTCGGGGCAGGAGTCGATGTGTTCCCGCAGTGATTTCCGTAGGACGTTTATCTGGCAGTCGGGACATGTTGTTTTAAGACTTGGGCATAGATCCTTGACATGTTCCTGTAGGCAAAGAAATCTGATTAGCAGTATTCTATGGTATGAAGGCAACTCCCATACCTCGTAGTCTTGTTCCGCGACGTACTCGTCGCATCGTAGACAGCGTTGAAGCTCATGCAAGCACCGACCCTCAGAACTGAGGTCCTTCTTCCGGGTCGTCTTGTTGCAAGAGCTATCCGGACACTTCATGAGCCTGTAGCCACAATACTTGTCGACATGAGACTGAATATGACCTCTTGGTATAATCTCCTCACAACCTTCATCCCGAAAAGGACATCGCACTTCGATATCATCACACATATTGAGTAGCAGACGAGGCACGTTGAGGTAGACACCCCTCGTGGGGGTCCGGCAGGTGGGACAGGTGAAGTCGTCTCGACTGGCGGAAAACGCAGTGATGGCAGTATTTAAACACTTCTGACAGAAGACATGATCGCACTGAAGGCGCACGGGGCGAACGAAAGGGCAGTGACATATCGGGCACATGAGGTGGTCATCGTAGCTGGAGACCAGTTCTAGTGAGCGCAAGTCGACAACTTCGTCCCGGTCGCAGTTCGCCTCCATCGCGAGCAGTTCATCGAGGGTGATGCTCGTCATATTTCCAAACCCCCCTTCCCACGCAGGAAGGGTTCAGCTTATATTGTTAAGCCACGGGCTCCTGCGCCGATCGAAGTCGTCCTGCACAGGGGGGCCAGAAATGAAGGGACCGACCGTCCAGATGCCACAGGGGTGGGACGATGAAACAATAGCACAAAGCGAACACCCATGTATCTCAGAAAGTTACACGGTGGCTGACACGAAAGTTTGACTAAAGAAAGAACAAAAACTCAGGGGGAGGGTGACCGCAGGAGGTGGACGTGAGGAAAGTGAGGCCATTGCGGGGGAGAGTAAGAGAGGAATGAATGTGGATAACGATGAATGACGGCGAGATATGGGAAATGGAGACGATGGCGGCGGAAGCGGCAGATCTGCCGAGAACGAGGCCCTCTGGTTATCCATTCCATCCACCCGGCTGGTCCTCTGGCTTCAGTAATATCCACTCCATTGCTCCATCGTCTGGCAGTCCCTGCGTGGATGTACTTCTCCCCCCTTCCCTGTCATCTGCAAGTCGCCGCAGTTCCGACATCTCCGCATTTGCCTGGTTGACCGACGCTAAGACAACCTCACAGCCTTGTCCATCCTCCTCTCCTCCATCCGGTCTTCCCCCATACCATCCTCACGCACATCCAAACGCCATCCCAGTCGCTCAGCCATGCCAAACCCTTCGCAACTCCTGCTTCTTGCCGATCATATCAAGTTATCGCTACTCGAACGGCAACGGGCCATCTCGCTCGACCTAGAACCCAACAGTCAAGATGGCGAGATCTCACGCTCCCTCGACTCCTTGAAAGAGGGCATCGACGCCGTGGAATCCGACTGCGCACGGCTAGAAGAAGCCAACGATGAAAGCGCCACCGACATGAGAGACCAACTCGACCACCTATACTCCCAGTATCGAGAACTGACATCCCAATTCCGCGGCTCGGATGCTGCTGCAGCGGACGATCCCGTCGAGTTCACCAACATCAAGAAGTCATCACCGGACCTGAAACAGCCCGTCCCGCAACATCCTTCCTCCAAATCAGTCCGGTTTATGGATAACGCCGCCGAAGAGGACGATCTCAATCGCCGGAATCTCTTCCAGCCATACCGCGACTCGCCCTCCCCACAGGGCGTGGACACATCCGAAATGTCCAACCAGCAGGTCTACGATCATCATGAGCAGATCATGCGCGACCAAGACGAGCAGCTAGACCGACTAGGCGAGTCCATCGGACGACAACATCAGCTCAGTATCCAGATTGGTGATGAACTTGAGGGCCATGTTGCGTTGCTCGATGACATGGATGGCCATGTGGAACGGCATCAGGGTCGGTTAGACAAGGCCAAACGCCGGCTGGATAAATTTCGGCGAAGTGCGAGCGAGAATTGGAGCATGATGACAATCATCGGGTTGATCATCGTCCTCGTCATACTGATCGTCCTTCTCAAGTGAATGGGTGTGGAGCCTCTCGTATATGATACTTCTCGTCATGACTTTGTTGTTGGAGCGGGATTACTCCATTGATGATCCCCGGGGCGAAATGGCGTTATTTGCGTTGTATTGGAGTTGTCCATACTACTAAGCTATCGAGTTTCTATTGTGGAGGGTGGAAGGGATTCTGTGGCGTTAGAGTAGGTATTTGCTTGCAGCTTAACACTTTTACAGCCCATCGGCATCTGTTTCGAATACACTATATATCATTCCTTTGATTACTCTATAGCAGAGCCAAATACATCTCTCCTGCTTTTGATACCACAATACCATATTTGAATATATCCCTTAGAAGTAGACAACAAATGACCCATCACATCAACCTCCCAACAACTCATCCTTAACCCACCCGACCCAAAAAACAACAATAGGAACTGAATGAAGCAAGAACAATAATTCCATTTACATTCTCAAACAAACCCAACCGACTAAACCCATCATAAGTACTGTTGAATGAATAAAAACAATTTATTGAGTCTTGTTCACGGGCCCATCCCTATTCGGCAACCCTTTCGTCCGTTCCTGCATGGCTCCGAAGTTCTTGTCGTCACTGTCCACTTCGCCGCGATCGGCCTTGACCTGTTGCATTTGAAACAATACATTAGCATCAATCACCCTTTAATGTAATCCAACCCAATCCGTAGAAGGGGTTAGAATTGTTGAGTAGAATAGAGAGAAACCTACCGACGCCTCACTATCACTAGCGATTTCCTGCTTCCACTTCGCCTTACCCTCCTTGGTGCTTTTCAGTTGGTCGTGTTTCTCGGCTTCGTAGATGCTGCCAAGGTCTTCACGGTCTGCAATGATTTAACTATATTAGAGAATGTGTCTGAGAAATTTTGGTCGGGACTGGACTCACTGTGATCGGATTCCTTCAGACCTGGGCGGGGAATGCTGGTGTGGAGGGCTGCTGCAGAGGTGTAGGCATAGGCAGGGCGGGAGAGGCGGAGGGTGGTTGCGCGGATGGGGGTGAGGAAGGACATGTTGGTAATTGTAGCTGTAGCTGTGGCTAGATTGAGATTGATGGTATTGTTAGTTTGATGTTTCCTTTATTGAGGATTAGAAGGGAATGGATGGTTGACTGAGGACGAGGAGCCCGTAGTATGAAGCTACCATCTCCTTCCACTTCTAATGACAGCAATTCCAGATAAGTAGTGCACTGCAGTTCACTTACAATTCTCAAAGAGTACTCTCAAAATTTCGAACGGTGGTTTTGAGATTATCGTGTAGACAAGTGACAATCTCTAGATGTAACAATATGATAGATAGGTAGATAGTATCGAGATGAACCAAAAGTAGCTCGATAGTGGCGGCCTCATGTATTTAAATCATTCCACTCCAACCGAGACTTCCTCCAACTGCCAATCATCAATTCCAGGGAAAGAGAGTCCCGTTCGACCTCGGGTGAATCAGTTGGCAGCCATTACTCAATGCCAGTTCGACGAATTGCTCGTCGAAGTAGCGGTGACGTCATGGAGTCTGATGCGTTTCGGGATGGATGTATCCTCATTATCCGTTCTATCCTACGGTGTTGATGTGGGTAGTTGAGTGATATTTTTAGTTGTTTTATTAAGGAACGGTTTTTAATATAATTTAGTTGTTTATGTTTATTCTGTAATATCTTTAGAGAGAGGAATTCGAATGTTGTCTTTGAAAGGGTCGCTTCTGGATGCAAGAGAGTTCGGTGTCTTCCAGGTTCGAGGCCGCAAATCAAGGATATGACATCACGTACATTGACCACTCCTTACTGTGCCGTTACGACCAGATAAGTAGGGGATCACCACATGTGTAGCAGAAATCACTTCAGAATACTGCTCATCATCGTTATTATCAAGTGCATTCGCTGCGTTCCGATGTTTTCAGTGCTATGGTGTTTTGAGCGTTGTGGGTTGGCTCGGCACCCGTCTCAGCAATGAATATATATCCGCCTAGACCTCTGAACAGCATCGAGCGTTCACTCCTCAACTCGAACTAAAGCGCGGCAATCTGATAACCACTTCCTAATCAAAAGCTAGTAGCCGTTGCGATAGCAACCGCTGTGCTCTATTGCCCCTCTCAATCTGCAGCGTGCACGATACGATATCGCCCCAGATTATGAGGTCATGTAGCGAAGTACTACAACCGCTGCAACTACCACAAAATTATCATCCCTACATCTACTGCATCTACTGTTTTTCAAGGCAAGCCCCAAGACTGAATGGAGTCCAAAGCTAATTTCACAACTATGTATAGGCATTTACCCCATAGTTCCAGCCAAAAAGCGTATAGACAAAGGAGATATGGTAAGAGACGGAATACCCAAGAAGCGAACAGAATCAGCAAGATCATACACTGCATCACATTCTCCGGGAGTCCCCAGGAGTCGAAGAACATGACTTTAAAAACATCCGAACGAGTCAACGTGGAGGCGAACAGAAGAGAATTATGTCGTCAACTGACAACTCCCATCAAGACAGTGGTCTATCTCGCGAAAGAAGGCGAGTGTGACCCCGGCAAAAAAAGGAAATAAAGAAAAACTCCTCATCCAATCCATGGATTTTCACAGCCAGTTGACCTGAAAGTAACAAGCACCGCGTGTCACCAATTCCCCAACCAACCCATATACATTGGTATAACAAACAGAATTTTTCAAGAAATGAAAACATATGCGAAGTATACGTCGAAACCAGCCAAACATCCCAAACAACTCAGCAAAGCCCAATCAATGCAGACGTATATGTCGTTTCCGCCTTTCTAAATCCCTGAAAAGCATGAGAAAATGATCCATCCCACCCAAAATGTGACAAAACACCAAGCCGAAAAGATGAGGTATAACCGCCAACAGCAAATCTGGCATAGCCGCCGTGGGAAACCAAAAAAGCAACTCCGGACCATAGATGCGCGCCTGAATGGCAGATCGCCGCGCTTTCTATACATCATCGCGGCCAAAACTCGAGGTTCAAAGCACAAGGGGTTTCCCTAACCGTAAGATAAAAACAAGGTATCGTTTGAGGTGGAATGCAAAAATCGAATATCGCAGGCGCCGTCGCTCGCAGGAAGCCGAAAGCATCAGTCTAGGTATAAGTTGCTCGAAGTCGTCATCGAAGTAAGGTGTATATACAGAGAAACACTGGTTTATCCTTTGCTGTTTTTGCGCTCGTCAAGCCAAAAAGAGGAGAAGGGAAGATCAGTCGAATCGTAAGAATGCGATGGCCGTGTCGAACAGAAAGCAAAACAAAGCAGTAACAATTATAACCCGCGGTTAGGGAGCCCGATGATGCAGAAGCCGGACGAACGTGGTGAACATGCTATGAGCCTAAGCGGCCCTTTGCCGAATGGAACGGCGACTTGCCAGAATCGCGGTCCTCACCACCGACGTTGGGCATTCTGCATCGAAGCCGGGGAGATTGACGTAGGCGGGCTCGTCAAGGTCATGCCGGTATTGGGGTTGACGATCGGGATAACCTTGCGGGTGCGGACTGCAGACGGCTGCTGGAAGTTCACGTGATTAAGATTACCGCTAACTCCTGAGTGAACATAGGAGTTGCTGGAGGCAGGAGACAGGGAGATGGAGGGAGTGACCTGCTGGACAGGCTGGATTTGGTGCTGGAGAGGAGAAGTATCGGGAGATCCACTGGAGAGAGATGACCGATCCGAGGAAGCAGAGTGGATGGAGTGCAGCTGTAATATCAGGGGTCAACAAGCTGTTCCATTAAAGTACGGGGTCGGCAGTCTCAAGATATCCGTAGTACGAACGGAGAGGGAGGGAGTACTAGGCCGGGGTTCGACAAACATACATCATCTTCCGTCAGGAGACTGGGGCAAAACTCCAGGTCGTCATCCAGGTCAAAAGACCGTCCAGCCTCGAAGCGGGCACGGAAAGCCGTCACAGCAGGGGCCTCTGCAAGCTCCCTCATACTCTTGACACCTCTAAACTGGCGCTGAGCATTCTGGGCAGCCATCTTGGGTCCCCGACGGGAACGACCCCCATGGTGATTGTTCGAGTTGGCCATGTGGGCGGTAGCGCCATGGTGAGGGTGTTGCTGGTGCTGGTGCTGTTGCTGGTGACCGTAGAAGAACGTAGACATTTTGTTGTGTGGTTGTGGCGAAACGAACGCAACAAAAAGTAAAGCGAAGTTATATCGGTAGGAAGGATATGCTGAGGAATTCGAGGGCGGATATAAACAAAGACCAGCGCTCAGGAATCCCGACAGTAACGCAACTCCGGAGTAGAGTAACAAAGAAAAGAGATGGAGTAGTAAGGTCGAAGAATGACAAGCGGTCGGACGGAATGCAGAGTGCGGAAACAAGAGAAGAGGATTTGGAATAAGGCAGAGAAAGAGAAGATTGTGGGATAAAGATGGGGAGATAATGGAAAGTGAATGCGAGAGTGAAAGTGTAAGAGATCGGGGGGGGGCGGGCGAATTTGCGATTAGTGTTGTGGGATGGGGAATCATCAACGGATGGCGGGACAAGAGTTGAAAAGAAGACCGGGAGCGAGAAAAGAGTCGCAGCGCCCGGAGCGGACGGGAGGCGAGAGAGAGCAAGAGGGGCTGCAGTTGTGATTCGACTGGGGCTGAGCAAAAGTGCACGTCGGTGGAGATCCGCAAGGGAAAGGGAATGGCATACGTGACCGTACTTACCACACAGCCTTTTCCCTACCGGTGGCATCCACGAGTATGGAGGTTATGAAAGGACATTACTGGTTACAACTGGCTCCCTCGCCGAGGCGCCCGTAAAGTATCCGTGGTATCGTCTGTAACTTCTGTAACATCCTAGTCCCAGAATTCCCGCGCTAACCTGGTCACGCACCCAGTTTTAGGGCAGGGTGAGGACCAACCAGATCCCTGTCAATGGATCCTCAGTGGCAAGTTAATGCCCCGATCACCAATCAGAACCAGTCATAGTGGGCTCATGGCAGCCACCGTCAAAATGGCCAATAAAACACCGATTTTGGCTGCTCTAATCGGCTACCAAGCGGGTCTTAGTGACGTCGAAAGGAAGCACACCATCCCACTTTGGGTATGGACCAGCGCACCCTCTCCCTTGACGCCTAATATATGGGTGTCCTCGATCTAACCGTGACGAGTGCAAGCGGCTGTCGGATGAAGACCGGGTCTCAGCCTGGACTTTAAGGCTGTATTACCGTCATGAACAGCCTATGAGTATTACACATGATGGTGCAATGATGCCTACTTACGCTCATTGTATGATGCAGACTGCCGTTAGATAGACAAGACACAGACACTGTCTTTTACAGACCTGTGGATCTGCAATGCTAATAGAGTATCAATCGATCCATCTCGCCCACCATCGGATGCATGGATGATGACGATGGCAATGGCAAAGAACATCGTGGCAATGCTCTGTAGTGGCTCTCTGTGTTGGGTCGTTTTCAAGGTCACCAGGAGGATCCTTCCCGTCGTACCTGTACCTCGTCAGGTATCGAACCCCCAATCACTTCGTGTTCAGGAAAGGGAAAAGGGCAGGTAAGAGCAACAGTACAGTAGTATGTGGCTCCCACTTCCGAAGACAGGCATGCGCTGGCAAGCAGGCAAAATGCCCACTACAACACCTGCGGGTAATGATTTGCAAAAAATGTGGTGAGCCCCACCGGACTAGCTACCCTCTTTTTTCGTTGCTGTTATTCTCGGTACCTTTCCCTTGAACCGTGCCACTTGGTCTCGTCGGGGGCGCTCCTATTCCATCCTACTATTGCCGTTTTCCCACCATCTGCTCCCCTAAACTGTCTTCAACTCTCAGGGAGAGGCGCTCCTTAGAGTGGGCGGGCGGGGACTCGGGCCATCTGACTTTGTATTTTCCCCCCAACCATTGAAGATTGTCATTGACTAATGAGATTAATAACGGGCAGCTCCTGCCATGGCCACCCTTCGACGGCTTCGACAAGTATTCCATAACAGAAATTAATCCTCCACTTCAATATCTGGATCTTCTCCATATTGAGCGGATAGTCAGCTGATACTATTGTCAGTAGTACTTTCTGACCAGAAATATATTACGGAATAGTAATAAACAACTAATAGTGATTTTCTCGTTTAGGCCTTATGTCCATGTAATCACTGTTTGTTTTTGAGTCCCCTCGCCAATTCATCTCAAAAATCAATCAGGTACGGAGAACGCCGTCAACAAAAGGAACCGAATCTTGAACTGGGCTTGGCTGCTCTGCATTGTCAAGGATCTGCTCCCTGTCTTCCCATCCATCCACATGGGGCAAGCGCTACGGCCACTGCATGGCCCTGCACCTCCCTCCATGCAGTAAACGTTCACAAGAATAGTAGCAGCAGTGTAGCTTTTAGTGTCCTCCGTAACTCCATCTGCTGTCACGACACATAGGTGTACTTCATTATCTACAATACTCCTTTCCAATAAACGCAGAACAAGTTTGCGGTCTACTTTCCCCGACGCCTGGACCCTCCACTGCACACGCTAAACCCAGGGGTTGAAACGCCGTATCACTGGTCAACGGTAGCGTAAATGCAGGATGGGGATGCACCTAGGGGGAGGGGGGGAGATGGGAGGGAACAGACCGGTAGGAATGATGGCGGCTACTGGAACAGCCATAGCAGCATAATATATCATGGATCGGGCTTAGAACGCATGCTAGCAGGGTCACAGCTCCTCCAAACCTGCAGACTACTGCAGGATGCAGTCCCGAGGGTAGGTAGGAGGAACATACACTCGCTCAAGCGACCTGGGATGGAATGGGGGCGCTTTCTGTCTGCACAAGCGATTGGGCACTACTAGCCATGGATGCCAGAGTGGTATTCTCACACTTCTCCCGCGTCCAGATTGTGCCAAACTAAACCTGCTAAAAAGCCAGCCCCCCATGAGACATGATCTCTGATCCTATTCGGCAAGATAATGTCCCTGCTAAGATCTGACCACCTCACCGCCCTTTCGGTAGATGGGAAATGCAACGCAGTCTGGAGTTGCCCCTCTCGGGATCAGGAACCTTGTTGTATGATCTTCATCTCATGATAGGTGCATCTCGATGCCCAAGGCAGGGGCGCACTGAGAAAAATCCGGTATAGTCACTCGATCATGCTTATGGGTGATGATCCATACAGCAAGTAAGTTTTGCCGATAACTAAAGTAACCTCGAGGCATCCGACGCCGCTACTTACTATGATCGGACGCTTTCCATCCCTGCCGTATGTATGGTATCCTTGGTATTGAATTGGTATTCCCCTTTACCAGATTTTATACGAAATCCTGTTGGGAGGAATGTTTTGCGGCGCAATGAAGAAAGGCCTAGATACACAGCCCGCTACACGGCCTGGAGTGTACACAAGTATACGTACATGGCTTGATGGGCGGGGGGTCGTCAAGCGGGATCTGCTGCACTCCAGACGCCATTTCCGGAATATTTGTTGATCTAGCTAGTGTATAGGACGATAGTCCTTGTCCACCCGTCTCGGGGGTACTCCCCCTCTCAATAACAAGACTGGAGTGTGCGCAAGTGTATCTCCGCCCACATACGTACCCCGAAGCAAGGGATATGAAACACGATATTCCTGCCTAGTCTGGCCAACGGTCTCAGGAAGCGCCCATGTTGCATTAGAGGTGTCCAATAAACGACATCATATCTCCAGATAGGTAGCTTTCCAGTTACTGAAATCTGGGTTGTAGCGTTCATCTATGTCGGCGCTTCTTCGAAGCAGAAAGAGTGCATGGCTGGAGTGGTACCTGTGACACCTGCAAACGGGAGAGCAGCGAGATTATTCACGGGTCAACTCGGACTAAAACTCAATTGAAATAGCTTCCCAAATCGAGGAATAAACCTTGTAGGCCAGGGTCAAATTGTCAATACTACTGGACTGCGTGATCGGTTCTCCGTGGAAGATTCAATCTCAACTGATGGTAAGGCTAGATAGAGTAAAAAGCTTGAAGGTTACATTCAACGGATATACCCGATTCCCAGATCAACACCCACCATGATGATCTTGTAGCATAGCCTACAAACTGACAGAAATAGCGTCACACAAAACCGGTTGAACCAAACACAGTGGTTATCTTCTAAATCTCACCGCGACCTGGCGAGATACGTAGTTCCAGTCTCGCGCTTACCCGGATTGACATCCATCCCTTTGATCCCCCCCCATCCCTAGCTACAGTAGTCGCTACCAACACATGCCAGAATGCAAATTCCCCACGCATTCCAGAATTTTCGTCAAGGAACACGAACTTGCATACACGCATACATACATACATACGTTCGTTTACAAGGATGTATGTATGTAATAGTTTACCATCGGCATGCAACAAGGGAAGTAGTAATTGCGTAGGTACCACCGTAAAGAGATACTCGGTGGACTGACTACCTTGGTAGAACTGAAAGTCAAATCCTACATGCCTTTCAACATGGCTTGCTTACTTACTGACTCGGAGTAAATCCACATTCTGACAGCTGGGTATGTACAGTAGCTGCCTATGCATGGAAGACCTTGTTTCTGTTTTGTGGTTGTTATTGGATTCTTACGGATCTTAGTTGTGGAGATGTGGGAAGCTTAGTTGGTGGGTGGATTGGTTTGTGTTACACGAGTATCATCTATGTCTTGCTTGTGGTTGAGTATGTGTCAGGGAGAACTTGGATGGGGAGTTGTATGCCCACGGTATAGTATTTAGTCGCATAAACATCATGGCTTTCAGGTGCGGATGAATATGTACTGTGCGTTATGGTGTTGCTGTTGAAGCGGTTACTGGCATGCGGGATATTCGAAGCTGGGCTAATATGGAGGATGAGCGTTTGTTTGTTTGAAGTCTGTTTGTTCGCTTATGGTATATCTGTATCTCTCAGTATCTTCTCCATGGCACCCGCTTAGACTATGCGATAATGCAACAGTTTTGAAACAATCTGCAACCAGCCGAAACCCGAAATATGGACCAAAAAATAAGTATCGCTCGCGCATGACATGCTTCCGTAATAACATGACCCCGTTGAACGCCGCTTGAAATCCTATGTATGTGCATGAAAATGGTATGTTCATTTGTCCAGGTTCTTGCTCTTCACCATCCGTCCAAGAAGCTCCTTGCAATGCTTTTCGCTGTATTGCTCCCAGACCTCGTAAAGCGACACCAGCTCTTCAGTACACTCTATGACTGCCTTGATGTCCACCTCGCTCTCGGCAAGCCATCCTATAAGTCGTTGAATGCGGGGAGGAGGGCCGTTGCCGCCCTTGTCTCCCAATGCTCCAAGGATGTTCATCCCCCCATCGCGCATCGCGCTGGCCAGTGGCGCTGCTGACCCGTGAAAGCTCGTTTGGCTGGGCTTGAAGACCACGGCGACGATAATCGCCATGACAGCGATGACGTGAGGCGGATATAAGAGCGGCAAGTCGGTGAGATAGTGGTCGTTGATTACAGACCATGCAAGAGCAACTTCATCTGACGTAAGTGACAGCTCGGGTTGGAGTTCTGATAAAGTTCGATATGGGTGGTGCACAATAAGCTGAGAGTTCATTTCCGATATCAAAGAGAATTCGCATTCTCCTAGTTTTGAAACGTCTGGGGCAATAAACTCTGTAGCCACGTCAGCGGGAAGCGCACGAAGTGCATTAACGCGAGTGTTCCGTACCTGGCCAGAGACCTCTAGCCTCTCCGACGACAAAGCGAATATGTTGAGGGCATTCTTCCATTTTACAGGCCAGATAGAAGGCAGTAGTGACGACAAGATACGGGTTTGTATGTCTAATCTCGTTCTTGGTGTAGAACCTCTTGACATAGACTTGCGCTGTCGCAAGTGCTTGTTGTCGAGTAGACATCCGTTTGCCCAATTTGATGAGTTCTGTTGGTCTGGTGAGCTCGGATGCTCACCGATTTAGGATATATACTATGTTATCTTACGTTGACTGAAGTAGATGTTCAGCAACCTCTGATCCGGCAGAGGAAACTGACTATGAGCGACCATGTCCCGCTCTCTAAAGTTCTCCCGAATCTCTGCCAACTTCTCTCTCGTGAAGAGCCAATGTCGGCGTTGAGTTGATGCCCAGTAATTAGCAGCCATTGTTGGGAGTCTAGCGGGAAGGGGGTATCGTGTGGGGGTTAATCTAGTATAGAAGAGGTAGCAATAGCCACCATAGTGCTTTTCCCTTTGGGCCTAAGAGGTGCTGGATGGGTACAGATTATCCAGTTGGCTTTGGGCATCCGAGGGTGTGGATGTGTGGCTGGTATGGTATACGACCCACTAGTTCAGGAGCGCTGGAGGGTGAATCGATGAGGGGAGTAACAGCCTGAATCCAGGCAACACACACCCCTTTTAGCAATCGGAGTGAAGATGAGGTTTGATGTCGTGCAGGTCGGAGATGGGACTCCGAAGGGGCCGAACTGGAGGCAAGAGTGAAAGGCGGGAGTGGAAGGCGCCTAAACGGGAATAGCCGGGAGATTTGGTGACGACCGGGCCGGGGTCTAGTTTTCTTCCGGTTCATGTCGTAAGGAAAGCAAATCATCGCGCCTGGATTTCTCACGGCTATCGGCCTCACCCCAGCTGACCTTCAACGACAATCATGAACGCCGGATTATCACTTCGTGCATAATTTCACCACCGTGATTTTCGATGCCCAAATTATTCATTCACCTTCACCTTCTGCCCTGTTGCGACAGGGAATCCCTCCTCTTCAACTCCGCTGACCCCTCCTTAAAAAAATAATGACGCAGTTGTGATAAGAATCACTTTTCACCGAACATGGACACTGGCGAGTCGCAAAAAGATCGGGACCAGAGAGTCGCCCAACTCTGGCAGCGCTTGGATACCAAGGGTGAAGGTCATCTTGACTTCAATGGCCTAAAGAAAGGACTAAAAAAGATCGATCACCGTAAGTCCCCATCATGACATGATCCCGTGCAGCTCGGTGCAGATGACCTAACGGCTTGGGATGCAACAGCGCTCAAGAATGCAGACCCTATGTTACGCGATATCATCAAGGCAGTGGATACCAACGGGGATGGCTACATAGATTATCCTGGTAAGATCATGCGTCGCACACCATAGCGTCTCATTCCTCCTAGTGTCACTGGCTATAGACGCCAGTCGTTTTTCCAACCTAATGTTCACCAGAATTCCGAGCCTTCGTTGATCATACCGAAATCGGCCTCTGGCAACTGTTCGAGAGCATAGACCACAATCACAACGGCGAGATCGATAAGAATGAGCTCAAGACCGCTTTTTCGAGATCCGGGGTCACGGTCTCCAACGCAAGGCTGGAAGAATTCTTCGCGGAGGTCGATAGCAACAAAGATGGCGTCATCTCTTATGCGGAGTGGAGGTACGTACTATAGCGGTCAGCTGAAGGTGTCTGGGGTTGTCAGCTAATGACCTGTTGGTATCCAGGGATTTTCTCCTTTTCCTGCCCGCCTACTCGTCCTCAAACCTCCGCGCTGTCTTGTCATACTACACCGCCACGGGAAATCTTAACCCGGAAGGAGATGTCCACATCAATGATCTGCAGGGCTTAGGTACAGACCACTCGTTTCTTAAACGTTATATCTTGGCCTTACAGAACCTCCTCTCCAACGTTTTCCCAGTGCACGTTTTGACACTCTTGATTCCTTCAGCCTACGCGGAAGCCACCGGCGTGTCCGAGGTTGGGGTCGCGTTTGAGGATGACTCTACACCCTTAGACAATGACCTGGAACTGGAGTGGTTGCCCATACCCAGGATCGTCGCCATGTGGATGTCCTTCCGATATTATGAACAGAAGTTGACCGAAAGCACTCCTCAATTAGGTTACTTCGTTGCCGGTGGTATCGCAGGCGCAGTGTCCAGGACAGCAACCGCGCCCTTGGACCGACTCAAAGTCTATCTCATTGCTCAGACCGGCGTGAAATCATCAGCTGTCCGCGCAGCGAAAGATGGCGCTCCTTTGCGTGCAGCGGGCAAGGCGTCGAAAACCCTCGTCGAAGCCGTGAAAGATCTGTGGCGTGCGGGCGGTATCCGGAGTTTGTTCGCAGGTAAGACCCATGAATAGTTTATGTTATGACATATTTCTCACTGTCATAGGCAACGGTCTCAACGTTGTGAAAGTTATGCCCGAGTCAGCTATTAAGTTCGGTGCTTATGAAGTGAGTTAACTGCTCGATACAACTCAAACTTGTCTTCATTCGACTGACGTGCAACAGTCTGCAAAGCGTGCTTTCGCCCGCCTGGAGGGCCATGGTGACCCCAAACGTCTCATGCCTGTATCACAGTTCCTATCTGGGGGTTGCGGTGGAATGGTTGCACAGTACGTTCGAGTAGCCATTCTCAAGCAAAATAGCCGATCTAACACATATGCAGGTGCTTCGTCTACCCTCTTGATACCTTGAAATTGTAAGTCACGCCCTTGGTCGCTGGTATCATTTGCTTGTTTTTCGAAACTAACTTTACAATAGTCGCATGCAGTGTGACACCGTCGAAGGTGGCCTGAAGGGAAACCAGCTCATTGCGGCTACGTTTAAGAAGGTGTGGTGCAAACACGGCCTACTGGGCTTTTTCCGTGGCTTGCCACTTGGCCTTGTTGGCATGTTTCCTTACGCTGCCATCGATCTGTCTACTTTCGAATACATGAAGCGAGCGTTAATCGCGCGGAAAGCTCGCTTGAACAATTGTCATGAGGACGACGTGCCTCTTAACAACTTCACCACCGGAGCAATTGGCGCTATGAGTGGAGGATTTGGCGCCTCGGTTGTCTATCCACTGAACGTTCTCAGGACGAGAATGCAAGCCCAAGGCACCGTTCTGCATCCCGCGACCTACAACGGGATTGGAGATGTCGCTCGCAAGACAATACAGACCGAAGGGCTGCGTGGCTTTTACAAAGGGCTGACGCCGAATCTTCTTAAGGTCGCACCTGCAGTGTCCATCAGCTATGTCGTTTATGAAAACTCGAAGCGAATGCTTGGGTTGAAATAGACGGCTCATTAGAGCCAGTTTCTGGGGGTTGCTTACTGCTCAGAGACAAATATGGCTGTGTTGACACCGTGGCTTGGAACTTTACCAATTGTTTCGCCATATTCTCGCATTTCCTTCTACTTACCACCGTTTTTAGACATTGCGTTTGAGATACCCATAAAGCCCCCACGGGCACATCGACATCTCTTTAGGGCGATAATGTGGATCTGTCCTTTTCCACACACCACTTCCCGCCAGAGATTACCGTCCCTCTTTTTATTGCTGCACCTTTCTCGCTGAACAGCCCGATGGCTTTGACTATTTCGTTCACCTCACCCATTGCTGGTATCGTGAAATCTGAAAGCTATTTCACTTGGATAGCCAGCTTCCCCACGGATTGGGAGAGTCGCATGACCGGCTTGACTAGCATGGCAGGGCGTCGCGCGACAAAGCATTGCTATGGAGTTTCACATTGCTTCTGTCTTCTGTACATTGAATTTTATGGGGGTGTCGCTGGGGAGGATTCTTTTCCGTTAACCTTTTTCCTAATTGTACGTAGGGTCATACCCCACACCGCACATGTTGCGTCGATACATGAATATAGAGATACATAGCTTGCACATTTAGCTGAAATACAACTTTGCATATTTGCAAATTATACAGAACCTTGTAGTAACATTAACATATTCTAAACCGCACCAAAGAACCCCTAAGCCCCCTTAACTGCCCTGACCTCCTCATCTTTGGGCAAGACATCCGGCAGCGGCCCAACTGGCGTAATCGCAAATTGATTAATCTGCTTATGACTCTTCGTATAATGGAACTTGATATGCTCAAAGTTCGTCGTCTCCTTAAAAGCCGGCACATCCCAATACAACTTCCTCATCCAGCGATGGATAGCCGGATACCCGGACCGAATATCGCGAATATTGCACTTGAAGTGCTGCACATAGACAGGATCAAAGCGAATGATGGTCGTGAACAGACGGATATCCGCCTCCGTGATTTCCGAGCCGAAGAAGTACGGCGCGTTCTTCGAGTCCGCCAGATGCGCCTCGATCTTGTCGAGCGAGGAGAATAGCGTCGTGACGGCCTTTTCATATGCTTCTTGTGTGGTGGCGAAGCCGGACTTGTAGACGCCGTTGTTGACGTCGTTGTAGATCCATTCGTTGGAGGAATCGATCTCGGTGCGGAGGGAGGAGGGGAATAAGTCGACGGATTTGTAGGGTTCCGGGAGGAGGTCGTCGAATTCGTAGTAAAGCATGCGGATGATTTCGGCGCTCTAGTTTCGTCGGAAGATTAACGCTTTGTACTTTGCTTAGTGGGGGAGGATGATGTGCTTACCTCGTTGCTTACGATGCGGTTGGTTTTCTTGTCGAACAGGACTGGAACGGTGAACCGGCCGGTGTAGTCGGGGTCATTGGAGAAGTAGATTTCGCGCAGGTGAGTGTACTCGTGTAGAGGGTCGGTGGTGACGTTTTGCTCGGGTTGTTGTTCTTCTGCGGTCGCGAAGCGCCAGCCTGTTTTTTGGTTGTGTGAGCTATTTCGTCGGGTTATTCGGTGTGTGAGAGAACGAACCCTTTTCTCCTAGATGCCAGTGGACGGAGGTGTAGGAGATGATATCCTCAAGACCCTTGAGCTTGCGCGTGATCAGAGTACGGTGGGCTGTGCGAAGAATTGTAGCATTAGTATGTGTAAAGATAGATCGGGATAGAAAGGAAAGAAACGCACCCCAAGGACAGGCGTAAGAGACGTAGAGGTGATAACGGCCCTTCTCTGGAGGGAATTGAGCGCCAGGCTCTCTGGAGATCCAGTTGCGGAAAACTGATGTCTGGCGCTTGAACTCGCCCGACTTGTCATTGGGATTGACCCAGTCTGTGATCTTGCCACTGTTGCCTGTCTGTATAAGCGTAGATTGTTAGTTTTATGGGATTGGTATTGAGTGGATCAGCTAGTGATAGTAGTGACTTACAGCCATGGTGCGTGCTGGAGTAAAGATAGGCTGTGCGGGGAGGAAGGAGCTTCTGCAGGTGGCTGGACGTGGAAAGCTGGTGATAGATTTGGGTTGCAAGATATGTTGCGAGACTTGTCGAAGTCGATGAAGAGCAGGAAACATTGGGAACAATGAGCAATGGCAAGGAGGGGCAGGGAGCTCGTTCATATACAAAAAGTAGGACGAGGCGATACGAGGCCAGACGCTGACGGATGGGGTGCGGGGAGCCAATGACGTGATGGTTTGCTTACAGCATTGCTTACGGAGGCGTTAATAACGGGGAGTTAAGCCTCCCGCTGACAAACAGCTTGCTCATTCATTAGTTAACTAATTAATCAATTCCTCATCTTTCGCGGAACCACTTAGACTGATTAGTCTGCCACTTAGTCAAGATCATCGAAAAACGCGGAACATAGACAGTAGTATATTCCTAGAAGAATTTAATTGAGAAGATAGAAAAGCTACTTATACTATGGTGTCTAGTGCGTAAACGGACATATCCAGAGAGATCATGGGCCTTTGCTTGCTCTCGTGCCGATCAGCCCCTCTACTTTCTCAGCTTCACCATCACATACGGAATCTCGACATCCTCCTCCGTCTGATCCTCCGCCGTCACCTCGAAGATGACGTTCTTCTGGTGCTCCGGAACCGGCTTCTTGCTGATGTGCTCCACCAACTTGCTCATCCTATATCATAAGCGATTAGTACCGTAATGCTCTCTGTGGTTATCGGGGGTACATACTTCATAGGAAGACGGTCCTTAACCTTTGATGGTCCATAGAAGCTGGCGTACAGGAGACTAACGCCAGAGCTAACCATGCTGATCTCCAATCCCATGTCGGAGAAGTGCTTGAGGAAATCCTGGAGAGGAATATCATCCACCTCGAAGCGATCCCAGATCTGGTCGATCGTAACCTCGCCCTCCTTACCCATGTACTTGCCCTTGGGACTGGCAATAGGCTCACTGAAGCCCAAGAATGGAAGCGCAAGGTTCACGAATCCATTCTTGTACTGCTCAATGTCGTCTTTGCCGTCAATGATCTTGAACAGCTCCAGCGCGACCAACCCAGTCACCAACGCCGTCGTGGTAGCAATGGCAGGAATGATCTTGCCAGCAATGAACTTGGTCTTGTGGCGGTCAGCCTGGGGGATATCGTAGTTGTCGGCACGCAGGTTGCTGGCAGCGGTGATGAAGTCGATGTGGTGGTTCGTGTCGTCATCCTTCTCAAATTCAACAGGGTTCAAGCGGAAGCCAGCCAGATCCTTGGGGGATGGAAGGGAGTCCACAAGGCGCTGAATCTCCTGGTTGTCGTCAAAGGACGAGCCAGCGGCCGGAGCGTCCGGGTCAGGATCGTTCTCATTAGCTTGGATCTTGATGCCCGACTTGGGGGTGAATTCTGGAACGATCATGTTGTCGACAACCTTCCTGTAGTAGGCCTTGTCGGCGCCAGGGTTCTTGATGCCGTAGTTGAAAGCGTGGAGATTGGCACCAGCAACGATGAAAGAAAGATGAGTGGGGTTTGCGCTGTCAAACTTCAGCGGAGTGGGCGCACGCTTGGGTCCAGACCAGAAAAGCTGCCCAGAGGATGTCTTGGAGTCACGCGGGAAGTTGTAGAGAAGCTGCTGGATAGCGTTGTTGTACTGCGCCTCGAATTGGTTACGGGCCCAAACGATGCAGTCATCGAAGGTCAAGGGCTTATCAGTGACCAGGAAGTCACGAAGGTGCTCCAGCGTCTGCTTCTCATTACCGGCCTGCTTGAGTGTCTGCTGGATATAGTTTGGCTGAGACAGATACATGTTGACAGCCTCGGGAGGGCCGACAAAGTAGGTCTGGAAGAGGTCCCTGGCCCAAGCGATAGTATGCTCGATCCGGTTGGGGAAACTCTTCAGAGTGCACATAGGGAAAGTCTTCTCCGGCGGGTCTTGGGAGCTAGAGTAGGACTCAGTGATGCGAGGCAGGACAACCTGAGTGTTGCCCTTTGTACCAAGAGTTCCACTCTCCAACAGGGGCTTCCTGAAGAAGACGCAACGACGGTCGACATAGGTTCTTGCATCCACGTTGTCCAGGGCATTCGTAACACCGTCCAAGTCTTCCCAGAACTCCTCGTTGAAGATGTGCTCGGTGTCGGGTCCGACACGGTCCCGGAGCGTGACAATCTTACCGTTCAGTTCAGGGTTCATGGCCTGCACAGCAGCGGAGGCGCATTCGCTCTTAAGCTTGCCAACGTCCCGGCTGCGGAACAGGAATTGTCTGTTGAGGTTACTCTTCTCGATCTGATCCATATCGGTCACAATGATCTTCCCCTTAGGACCAGTTCCAAGACCCATCATGGCCCAGTTCTTCAGCGTCTCACACCCAATGGCACCTGCTCCTACGAGGAACTGCCTGACGTTGGCAATCTTGTCCTGGAATTCCTTGCCGAAAACTGCAATTTGACCATCGTATCGGGTGCCGAGAGGCTTACAAGCCTCCTCAGAGCGGGTGATGGAGGTGGGAAGAGACTCCAAAGAGTCAAAGTAGAGCCACTGATTAACAGGGTTAAACTTTCCAGAGACCGCCTTCAAGACTTCTTGCGCCGCAATGCCTCCAAACAAAGCTGCCAGGGGGTTCAGGTCGCCGCGGGCTTGGTAACTCAGCTCCTTGATGAGCTTCTCATCCAACTCCACCTTCTCTTCGAGGCTCGAAGCCAGTTCATTGGCGATCTTGAACACGTCTTGGGCATCGCTATCATTATGAGGGCGAGGAAGATCGCCATTGTGGCTCTCTGCGAACTTGTGGAGTGCCTGGACACCAATATGCAATTGTTGTGGCCGGTCAAATTTCGCAAAGTCCGAAATGATAAACTCGGGTTTCTTGATCTGTTCACTAAGGGGAGCGAAATCCATGAACTTAGGCATCTTGACTTGAGAGTAGATACCGCCACTCTGGTATGTTCCCAGATCAGAGACATCACCAATGGAGAAGGTGTAAGGCCCCTTCACAGTAACTTTGCGAGGAGCACAACCGTTGAGACCCTCCATGCCCTTGATCTCGGAGAAAGTCACAAAATCACCGTCCTCCAGGCCGTGACGGGTCTCGTCAAGAGCCGAGACCAAGCCATTCTCATCGATAGCCGCCACAATTCCACTGACGGGCTCCTCACCCGTCGCATCACCGACAGTGAAGTTCTTACCGAAGTCATTGAAGAGATAACCAAAGAGACCGAAGGTATCCGTGATAGTAAGGTAGATGCCGTTCTTGTGGCAGAAGTCGGCAATCGCGAGCTGATCCTTCAAAGGAGTCAAGGTGAGGACAACAGCCTGATAACGCTTCAACTCTTCGAGGTTCTCTGCGATATTGCTGCCCTCATGGACTGTGACGGGGACGTAGGAGTTGAGCTCTGCGACTCTGGGAGCTGTGACCTCGGCACGCGGCTTGCCGACGTCTTGGGGCTGGAGGAAGAACTGGGAGGACAGGTCCGAGATGGCGACAGGGGCAGGATCGTACAATGTGAGGGACTTCACACCGGCAAGGGCGATGTTCTTGGCTGGTAGTAATCAATGATTTGTTCAGATTATATGGAAGATGTTGTACCCACCGATTTCAACACCCAAACCCTTCAATCCGACAACAAGCACGTTTGAAGATCCCATACGCTTCATAGCTTCATGACCGAGGACGTACCTATACACATCACAACCCATCAGTGTCTGTCTGGTAGTGGCGAAAGGACATGGAGATAAAACACTTACAGTTGCCGGCTGTACAACGACTCATCAATTTCTCCCTGCTTGATCGCCTCCACAGTCTCCTGTGGGTTATCCACTTGCATCTTTGCGTCCTAAGACTGATCAGTAACTGACAAAGTTGTTTTGGCATCACTCGGGTGATAAGGCATACAGTCATGATCTTCTTCTCCGGCGGAGCTTTGTTGTCGGCAGACGCTCTTCGCTTTCCCAGCTTCGCAGCGTCGCGAACGGGAATTTCGGTGGGAATTGTGAAAACTTAAGATGAAAGCCTTGCCACTTGGAGCAAGACTTTCAGGCAGTATACTCCTGATGTATGGTCAGGTAGGAGGGGTAGGAGCGGTGAGGTACGCGGAAGCGGGCGAGGCGAGATGGCACGAAAGCGATAGCAAAGTACAGACGGACAATATACTCTAGTGCAAGAGCAAGACTTTTGAAGCAGAATGAAAGACAAGGCGCAGGTATCGCAGTATATAATATAGAAAGCGTGAGAGAGGCGGGGAAGAAGGAAGAAGGATGGATCACTAATGCTGCGAGCTCTCTCAGCGGCGACGTAAGAGAGGGACAAGCTGTTGGTGGCTGACTCAGCAGGTTTACCGCCACTCATTGGCTGGAGCCCCGCGGACACGCCCAGCAGCGAGTCGGCAACTCCCATTAAGTCAGTGACAATGAGCTCCAGAGCAGTAGAAGCGGCGGTGATGAGGCATCTTCCCTGGAGGCGCTCGGATCCAGATGAGATTGGCCCGGATAAAGCCTGGCCTCAATAGTGCTAACATTGATGTCTGACAGTCATCTGGATTCAATCCTGAGCCATTCTTTCTACGCCGCATCTCTTGCGCGACGCGCCGCGGCTTTATTGCGTTGAACAACGCGGTGACCCGTGCCTTTCCTTTTAGAGAGGCTTGTTCTAGGGTAACTTCTTCACATGTGTCGATACGAACTTCTTGGATGTGGACTTCTATACTGGCAGCGTCATAAATCCAGAAAAGATAAGGATCATTCCTTGAGGTTTGTTCTTTACCCTCGTGCTTTTGGGCCTGTCTAGATATCTGACTTTATCGTCTCCAGAGATCTCCGCGCACAATGCTCCACGAGATCCTCCTCTCCCTCTCGGGTCAGCCATCGCCTCTTTTCAATCCAGAGACTGAAGGAGGTGCTATCTCTGAAGATGCCTTTCCCTTGGTTTCCCCTCCGGAGAAAGCCCTCCTCGCCTCTCTTGCCCATCTGAGCCGTCTCCATACCGATCTACGAACACATACTGCCTTAATTTCTTCGTCCCACCCTTCTGTTATCTGTCGTGCAGTCTCGACGGCCATCAGTTCACGTCACCTGGGTGAATTCCAGAGGAAAATTTTAGAAGTGGAGAAATCGATTCTAGTTGAGGATAGTGGATACGTGGGCGGTTACGGAATTGTGCCATTGTCGACGATTGTTGGTGAATTTTCTCCATGGACGCGACGATTGGAATGGCTGTGGGAGACCGTAAGGTTAATATGGCCCATATACTCGCGGAATAAAGACCAGCTTTGCACTGGCGTGGCTCTGATCGATCACCTTCGGGCGGAAACGCAAACAGGGTACGTTGACCTGAAAGACATAGCTTTGCATTTGGTTGGTATTGCAGAGACTGCTTGGATGAGGCAATTGTCTCCCTGGCTGCTGTACGGAAATCTCCCCATCCTCGGTGGGTCCGACTTCTTCATACAACGCGAAAATGCAAGCCATGATCGGCCGCCCACTGCCACGCAGTTCATCGTGCATTCAGAGCTCCTGCCTCAGTTTGTAACAGCTCATACAGCCTCATCTATCTTATTCATCGGGAAGACGTTGAATCTCATTAGAGCAAAGCGCAATGCACCTGCTGCGAACCCCTCTGCTGGGCTATCGACTACTTCGGTCACACTACACACGGAGCATATAGAACAGCTTGCTGCATTGAAATCACCTATATCAGCGTCGAGACTGTCGAGTACTGTGAATGCCATCCGGCTCTCTCTGTCGCAAAGCACGCTCTCCAAGATTTTCCCATTACCCAAGGTCCTCGAAGTCCTCTCGGTTCTCCATGATTTTCTGTTACTCCGACGGGGCGAATTTGCGACGGCATTGGTATCTCATGCTGATACCCGCATTCAAGAGAGGTATCGGAAACACGGGCATTCAGCCTCCAGGTATAAAACTTTAGAAGATCTAAAGGGCCTTTCTATTAAGGAAGGAGATGTAGTGACTGCTCTGTCACAAACCCTCTCAGAGCTCTACTCTCTGCAAACAGAAGACGATCCCGCAGACGATGAACTCGATTTAGCAAAGGAGCTGCTTCGGCTGTCGATCAAGCAGGATGTGGATAACAAACCCGCGCTGTCTCCCGACATTGCTGGATCTGATATGAATGCCAGAATTTCGGACGTCGCTTTCGACGACCTTCTTTTCCCCACTCCAACATGTCTTTCGGTCCACGTCCGCTCGCCCCTCGATTTGTTTCTTTCCGCCTCTGATATATCGGTCTACTCGAAGATTCACTCTTACATTCTCGGTATCCGACGCGCCCAGATGCATTTGGGCGATTTGTGGAAGCATACATTCCTTCGAAAGATCCATCCGTCTCCATGGGGTCCGCCTCGCAGCAGCACTCCTTACGGCCAGAGTAGACTCAACCTCGGCAGACAAAGAGACAACATCAGGACTCGGCAGATGAGGCCAATCTGGGCAACGAGCAGTGCCTCCCTCTTTGTACTGTCAGAAATAGGAAGCTACTTCCAGGGAGAAGTTCTCAATGGCAACTGGCAACATTTTCGAGAATGGATCGAAGGTGGATCTCCAACAACGGGCTCACGGCCTGGAACCGCTTCCTCCGCTAATAGTAAGCGCACCGATAATTTCCAGGGCATTGACGACCCGGCCGATTCTGGTTCCGGAGGTGATAGTCAGACGGTCCAACGGCATGACCCTGAAACATTGACCGCGGCGCATCGTCGTTATCTCTTTTCTCTTGTTGAATCTCTTTTCCTCACGGACATACCCTTTACCAAAGCCCTCCGATCCTTACTGACGAGTGTGGAACACTTTATCGCGCTAGTAGTTCGACTGGAAAGCATACAGCGCAACATGGACCTTGAGACCGATGAGGGCGTTGTCGATGCTTTAGTAGACTATGCAGGGGAAGAGAGGGGGGTATGGCAATCACTCGGTGTTGCGCGGGCTAGTGTCGAAGCAGGAATCAAGGATGCTGTGGCACGCCTGCGAGACATTGATGACAGCCGATCTGGAGAGGGGCGGCAGATGCTTGATTTTGTGAGGGACTCTCATGAAAACGGGTCGCTTCATGCCAATGGCTCTGCGACCGAGCCCGGCTCTTTCCACTATGTGCCTCGGAAAGCGGCTGGTGTTGACCGTCTGCTCATGAAGCTGGAATTCGGCAATGCTAATGGAGGCATGGGACTTGGAGTCACTGCTGCAGGTACTTTCGGTGAAATGGCATAATTAGAAGGCTGTTCATTGCTGGCACATTGCATATAGGTGGTCGAGCCGTGGCTGGCTAATGAGCAGCGAAGACAGATTATGACTGTCATGTCACGTTATGATTTATGAATAGCATGGCTTTACGGTGTAAGAAAGTGGCTATGGATAGGCTTCTGTCTGTAATGTGTTCTGTTCTAGGCCCATGTGCTCTGCCAGGAGGAACGTGACCTCGGGCGAGATCTGCTTGCCTATTGCCGCCAGTGCGTAAACATACGTACTTAGTTCCACGCGTCCTCTTCCTCCCAAGCAAAGGAGCCCAAAGACACCCAATTCCCTGCAGTTATGCTCATCGTCCAAGTGTGGTTGGGCTTTGCGATTCATCTAAATTGGAGGGATTTCCAAATTATCAATTAACATTAACCGATCTTGCCGCATTGACAGGATGCTACAATCTACTTCACGGGGCTTCCAATCAATCAATAGACTCGAAGATATGCTTCCGGATGGGCGGACTCCCTGGTCTCATTGAATAGAGAGAATCAAGCACTAATCCCAGCTGACATGCTAGTTCATGCTTACATGCATAATTAGCATCGAATGGAGATGCCGGAGGTCTCAATCTTGTCCAGGCTCAGGGCCAGTTGGGCAAAGATGAAACGAAGGTCGCCCATCTGGACGGTCGGTGCAGTCTAGACTGCCTGCAGGATCGCGACAGCTGTTCTCCGCCCAGTTTATTGATAAACAAACGTGAAAAGTCTGACGATGCACATGATCAGTGTTCGGTCCTATCACGGATTACCCAAATAGGAAAGTCACTCTGGCCGGTACGGAAGAGGAGGATTGTTTTCTTTTCTCTCCTTTGGTCTACGTTGGGATTCTCGCGCCATTCCCGTCCCCCGAGTCCTGGTCTTGGCTCTTACCCCTGTCCTGCACATACGACTGCCACTGGACTTCTGTCTCGCAAAAGATTGGACCGAATGCTAATTGTGTAAGGGGGCAAGAGGTAAAAACAAAAAAAGACAGAAACGGTTCGAATATGGGGGAGGCAGGGCATCTTGGCAGATCTCGAGGAATCTGCATCCTGGAATGCTCCGATCGTTGGACAATGATATGCCGTCGGAGTCATCCATGGTACAGTCCCGGGTTGTCATTATTTGGAAGCTTCGTGCGATAGTGGCAAAAGTACCATCCTTACGCCCTCCCTGGGTCATGTACGGGGTGCGGAGTATGAGAGTTCTGGGGGGACAACCGGCAACTCGAGAGCCGCCAGCAGAGAAAGGGGGGAAACCGGCATAACCTATCGGCGAATTTTGAGGCCACCGACATTTGGGATTATGAATAATGAACCTCTCATGTGCCATACTTGCTTATTCTCAAACCCGCCCAAAGCGTGGGGAAGATCACCGCCGCACTGGGGAGAAAATCTAGAAGGATGAATGACCCCATGAAAATCGGGTCTGATGCAGCAAGGATACCCGGAAAGGGCAGCCCTTCAACTCCCGGATCTCACTAAAAAGTACTGTACTCTTATCTTCCTGCAGGATGGGCCACGGATGCCGTGGAGACGGTTCCATGCTGCGAGGGCAGATTAATTACACCACCACTTCGATGCCGAGACCGTTATTGGAGGGTTCCATTCCATGGAAGCCTTCGGAGCAGGAAGCCGGGGAGAGCTCTACCCTGCTTTTGCACGCTACCTCTTGCACCACCATTACCCATCCTTCTCTGTTTAGAACGGCTCAGACATCCGAGGAATCATTTTCCGTAGAAACAATTCTCTGATTCACTGAGTGGCCAATATAGGAGTTATTCGCATGAGTCGCTGATGGAGCTGTCCTGACCGCTATTGCAGCGGCGTCGGTTCCAATCTGATCCAGCAGCTCGGTCTCCCCGTACACGGGAATCCCGTTCTGGTGGGCCATTCCACTTTAATGAATGATTGATCGTCATCCCTCGATCAAATGATCAGGGTGACTTGCCGGGTGCAGCAACCAAGCAATGAGAGAAGTCACGATACCTGCTTCAGACACTACCATTCCCCCCTATTGCTCTGTTATGCGTCCGATGCCTGCCTTTCCGCCCTGCGTTGCCCTGTGGCAAGCTTTCCTGGCCATAGCTTATGCATGGACCAGCCCTGGTACCACGGATGGTCTTGGGCGGGGGTGTGGTCTGGGTCTTGAAGTCATCGTGAAAGCAGCTCTAGAATCTGACGATGGACCCATCAAGGCAATCACGCGGCCATCATATTTTTCGATTCCTTCTATTTTCGGATGTCTTGTGCGACAGTTGGGAGATATGCGGTTTCGACGGGTCGTTGTCCGTTGGTCTTCTCCAGGTCTATAAACCCCAGCTTCCCTACCAGAACAATGGTAGTCGACGATATTCTCTATAGCCATCGCGCCCCTGTGGTAGCCAAAGACCCTTTGCTTTGCGTGCACAGTTGATTCCATTCCGTTTTCGTCCTTTATACCTTAATCTTTAATCTACCTAATCTTGCACGCACCATAGCCATGCGTTCTGTATTGTGCCGGTCGCTCTCGGCCATGGCCCCAGCCCGGTCTTGGGCACCATCTGCCATGATTCAGCCCATGTCGCAGCGGCTGCACTCCACAGGGTCAGGCTCACATGGCTCACACCACATTCAAACCCGGATACCGTCGTTGAAAGGCGAGCCCAAGCAGGGACACCGGTTCCGCGAATTTGACCTCGACGACCGTGTCTTCGCCATCACTGGTGGTGGACGAGGACTCGGATTGGCGATGGCTGAAGCTTTGATGGAGGCTGGTGCGAAAGGTAAGATTCCAAGGATCTCCGAAGCCAAATTCTTGCCTTGAACCGATTCCTAACCTAAATTTTCGTATACAGTCTACTGCTTGGATCGACTTGAGTCTCCTCACCCCGACTTCATCGCCGCTCAAGAGCATGCCGAGAAGAACTACGGTGGCAGCCTGGAGTACCACCGTATTGATGTCCGGGATGAGTCTGAAGTGAACGACTGCTTCGCGGAAATCGCAGGCAAGAACCGGCGACTAGATGGCATGATTGCCGCCGCAGGAATCAACCACCTGCAGAGCGCCCTGGAACACTCGCAGGTGGCTCTTAACGAAGTTATGCAAATCAATTTCAATGGAGTCTTCAACTCGGCCACTGCTGCTGCGCGGCAGATGTTCAACTACCAACAGAAGGGTTCTATCCTTCTCGTTGCTAGCATGAGCGGTCTGATTGCCAACAAGGGCATGACTTCTCCCGTCTACAACGCCTCCAAGGCAGCTGTGATCCAGCTGTCCCGATCCCTTGCCATGGAATGGGGCCGTCACGGTATCCGTGTGAACAGCCTGTGCCCCGGCCATATCATCACCCCAATGGTGGAACAGGTGTTCCAGCAAAACCCTGCGTCCCGAGCTGTCTGGGAAGCCGAGAATATGCTCGGACGTCTTGCCTACCCGGAGGAATTCCGGGGTGCTGCTCTCTTTGCTCTGAGTGATGCGAGCAGCTTCATGACCGGCAGCACCATGCTCATCGACGGTGGCCACACTGCATGGTAAACATGCACTTCACTCTGTTAACGATCACAAAAAAAATACTACTACCGGAGTTGGCAATGAATACATAACACGTTGGGAAATGGTATTTAGAGAGGGTCTGGGGAGGAGTTCTATAAATAGCCTTGTGGAAGGGATGAGCATTTCAAAAGTCGCCTATTATGGATGATTCTTTTTTTCTTGGGGAAAGGGGAGACATACCCGTGGCTTCTTTTTAATGTATCATACATACGGTTTCTTATCTTCATGGCCTCATCAGCTTTTTCTTGTTGCATTCTTTGGTTACGAGGGGTTTCAAGCGCGTCCAATAACTGGTTTGGTTTAATGGGATGATCTGATAGCAGTTTGGGTCGAAGGATTACTTTTATTTCGAAAGAATACGATGGACTTCAGCCACCACTGAGAGCACTATAACCTACCGAATTGTTGATAAATTGATGATTCTATCATAGTCCGAGCATGCCGGTATCCTTCTATCTAACCTAACCAGTTATTAGATTCCCTCCATACCCTATCACTATCCAACCCACCAATAATCTCATCAATTTAAAATAATACCAACCCACCAAATCTCAAAAATTCTACTACGTACAATCCAACCCTCTACAAAATATACGTAAACTTCTCCCTCCCCCCACTATCACCACCACCACCCCTCTCACCAATATACCCCATAAGCACCTCCCTCTCCTCCCCACCCCCCTCCTCCAACTCAATCCCATCCTCATCCCCATCATCCCCCTTCCCCATCTCCCTTCCCCTCATCTCCCTCCCCAACAACCACCTCAACAACCCCGCCAACGCCGCCACAAGTACCATAAACCCCGCGCAGACCGCCATCCCGGAGACATACCACGGCCCCTGACTCACCGGATACAGCCTCGTGCCGAGCAACGGCCCGCACTGCCCAATGACATTCAGCAGGGCCACGCTGGCGCCCTTCCCCTCGTTCGCGGGCCGGTTGTCCATAGTCCAGGTGATGATGAGCGTGATGGCGGAGAAGAACCCCGATGTGGCGGGGTAGACGGCCAGGTAGCGGATTGCGACGTGGATGGGAGATGGGAGGGAGGAGTGGAAGTGCCCCGCCAGGGCGATTGCGGCGTAGGCGGTTGCGGACAAGAGCGCGTGGAAGATTAGGTAGGGGCTGCGCGTGCGTGTGCGGTCCGAGAGGTGGGATGTTAAGAGGACGGTTAGGAATGAGAGGAGGTACGGTGGAGCGGAGAGGGCTTGGGATGTTAGGGAGCTGTAGCCCATGCTGTTTTGGTTTTTGTTAGTTTTTGGGGGAGTATTGGGGGCAGTGGGTAGGGGGTAAGTATTTTACTCTTGGATGATGGTGGGAAGGAAGACGGGCATGGAGCTGAAGGCGACGTTGCAGCTGAAGAACATGAACTGTGTTGTTGGATATTAGTTGGGGCAGAGGAGAGGGGGGAAGAGATGGAGGGTAGCTCACGGCTGTGATGTAGGATTTGGGATCGGCGAGGGTCTTCTTGACTTCTTTCCAGTTGAAGGATTTGCGTTGTTGCGATTGCTGCTGATGTGGTCTGTGGTTGGATTTGAGCTCGTCCATGCGGAGCTGTGCGATTGCCCGCTGTCGGGGGTTCAGGAATGAGGCGCTGCCTGGTGTATCGGGGATGACTATCCAGGCGAAGACGGCGACGACGATGCTGGGGAACCCTTCGACTAGGAAGAGGGTACGCCAGGGTGCGATTGGGCCGTTGTCGCTCACGCGGACAATGAGCCAGGCTAGGCTGCTGGCGAAGGATGAGGCGAGGGGAGCAGCGGAGATGAAAAGGCCGTTTCGGAAGGCGAGCTCTTCGCGCTTGTAGAAGAGTGAAAGGTAGAAGGGCACGCCAGGACCGAATGCTGCTTCGGTAATGCCGAGAGCTGCTCGAAGGAAGACGAGAGCTCCGAATGAAGTAGCGAGCGACTGTAAAGATGCGACGAGGCCCCAGCCGCAGACGCAGAGAGCGATGTAGATGTGCGGTGGGACGACTTTGTACATGAGCGTCATCCATTCGAAGAGGATGTAGGTGATGTAGAAGACCGTGAGGAGCCATTCATATTGCGATGACGAGAGATGCAGGTCGTCTGCGAGACCGGCAATTTTGGCATTTCCAATGTCTGGCTTAGTATTAGCTGATATCAATCTTATGATGGGTAATGTGTGGTTTTATAGAAGGTCTTGGCTGCGATAGTGGCCAAACCACGTACTCGAGCGATCCAGAAACGAAAGTAGATAGAGAAGAGCTAGGAAAGGGACCAATTTGCGATCGAATTGCTTGATGACCCCCTTCTCTTCCTCTTTTGTGTACTTTGGCATGCTTGTTCTACTATTCGAAAGGGGCTGCACATCTTCGTAGGATTCATATCCTTCATCGAACCCGTCGTCAGTAAACGACTCCCCGTCTGAGCTGAAGGCTGTCTGAACTCTCAGGGACCCAGCCGTTGGTCGATTTGGATTGGGAGAACCATCATTCTCGGAGCGATCAGAGACAGGCGTATACTGAGGGGTGGACGATGATCCACTGGAGACGGAGATGGCCTCGGTCGGCCCGGGGCGCAAGGAGGCCATCTTTGGTGGATTGCGAGGGGTTAGGGTGGTTTAGAAAATCATGCCTCCTGAAAGCCTAACGACCCGACCACTACCGGAAATGCTGATCGGGATTGACTGCTTTGACTTGAAGCGATGGAATTGTTCTACTCGGAGGTTTACGTACACGCGATGGAGCAAGTCAACATCGAGAAGCAGTTCGGGGGCACGTGGTGGCCGCTAAAGCAGCGATTTGCGCCAAGCCTTCATGTCCATTTCTTTAACTACAAAGTACTAGCCGGTTAACTATCATACAGCAACATTCCACCCGTCTCTCCGTCTCTCCGTCCCTTAGAATTTCCCGCTTTGCCATGCTGCAATTCAATTCAAACCCCAGAATACATATTGTAAACAGGATAACGCCCATCCAATGCACCGAGGTTAGAAACGCTTCAAAACGCCAGCAACTAAACCAACCCTCAATGATCGAGCAACAGCAGCCTTTCCACACTGCCATCACTTATGACCAGGACGATAGGAGTCAACCTCGCGATATCGGGGACGGCGTCTTCTCCTGTTCTTAGAAGGATGGTTGGGTGTTGACGCTGCTGCCTGAGGCTGGTCGAAGTGACGACCCCGGCCCGCCAACTGAGCAGCTTTGCACTTGGCGCGTTCAAACGAGAATTCGATATCGGGAATCAGGGGATGGTCTGACATGTCATTAACTCGCAGAAAGTCAAGCGTAGTTTCAGCTGTATCGCGGAAGTATCTGGCCAAGCCGACATCAATTTCTTCGGGATTCTTCTTGTTGTATTCCGCCTTGGCCTTTTCATAGATCCGAAGCAGTCGTTCCACTTGCTCGCGGCGACGGATTTCCTCAAGGGTTGGAGGTGGCCGTGGAGGAAGTATGTGCTGCTGTCTCCGAGGGTGCTCGTGTGCTTGGACATGAGTATTGACCGCTTGTTCGGGACTTGAGTGCGGTTGCTGTTCTGCAGCTGTAGTTCTGTCATTGGTGCTGTTGGATACACTTTCTGCGAAGCTAGTGAGAATTGTCCATAGAAGGAATGCTAAATGAAAGGTAGAAGGGCAAAGGTCACCTCCGGTCACGGTGTTTTGGAGCATGTCATACTCATGCAAACCTTGTTTAGCATGGGGGATGGGAGAAAATGTACAGATCCCAAGATATTCGGCCAGGTATAGTTCGAGAGCTCCGATGTCTTGGGTATCATGGCCATTACCGGACAAAATCATCAGAGCGTTGTCAAAGACGGTAATCTCTCCGTCTTCGGGGTTCTGAGACCGGTGCCGCACGAGCGATGCCTGGCGTTGAATTGCGTTGACGAGAGAATTCAGACTCTCTGGATCCTGAAGGATGGCATGCAAAACAGCATTGGGCTCAATGATGCAGTCATACTTCCTTACTAGCTCGTCCACTTTGCGTTGGAATGGCTCAGACATGTGGCCATCGCGACTGGCCATGGTTGCTGTTTTTGGCGATTTTATGTATCGGTAATGGGTCAGAGCAGGATTGCTTGGATAGAGAACGGGTAGAAATGATAGTTCTCGATGACAATGAACGTTTATGGGGATGCACACTCGCTGATAAATAAGAGAAAAGGTGTACTGAGGAATTCAGAGAGTCAGGGGGAAGTAAGAATGAGAGATATCGGATCTGTTCCGCACAACATAAACACTAAGAAATGTTTACGGATAGTGAATCGTAGCGCGGGTCAGCCTCGTACGGCAGATTGGTGTTTGAACTGACACATAGGCAGTGCACAGTGCTGCAGAGTCACAGCTTGAGTGGGCTCATTGAAGGGTGCAAACGCAATAAAATGATCACAAAAGACTATAGAAAATGTGCCAGACCACGATGTGGAACAGGAAGGAGTAGAACTCACGGGCGAGCGACGAAGAGAACAATGATTATCATTAAGTAGTAGGCATACAAACTGTTCAGCTAAGGACATGTCATACTGCATATATGGCATAAGTTGCCTTCACGCATCATTTTGCATCACGGAAACACTGTCACATCACTCATAGCACATTATTAGTATCTCACCAAGCATACCAGGGACTTAGTTGACCTTGTCCCACAGCTTCTTCACCTCGTCCACAAGCACCGAGACCTTGCTGCCCTCTCCTTCCTGGGCGCAGTCCCGCCAGACTCCACCATCCCGAACGCACCAGGTAGATTCATTCAGGCGCAGAGCACAGCTGGTCCTGACGTTGAGTTTATCACTATGTAATGCACTCTGGCGCAACAGAGCAATGCCACTAAGCGGTGTCGTCTCGTCGCTATCATCATCGTCGTCAAGGTCATCATATTCTCGACTGGCACACTTGTTAAGAGCCTCAAAGTCGATACCATGCTCCAAGGCACATCCCTGAACCAGGTCGCGCTTCGGAATGTCGGGATACGAGCTGATAAGGCAGTTGGCGAACCCAAGCGACCGGATTGTTGGAGTACGAGCGTCCTTGGAGCACATGGCACCGGACTCAGGCGGGAAAGGCAGATTAGCTGCACAGAGGATGAGCATGTCACCGATGCATTCGGTGGGACCGTGCATGCATTGGATCTCCGATGACTTGTTGGATACTCTGGGCACAGTGTCAGTTTTTCCGAGCTAGGAAGTCGAAAGGACAGGAAGTCTACATACGCGGCGATGAAAGACAGCTTGAAGTCGACTTTATCGCTGATCTGCTCCATAGCAGGAATGACAAGCTGTTGGAGACAATCCCGAGCGTCGGGGCATTTACTCATAACATGAGCCTCCAGGGGAATTCTGTTACTCGAGGCTAGGCGGCTCCCGTCCAGGGTGGACAGTTCATGCAGTGGACCATTCATCAACGGAGCTTCCTCCCTGCCCAAGTCAGGGGGAAATGAAACATCATGCTGTCCTCTCCATCTGTGGCACGAAAAGAGCTTAAAGCCGGAAATGGAGATAGGGGTCCATGATAAAGCTAGGAAGGCGATGGTGATGAGCCCCAGACATGCGGCCAGCCGAGTAACGACCCGGTCGCGACGGGTGCTGATCGGGCGCGCCACGGACGACTCGGAGAGGTCGACATAGCCGGAAGTGTCGGCTTTGGATTGAGTTGGGAGTTTTTCCATATTGGCTACTACCCGCTACTTAAACGGTAGTAATGGAAGGTCGATGAAGGTTGGTGAAGGGGGATGATGATGGAAAAAAGTGAGACCAGAGGTGAATGTGGGGAGATCGCGATTCGATCCAGCGATGCCATTCGGCGGGGGTTTCCGAGAGCAACCCAGCATTTCGCCCTCTCGTTACACTGAGAATCGCTTACTCCCCGGCCAGCCCAAACAGCCCTGCTAGGCTGAGAGCTTCATCCACAGAAGCGACCGTTGGCTGATAGGCTCTAATCGACTCTTTGGAGTATCCTTTCTTAGCTGACTGGTGATGTCTACCGTGGGCTAGTACTCACTCACTCCGATCTTTTCCTACATTGGACTGCCGTCGAAGAATCATGCATGGCCCGAGGTTGCATCATTCCTTGAGTCTAATTAACTAACTTGAAGACTACTCCACTTCTCCCATACATGCTGCTCCAACCTGCTTAGCAGACCAGACGTAGCATCTGCGAAAGTGAATCTGCCCTGCTGTGGACCATGCTACCCCGGCTTTGAATTATCACTACGGAGTAGTTTGGCCTCTATCCCAGCCTTCAACGCTCCACAGCCAATCAGATCAAAGAGGAGGAATATATGATATGGATTGTGTACGAATCATGCTTGCTGGCACTGTTAAGATGCAAGCATCAATGCTTGGCATCGGCTAGCTTGGTGACTAGGGTGCATCTGTAGCGTCGCGATGGTTTGTACTCACTACAATCACGGCCTTGTATGGTACTCTTGCAGCATCGGCCAGCGTTTGCTTGACGGATAGCCGGTCTGCTCGCGAGCATTAGTCGCATTGTGATGGGCAGCATAGGGCAATACATCCGAGAGCGCATGATATCTGCAACCCTCCAAGCGCTACCGAAAGGTCTATCACATGGCGTGATTGTTCGCTAGTGACAGACTAATATCCTTGGATAGATTGTAGATAGGGACATAGAATAACCGGTGAACGGCAACTTGTGGCCTATCATTAGCGCTTGCGCAGGCTTCATGCCAGCCGATTTGCAAAGGGTTAGTACTCGGAAGACTCCACTTGACTAGCACTCACACTTTACGGAGTAGGCACCCAAAAGAGCTTCCTCTGAATGTAGTTTCGACGATCACAATACCAGAAATGACTCGAAGGTGAGGGTTTGAGTGTTTCCAGTATTTCCCGTGTCCTCCATTGCGAAGAATGGTCGTAAGGCGGAGCTGAAGGTCCTAGGGATGACCTCTAATGCCAAACTTCTGCTGTTGCAGGGTCTGCTGGTCCCTACACTACCCCTATCACGCAGATCCCAGAGGCGTCTGCGCGCTGGACATCTCGGGAGCTCCGCACTCCGCAGGCTATTTTTCCCTGCTCCGCCGTCACTCAACGGCTCTCCGACCTCGGAGTCTAGTGTCTGACATTGACCCTAGATGACGGTTACAGCAGATGCTGAGTCCAGACACCGTCTGCGAAGGTTCGATCCGCCCAATAGCCTAATAAGCCAGGAATTCGTGCTTACGTTTGTAGGTTTGCTACACGATGCTAGCGAGAATCTTCCAAAAGGAGCTTGTTGACAGGACAGCCGGTCATGGGTACCACCTTCATCTCAGGTTCCACAGCAATCTCACCATCATCATGGGAATTAGGAGCATGAGAATTCAGAAAGGTCCTGATGATGAATCTGGACTTTGTACACCGTGAACAGACGATCTTATGGTTTCTTGACAGTATAGAGTCAGTTGATGAAGGTGTGGCTGGAATACGGGGGCCTGATTGCACTTAGCTTTCCAAAACAACGGTTGAGCCGGAGAGGCAGAACGGCACTTCGTGTGCAAAATACCACAGCGTCCAGGCAAGCGAAGAGGCCGAAGCACAGTTCCCTCTTACACTTCTTTATCCACCCACACGATGGTAACAGCGAATGGGAGGAATGGAAGACAGCGCCCTGAATAGACTTAGTTGTGAGAGCCACCTGGGTTCTGACTCGACGGGCGTTGATGCTCAGTCTGTGCATCACAGATGGAGAGGTATCGCCCCACTTCCCACCACATGGTTTGTTTGGTTCCAAAATCGTTTATCTTAGCAATTAATTCCTTGCCTCTGGACACTTGATTGCTTTCTGACATTTGTGTAAACAACAGTTGCGTTGTTTACTAGTAGACACTACTAGTTGCTGCATTTGAGCAACCTTGTCATTTTTTTCCCCCCCGGAAGTCGACTAAGATGTCCCTACTACACACCGGGATGAAGAAATATCGAAGGAAAACCAAGAGCTGAATAATAGGAATAGAACTGGGTAACTAACTGTTAGCACGGAGCAGTCGAGGGGAGACTAGCAAGCGGAAGGAGGAGAACGAGAGAGAATTAATTCCCTGAAAAGGAAGAATGATTAATTTAGGAAGATGGGGAACAGCACCATTGTTCTCCATGTTGACTTGCACTAAAGTAGCGGCGTCACCGATAAGAAAGGAAGGGAGAGAGAAGAGGAGGAGAAGGTGACGTTGTTCAATCAATTGGGGGGAACAGGAAGAAGAAGGTAAAGCCGCTGCCCCGGAGAGGAAAAGACCACGACGAAGACAAGCACGAGTAAACAAGCAGAAAAATCCCATCATCATCAATCAATCAATGGGGGGGAAGCAGGATGCGCGATTGAATCTCTGGTTCTACCTTGAGGGACCGAAATGGGGCCCCGATCGAGCCATCCGACGAATCCATGGTAGTCGACTGACCGGCCAGCGTCACATCGTCTGGTGTCGATGGTCGCATTCTGCTCCATCCCAGCGGCTCTGGAGCTTGCCTTTGTAACTTAGCAGTAACTTAGGAGTAACTAAGTAGTGACTAGCCTCGTCCCTCTTTGTGACCTCCCCCAAAATACACACCTCTTCTCTACTTTCCCCCCGTTCTCGCCCTCACCCTCCCTCTCTGTCTCTCTCACTCTCACTCTCTCCCCTCATCGCTTTTCTTTCCCGTGTGTGGAGACCCGGCAATGCTTTCCTCTTATCCACCGGCTGGTCCAGTTGTTACTTTTCGTCGTAATGATCATAATACTTAATTGATGGGTTCCGCCATTCTTCCGTCGATCCCCGTCCCTTTCATCCTTATGAAGCATACCCCCCAATAAATTTTTGATTGATCGATAAAATTTTTAATTTGATTTTTTTTTTTCTTCTTTTTTATTTGATTAGCTCTCCTACTATTTTATTATCGCCCACGACCCTCGGCTCAGCCTTATTCTAACTTCGGGGCTTGGAACGAGCATAACTGCGGGATCTCCACCAGCACAGTCTTCTTGGTTGTATGTCATTGTCCGTGTCATTGTTACTTGCGCTCCCACCCCCTCCCCTCTTCCCTCCCCTTCCGAGATAATCATGGTCCCCCTGCTCTTTGGGTGCATTACCCAATGTCTCCCTGCATTAGGATCGTCACCGTTGTACCATTCTTAGCATTTCTGTGACTCCATGATCCTATTTGCAAGACACGCGTCACTGCAGTCGACAATGTTGAGAACCGACCATCAGTTGTTCATCATTGTATGTAACCTTGAGACTGACCATCGCACTCGTCACTGTATAGGTTTACCTGCAAGATAACACCTTCCCTCCCTCATTCCCTCCCCTGAACACCTCACCGCTCCTGGCCTGGCCTCTACGGAAGTGAATCCTCATTAAGTGAACACCCCTCCCATTCAGGTTCACTTCCTGGTTATCCTTGCACCATCGTGGGATCCTCGGTTTGCATGCACCTTATCATCGTCCAAACCTGGATCCTCATTCTTGATCTCCCCCACATCCCGTCCTACCTTCGCTTCAAAACATTCCGCAGGGGCGAGTAGATAAAGCCAATCCTTGGGCACTTCCTTCCGCCGACTTACCGCTCCGTTGTACAAAAAAACCTCCGTTTGCTGGCTGCAAGTCACACGGGCCGACTGCTTGCCTATCTCGCCGTTGAGCTTAGCCTCTTCCACATCATGGCACCAATCAATGGAATAGATCTTGGTACAGGCAGGGATGATGAGCACGAACATCTACACGAAGAGCCGGTGGAGGATGAAGAAGAGGACAGCGCTGACCTGGACCCTTCGCAAAAAGAGTATCTCGAGCGCCAGCGCATGCTTGACGAATACCTGTCACCTATAGCTTTGGATGAAGCGATATTGTACAAACTTGCGCGCCGGTTTTCTACTGTATACCGGGATTTGGCCCTTCATTCGAAGGAGCAGTTCTTACCGACACCGGTGACTAGGTTACCTTCTGGCTTGGAGACAGGCCGATACCTGGCCATTGATGTTGGTGGGACCAATCTGCGGGTTGCATTTATCGAACTACTGGGGGAGGCTACAGAGTCAGACCCACGTTCCACAGACGCGTCGGAAAGATCGCGGGACACAATTCGTAGGGCGCAGAGACAGCGGGTCAGGCGGACTCTCGAGCGTGCATGGCCTATACAAGAGCATCTAAAGATGGACAAGGCAGAGGACCTGTTTTCTTGGATTGGAGATTGCATTGCGGAAGTGGTGGCGGAAAGCCTGACATCTGAATCCACCAAAGGCCATGTTCCAGAGGAATTGGAGATGGGAATTACCTTTAGTTTCCCAATAATGTGAGTGGCTTTACCCGCTGGGGTCAACCTACGCGGGCAGCAACCAATTGCTACAACTCGTGGCTTGCATCTGCTGACCAACTACAGGCAAGAATCCCTTACGGAGGCTACTCTGATGCCAATGGGCAAAGGATTCGCCATCACGTCAGACCTTGACTTGCGCAAGATCCTCCTGAGTGGTTATGAGAAACATACAAGGCGCCTAGATAATGACTTCGAGCCTTCAAGTAAACGGCGGAAGCTCTTCGAACTCCCAAAGCTCAAAATAGCAGCTATCACCAACGACACAGTTGCTACCCTTGCTTCCCTTGCTTATGCTGTCAAATCCCTGCCCAATAGTCGAGTCGCTATGGGCATTATTGTGGGTACCGGCTGCAATGCCACAATTCCAATGAATTTGAATATGCTCCATGAGTCGAAGGCGAAGCATGTGAAATCAAAGGACCCGCAAGCGGAGGAGACGGTCGTGAACACTGAATGGACGATCGCTGGTGCTGACCCGCCATTGAAAGAGCTCAACATCATAACAAAATGGGATGTGGAACTCGATAGGGCGTGCGCGCGACCCGGATTCCAGCCTTTCGAATACTTGACGGGTGGTCGGTACATCGGAGAGCTCATCCGGCTCATCCTATACGACTATCTTACCAATGTTAGTGGACTGTCTAAGAAAGTATTGCCCGCGACACTCATACAGGAGTATGCCCTGACGACAACTTACGTCTCGGATAATGTTGCCCGTGCTCGGTCGGACCAGGAGCTTGCCGATGAACTCTCACGCTCCATGCCTCCGCCAGAGAATAGCGAGTGGCATTGGGATGCTGTGTCGGCAAACGTGTTTCGCAAGATCGCTAGGACGGTTCAGAGACGATCTGCTGGTTTGATAGCCGCAGCGGTTGTAGGATTGCTTGCTTGTGCGCAGGAGATCGAGCTGAAAGTGGACAGCCACGAAGGTTCACCGCAGAATGTCAATGTCTCTTTGCCCGAGTATAATGGCACTCCGGATTTGTCTGCCGTGTCCAACAGTCTATCTCCGTCATCCTTAGTCCCGGAGGGAGCAAGTCCGAAAGATGGTAGGGTTGTTCCTGTCCTGTCTCCCACTCCCACTCCCGCGGACTGGCAGTCAGGCCCTGAGGAGCTGGTCGTGGCGTACACTGGAGGCATCATTCAGCATTACCCCAATTTCAAGGAGACATGCCAGCAATATATTGACAGGCTTATCATGAGGACTGGCCCGCAGAAAAGCGGTAAGTCGGTCTTTTTGCGGGAAGCGTCGGACGGTGGTGTCATTGGTGCTGGTGTTCTTGCAGGAATGGTGGGCAACAGGTGAACGATAGGTAGGTCATCGCACTCTACTGATCTCGGGAAAATATTGGCACCTTGAATTGCTTTGGCGAGCGTTTATTGGAGTCTATGGTCTTGTAGTCATGGTATATAGAGCCTTCATGCAGGCATGTCATTTCCAAGCGGACTTGGCCTGTTCTTGATTCTCGGTCCCCCATTTTCACACCTCTACCATACATAGGACCCAGCAGAGATTGACAGTTTCGACGGGATCTATCCAACCGAACCAGTATGTTTATTTGAAGTTAGCGTTCCTGTGCGCTGTGCAGTGTTCAATCGGAGAAGATTCGTTATAGCGCTGTGTGCGACATCCATCAATGGGCAAGGTTTGCCCTGGCACAGCTGCAGGATTTCACAAGTCGCTCACATCTGATCATGCAATTTTTCAACGGACTTGAACGACCTAGCTGGCCTTCGGTCGCCAGCGCCTCGACTTGTACCTCAGTCTAGCAATTGATATGGATAGAGTAGCCATCGTAGGTTTTATTCGGCCCTGCCCACACACCTCGACATGATGGGATGCTCCCTGGACGTAATTCACTTCTCCTGCTCAGATATAGCGGAACATGTTGTTTCGTACGCTGCGCTTCATGGCATTGGGCTTGCCATCTTCATACTCAATTCCTGAAGCGCCACCACCGCCAGACATTTGCTCGAGCCGCTCTCGGAGCTCTTGATCCGCTTGAGCTACGCTTTTGGTCTTGTCTTGCTTGAGCTTTTGCTGTGCTGATTGGTCATCTGATGCATCATTGGACTCTTTTTGGTGTGACGTGTCTTGAGCTATATCTCAATTAGTTCTAATTTTGAACGAAATACGCAATTATCTGAATTACTATCTTACTGACCTTTTGTTTCTGCGAATCTGTACGCGGTCGAAGTTATATACCGCGCTCCGGGAGAAGCATTTGACAGACGAGCTGTCCGGAGGAGCAATGGAGTTGAGTATAGCATTGAAAATGAATTCATTGCATTAATCTCAAAAGGAACCTTTCGCAAGAAAACAATATCGAAAACTTGACACTGCTGGTCCCATCAATTGATGTAATGGCTCCTCATCATCACATGATCCGGATCACGTGCAGATACCCCCCGCGACCAACTGATCGCAATCATCCGGCTCCACTTCCACTCTCTTAATCTCCCTTGTCGCCTCACTACCAACTTCACAATGAGCGCCCAGGCATACTACGAGCTCTATCGCGGGAGCAGGTACGATAGGGTCTGCGACGACGTGTCAGAATTTACCACTAACCCTCCGCAACAGCCTCGGACTCTCCCTGACCGATACCCTCGATGACCTGATCAACGAAGGACGGATCGAGCCCCAGCTCGCCATGAAGATCCTCTCAACTTTCGATCGCGTGATCACAGAGGTGCTGGCAGACAAAGTGCGCGCTCGTCTGACCTTCAAGGTACGCTTGCATATGAGGATAAGGAAGGCTGCGCTTGGAGCGGATGAAGGAGGCGAACTGAGGCTGACATGGCTTTTCTTACCACCACAGGGACATCTTGATACCTACCGATTCTGCGACGAAGTGTGGACATTCCTTATCAAGGACGTTACTTTCAAGCTGGATAACCAGACTACGGTCTCCGCGGATAAAGTGAAGATTGTGAGCTGCAATAGCAAGAGGCCTGGTGAAGCCTAAGGGTGAGGGATCGTTTACCTTGCGCCATCGGCTGATACACTCGTTACCTCACTTGCTTACTCTCTTTTTTCTCCTTCCGCCACTTGCTTTGATAGGCGTTGTTGAACCTATATTTCTTCTGTTTTACTCTTCATGTGGATTGCTCTTTTGTGCCCGGGACATGGCAAGTTGCTTGATATGGGGCTTTTATCATATTTTTGGCGTTTCGCGTTAGCATATGAGGCTGAATTATGGATTTGCTATGGTGCTACTAGAATAGATTGAAATCAGATACCCGAATCTACACCATCGAAGAAGAGAGTAGTAGATAGAAATCCGTATAGCTTACTTGCAGATTACTTCATTCACTTCTAAAAGAAACCACGAATCAAATCTCACCGAAACAACAGCCTTTCTCCAGAGACACATATTACAAACGGTTGATACCCAGTTATTACCAACCCAAACAGCCAGACAAGCATATCAACATGAGGCTGAGAAGTGGATCTCCAACTAAAGTAACTTAGATAACTAATCCGTGCGGAGGCGGGGAGAAGCCGCGTATCAGCGGTCGCAAGACACCACCATTATTCCCTCCTCACATCCTCCCTCTCCATATCCATACATACACTCCTCACTTCATATTCCAATAATGTTTAATTGACCAGCATCATCCTCCTAACCAGCGACAAAGATGCCCCGCAACCTACCATGGCTACTCAATGCAGCAACAACAACCAAACGAGAACCGAAGACATCTCCGTCAGACACACCGCGTCGAACCGTGAAGCGCGAGACCAGAGCCAAAGAGAAGGAGAAAGAAGAAGATGACAACGATGTGACGCCAAAAGCCGAGATGGCGATGACTCCAGGTTCAAGGATGAAGAAGCGCGATTTCATGCGGTCTTGTATGTACCTTTTACTCAAACCGTTGCTTTTTGTCTTTGCAATATGAGTATACTGAGGTCCACTGACGCCTTGCTATAGCTCCTACACCGCCGTCCTCTCCCATCCATCGCTGTCCGTCTGAAGAGTACGTGACCATACCATAGCCACACACACCCATGAAAAAACGCAGTACGCTAACAGCATGTAAAGATACCTCCGCGAAGGCTTCGACAACGACGACATATACATGATGGTAGAAGACGAGTTCTACGCGGTCGCACAAACCTTCACACAACACCTACACTACGCAGAATACATACGACGGAAGAAAGAAGCCAAGTTGCAGAATGCCACGACCATACAGAATATCGCTCGACCGACCGATGGTGTTACTGCGCAGACCGAGGAAGCTAAACGCAAGGCTGCGGCGGAGGATTTGTCCGCTCAGCAGAAGGAGGGGCTGCAGAAGATGGTGGAAGGTTTACGACCTGCCGTGGATTCGGAAGAGGATGATCAGGAGGAAGAGGAAGATGATACTTGGGCGGGTACGTCACTGCATGATCTGCTGATTAGCCCCCGAAAGGCGCGGTCGTTGGTCGGGATGCAGGGCATCAAGTCGACGACGCGGGCGGCTGCTGGACTGCGGGCGTCAGCAGGAAGCAGCGCGGCTACGGATGGGGCAGCAAGGGAGCGACAGGATGCGATGGGGACCGGCGATCAACTAAGTGAAACGACGGATGACGACGATCTGGACGCACGGACGAGGACCCTGACGGGGCCGAGTCGTATACAGCATCGTGCTACGGAGACTACGCCTACTGCTGCTAGCTCGCGAAGCAGCCCGATGAATAATCGCTCTACCGGGGACAATGGAATCAGAAGAGTGCAGTCTATGAGTAGTAGATACAGTACACCGAGGGCGACCAAATCTAAGAAGAGATTAATATTCGATGATGACTTTGACGGGCTTCCAGAGCCGTCTCGGTCAAGCAATCAGATGCAGGGCCCGATATCATCCCCGTCACTAGGTCGAAGAGCACCAAATCCACGAGGCCCGGACCCCAAGGCAAAGAAATCGCGTCTCAATGAAGTTCCAACATTCTTGTTTTGACGTTGCAGACCGTGAATCACGCTGAGAGGAGAATTTATGATGAATTTCCATGCTTCCGTAACGAGATAAACTGTCGATGATGTTGATATGCAAGCGTGTACAGCTGGCATCGATTTGATCGGCTCATTGCTCATCGTGGGCAACAGAAACTGGTCTCGCAACCCGGACGCTCAGCCTCCGGACATGCGTCTTGATCTTGTCTCGTGTCGATGGTTGACGTTCCATGGCGGTGGCCGCCGCTTCCTTCTCCTTCTCTAGGGTGGAACCCCGACTGTGCAAGGTTGCCGCACTGCAGTGATGTTAGACCGGATAGCAGAATAGTCAGGACGTGAGGTTACTAACTCGTCATCAGAAAAGAATGCGGGCAATTCCTCTTTACGAAAGTCGGTTGGGGGTCCCTAGAGTGCACACTGCATTAGCATATGGGTGGGAGAGACATCATGGGGACATGATGGGATGTGTTGGACTCACAATTTCCAGCACCTTCTGCTGCTTCTCGCGCCGAAAGGGAGACTTGACAAGTCGAGCTATCTGCCGAAAACACTCCATAGTGACTTCAGGTGTTTGTTGTTTAGGTGGTGATGATTATGATGATGATGATGAATCAAGCGAGTGTCGTAAGGTGAGAATGGTGGTAGTGAACGAGAGATCGAGATCGGTCACTATCTACAAAAGCAGGGACCGATGCCAATTAAGAAACACAAAAAGCAAAGATAGTGCTAGTTCAAGCAACCAGCAGATCGATCAACAAAAGCGAGTGGATGCTTCGAAGAGCAGCTTTCTATCAATCACAATCACAATGACGAAGATGGACGACAATGGCGATGTGACACTATGAAACGAGTGACAAAGAGTTAAGTATGTAGGGCTTAGTTTTAAAAAAAACAAGTGGCAACACCGAAACACGAAACACAAGAAGCGAGCGAGCGAGCGTGAGAGTAAGTGAGTGAGAACCAAAAGGAAGGACTAGTCGGCAGAACAAAAAAAGCTCTAGCAGTGGGACATTGGGCGCATCAAGAAAAGAAAACAATAAAAGAATAAAAACAAGGAAGCAGGAATAGAAGACGAAGAAGAAGGACAAGAGAGAAAGAAAAGACCGGTCAGAGAAAACAAGTCTAGATATATGGAAACGACGACGAAACACCCTGCAGGAGAAACTCGATTTCGGCCCTCTTTTCTTTTCTTTTTTATTTTGATTTCCCTTTCGCTCGAACTGAACAAACGGTTTTTCGCCCGTGCAAATCTGAATGCAGGCTTAAGACGGATCGGCGGAATTTTGTGGCACGACAACTATCTTACGCTAGCTATGCTACCCTTGGATGGGGGAGTAAGTAATATGCAATATCCACAGTGACAGCCTTATGTTATGTGCCGGAAACTGATTGGAAGCATTGCTAGTAAGTAATTGAACTTACGCGCCGCGGGTGACACATTCCCCCTGGCAGGTCCAGCTCAGTTTACTGACTTTCTGAGTATCCGTCACAGAAGCAAATATGCTCCCCGTCCATCCATCCCCTTTCTTAACTGGGGGAAGGAGACGGACTAGAGGAGTGAGTGACGCGATAATCTCCGAAGAATTGTTGGGCAAATCATACAGACATACATACATACGGTGTGTAGACATTACTTGGCTAGTCTAGTCTAGGTGGCACTGAAAGCCTTACGTATGTAAACAACTAAGTAAGTAGGCTACATATGCCACATCTGTAGGTACCCAAAACAGGGCGCCATACAGTATGTATGTATGTAACCACCCGCTGCACTGATTGCTGACTGCATGAAACCATGCTATATGCTATAGAATACTATATTTATTATTATTACACAGACAGTTGTAAATTGATGAATTAAGTTTCGCATTCGTCATCCCCATATGGAGAGGGGGGATTAATTGTTGGTGGTGGTGGCTTGGATCACCGATCGGCCCCAACTTGGGCTGGCTGGCCCCCATTTTGTCCGGTTTATCGGGTTACCCAGAATAGAATACTGCACTGCAACAACGGGAATAGTTTGGGTATAGTTATTACTACTCGGTATATCTACGGTGTTTAGAATAGATACTCCGTGTGAAATAAGTATGTACTCCATTGCACAGCACACATTTCTTACTTTCACTTTTTCACTGTAGAACAGAACAGAAATAATAAAAATAGGTAGAAAATAATCCAGAAACATAAGGGGAAAATACTACTGGGGGCAAAGGGTAATAAGTTAGTTATGCATCGAACATTCTAAGAATACTTCCGGCCCCCCCTTTTGTCCCCCCTCCCCATCCCATCCCCTGCTTACACTTAGTGACTACTTAGTTACGAAGTAAACTATCTCGCTGTCATTGTTACGATTGCCAGACCCTGGATACAGAAAATGAGTAGTAAGTAAGTAAATAAGTAAACTGAGTTCCCCCGGAAAGTCAATTCGAACTCCTACCTAAGTACTTACTCCGTAGATAGATAGATAGGTAACTAGCGAGATTAAATGGAGAAGAAGAGGAAGAAGAGGGATGGTGGCGATACCTAAGAAGACAGACACCCACCTCCCTTGCATCACAACAATGCCTATTCTCTTCAGTTTCTGGCCTTCTGTAACTGACTGGTGAGAGATTTGCCCGCTGATCCGCGGGTAAATAGTGTGATAGGTAACGAAGTTTAGCATTCTTGGAGATAAATATCTGTAGGGGATGAGAGTGGGGAGGAGAGGGACAGGAGAGTTGGGGAATTCGTTATGATTGAAATGGGGGTAAGGGTCTATTTATTATCTAGACTTATCTAGCTGGGTGTTTTATCTTCATGTTGGTGGTGAGGTAGGGTAAGTAGATAGTGGTTGTTAGTTGATGAAGTATGGATGGATGGTGTTTGCCTGAGGCAAAAGGTTTATGGGATCCCTTCCTAATACAGTCCAATTCAGGTCATTCATTATATCTGAAATCTCTCTGTAGTCATTGAGTTTTCATGGTTTACCTGGTTAATACCCTGCTACCAAGATAAATCGTCTTATCTGAATAATTCTCCTCCGTGGTGGTCCCTTACAAAACGCCCTTGTCATCCCACTCCCATTCCCATCACGAAAGAATGCAGGACATCACACAAAGAATGCACCCCCCAATACCATCACTCTGTACATAGTATTACATCACATTAACTTGTTATCATTGCCTACAAATATCTACTTATCTCAGCCTCAGAACATCCAGCCAGCCTCCGGTCGTTTCTTCCGCCCATACAGCGATCTTTCTTGGCTAGGGTCTGTCATAGTTGGGCGTTACCAATTGCCTTTTCGTTGCTAGTCAGCTAGACACTTAGTTACCGCCTGGCTGGCTGGCTACTGACTGGTATGTGATGCCTTCGCAGTGGGTACTAGTTCCTTAGAGGATGGGGCCAAATGCACTTACCCACTCAATTGGTGGCATTGCGATGCAGTACTACTCCATACATTGCAATGTTCTGGTCCCTTCGCTGCTGAAGGATGGCTAGTGCTTATCTTTACATTTACGCGATGTGTGGATTTGTCATTGACATTTAAAGTTGTTATTATCGTTGTCATGGCAGGACTGGAGTTGGTCTATCGATCATCAAGGCATCATTCAAATCAAATCAAATACAAATCAACAAACGAAACAGCCCGCATCATCTATTTGGGATAGTCCTTGATATGGTAACTCTTCAGTTTGACGAATTGCTCGAACCCGAACCGACTGAGCGTTACTCCGCGTCCTGAATTCTTCCAGCCTGTCCAGGCCAGGTCCTATACCTCCATTAGCACATCTCCAGAATCATCATCAACATCAACAGCGCAAACTCACCGGACTAGGATAATCCGATCGATTGATAAACACCGTCCCCGCCTCCACCCGCTCAACCAGCTCCTCCGCGGCAGCAACATCCTTCGTCCATACACTAGCTGTCAACCCAAACTCACTACTATTCATCCACTTAACGGCCTCATCATCCCCCTCCACCTTCATAACCGGAATCACCGGCCCAAACGTCTCGTCCGTCATGACCCGCATCTCGTGGGTAACCCCCGTCAACAGCGTAGGCTTAACATAATTCCCCTCAGACGGAGGATTCTCAAACGTCTCATTCGCCGGCGTCTCATCCTTCGCCCCCTTCTCCACGGCATCAGCAATATGCGCCTCGATGTCCTCTTTCGCGCGCTTCGAAATCACAGGCCCGATCTGCGTCTTCTTATCGAACGGGTCCCCAACCACGTAATTGCTCAGCACCTTCTTAACCTCCGCCACGAACTTATCGTAGATATTCTGATGCACGTAGACCCGCTCGATAGCGCAGCAGCTCTGCCCACTGTTGAAGATAGCCCCGTCGACGATCTCCGCCGCCGCCCAGGGGATATCGACGTCGTCGCGCACATACGCTGGATCCTTGCCGCCTAGTTCCAGTCCGAGGTTGACGATGCGATCAGAGGCTGCTTTCTGCGTAGCTAGGCCTCCCTCCACGGAGCCCGTAAAACAAATGTGATTGACGCAGGACGAGCGAACGAGACTCTCAAGTAGAGTCGGGGACCCGGAGTGCACATATTGAATCACGTTCTCTGGAAGGCCCGCTTCTTCAAACGCATTGGCGACTTCCTCTGCGATGGTCGGTGTCTGCGGCGACGGTTTCAGAATGACTGCGTTCCCGGCCAAAATGGCGGGGATTAAGCTGTTAACGAGAACAAGGTAGGGGTAATTCCAGGCGAAAATGATCAGGACGACGCCGACAGGCTTGCGCTTGATGTAGCGCTTGAAGCCCTGTTCTTCTTCTCCGGGGACGATGCCCGCTTCGCCGAGGACGGAGTCGCTGATGCGGTTTAGGTAGTGGCTGCGCTTGATGGCCGTGGCGACTTCGACACCTGTGTATGATATGGGCCGGCCCATTTGCTCGGTGATCTGTCTGGCGAGGTCATCTTTTCTCTTTTCGAGCTTGTCTAGGGCGCGGGTGACGATGTCCTGGCGTTGTTTGAGGGTGGTGGATTCGGAGAAGGAACGGTAGGCTTCTTGGGCGGATTCGGCGATGCCTACGATGTCTTCTGGGTTGGCGCCGGTGCGGTTGAAGATGGGACGGTTGGTGATGGGAGAGATGGTGGTGATGTTTGGGACCGACATTGTGAAAATGGGTCTTGGTAATTCTGGGGGGACGTGGGGAAGAAGTTGGGGAAGAAGATGGAGAACCAGGCGTGGATCATTTAACAACGACGTCAGGAGGGGTATGGCGTCACGTTATCGGGAGCTTCCCCGCTGCGGTGGGCCTTAAGGATTCCTACGATGAAGTATAGAGCTACATGGGACATGATTTACGTTAATGTTATGTATGCCTGCTTTCCGAGGGGTCCGAAGTTATGGGAAATTCTACTGTCGATCCGGTGGCGAACTGGTAAGTGTTATTGCATGAGTACCTATTCTATCTTAGGCATCCCCTCAGACATCCCGCACCAGCCGGGCTCCAGCCCAGGGGTATGGGTAGTTCCGCTGGTACCAGTTGACACTGAACAGATTAGCTCATGAACCCGCTAGTCTTGCATACGGACTTACAAGGTAGTGCGGCCGGCGATCCGTGGATGCGTCGCCCATGACCCTCCGAGGATGACATTGTGTTTTCCGTCGAAGAAGTCGGCTGTTCTCAGTTAGCTTGTGTTCATGTATCTCACACAGCAAGCTTACATGTATATCCGGGGTAGATTTGCATGGCCTCGAACCCTTCGTGGGGTGCAAGTTCAGTGCTCGTCCACTCCCAGACGCCTCCCAGCTCTCCATGACCGGCGAGTCGGTCGCCGTTCTGGATGACCGGGGTAGGGTGCCAGTGTTTGAAGCCGACGTTGCAATTGTCGAGCTCAACAAACACCGGCAGAGATTCTCGCGAAGGATGCTGTACTGGTTGGTGGTCCGGGGTGCGAGGCCGTAGGGGGTTGGTCTCGATATGTTCGTGTCCGTTGACTCCGTTCCTTTCACTATGACAGTAAGTCCTGTGCATCTAGTGGAAGCGGTATGCTTACCTGTGACCGTTCAGGCCGTGGCTAGTTTCCTTCAGCCGAGCTGCATGCGCGTAGATACTCTTTGCCTCTTCGAAGGTTGGTATCCTGCAGTCCACCCACTTGGCATACTTGGCCAATTCATCGTACGACGCGATAACCGGCCAGTCCTGGGCTAGCTCGAGCGGGACGGAGCCAAACACAGTGCGAACGGCAAAGTGTGCCATGAATTCATTCGTAGCGTAGCTACTGTCTTGACTGACACCATTGCAAGTCGGGTACGTCTCGGGCTTGATCAAGACCCAGGACTCTGGCTTCTGGGGCAGCTGATTCGCCTGTAGATACTTCGCGTACTCTCCATTTGTTATTGGTCGCGCTTGAGCTTCGAATGCTTTAACGGTTATCTTTCTCTGGGGCTTTTCGTTGTCCCAGCCAAAAGAGTCACGAGGAACTGAATGTCCATCATCATGTAATCCAACCGAAAGCGTCTTCTCGGGAATCGAAAACCACTCGTTTGGTCTTGACTCTTGCCGGGCATCGTGGAATAACTTCTTAAAATCTGGGCGCGGAACGGCAGGGGGCGGAAGTGTTCGTTCACTCTGGATAAGCATGTAAAGGAACGTTTCCAGATGCATGGCTTCATGCTCAAACCCGATCCAGAGTGCTTCACCAAGCACCCTATTCTCAGCCACATTATGCTTCTGAAAGATGGACCTCACCCTACTTCGAACCCGCACTTGGTAGTCCAAGATGTCTCCAAGGGCAGGCCATTCGTCTGGAATCTCGCTGTGAGAATGGCACTTTTCGGGGTCATCCACATCGGGGTCGATTCCGCGTTCGAAGATGAGTCGATATGACTTGGGATGCGTTGGCTTTTCGCCCAATGCTCGGGTCAAATGAACATCTGCGCTTGTCAATATGCTGACCCCTACACTTGCACTCCACAAATAGCCAAGCAGAACACTGACCGAGAAACGTAGGTATGTGACCGAGGTAGAAGATTAATGCATTGCGCAATTTGATTGGCTTCGAAAGAAGTTCCTCTCTAGGAACCATGGCCTTGGTGACAATGTCCCATGCTGTCCACAGTGACTGGAATTCCTCAAAGCTCGGAATAGATTGAGCCGCATACTGTGATGGTCTCGTTGAAAAGTTGAGAGAAGCCGAAGAGAGCACGTGGATAACTGCTCGACAGATTATGTTAGTATGATGGTCTCAACTGGTGTAACATGTTTTTACACAATGCAGTGCAACATGACATGCAGAGTAGCACATTGCCAAAGGATGACATACGGTAATCCCCAGACTCATTGCCAAACTCAGCGTCCTCAATTAAACCCGCATCATGCCAGAGCTGATCGCACTGCTCGGGATCATATTTGAATGCCTCCTCAAAAATCAGCTTCTCGCCTTTCTGAAGTAGTACCCCGTTTATAGTCACGTCCCGGTTTGGCGCGTAGAACGCCTGGTGCCGCCCTTCGACGTTATCGTACTCCGTCACGATATCCCATTCATCGAGTTTGAATGCTTCGTATCCAAGCACAGCGTTCGCATGCAACAACCCGTTCTCGTAGAACTGCCGTGTGATACCCTTGGAATCATTGTATGCCTTGTACACTTTATCCGAGTCCGTGCAACTATCCAAACCAAGCACCATCAAATCCGACGGCCCTAGGAGCCTGGCAAATTGCGACAAGAATTTTGCCGCTGCAGGACGATCGAAATTTCCTATCGACGAGCCCATTGACATGATCACCGTTGGGACCTTTCGATTCGCGGGGTTTTCTAGCCAGGTGAGGGCGTCGTCGTACGTGCCATGAAGGCCGTGGAGCTCAACATATTGATATTGATCGAGGGACACTTCCGAGAATGTGCGCTCCAACTCTGAGAGCGACAGATCCAATGCATAGTAGTCCACTTTTTTGCTCGCCGCTTCGAATTCCTGGAGAAGGATCTCAATCTTGCGCAGATTGCTACCGTAAGTTAGAATCCCGTATCTGTACCCTATACTCTATACATGCTCCAAGCGGAAGGAAGACGCACCCACTGCCTAGTTCCAGTAATTGCGCATTGTCCGGGATGCGTTCAACGATCCTCTTCGCATGTGTCCGTAGAACGTCAATCTCCGCATTTGTGAGATAGTATTCCTCCAGGTACGTAATGTCCTCGAACAGCTTGAGCCCCTGAGCGTCGTAAAGAAGCATTGTGGGCATGGATCGGCAAGTTCCTGCCGGAGGATCTATACCTCGCTGGATATCATTTACCAGGGAAAACTCCACGTCATTTTGACGGATATCGACGATGTCAACGCCCTTGACGACCGGACATAAGGGTGACATATTGGGTAAGCACGGAACTCTAGCAACAATAAAGCAAGTAGAAAAGCAACAGTTATACAAGCCACTCCAAAGAGAAAAAAGTACAAGTTCAAGGGTAAGCCACAGAGCTTATATTATTGTATGCGCGCGCAAACCGCGGATGGTATCGGGGGGGCTAATGAGGGGTAGATGAGGAGAAGCGCCAGTCCTTGCAGAGAAGAAATGCAAGATTGATCAACTACAGGTAGATCCACCACTGGATAAATAGGTCGACAGGTCAGACTCGAAGTTGGCGTGGGGGATCAGAGAGACGAGTATCATGCTGCTCGTCCCACCTCTCTCAATATTACCAGGGGGCAGCTGTTCCTGCGCTATCCAAAAAGCGGGCCCTTGCAAACAGCACATCATGACTGACTGGGTCATCGAGGTCTGGACGCCCTCCGCGATGTGTAAGCTCAGGGCGATTTGTCCCACCGCAGACCGGAAATTACCGTTGAGGCCGGCCATGCACGTCAATCAGACCATACTGGGCAGGGTACACCATTCCGGTGGGATGGCTTGGGAACCCACCATCCGGGTTACTTTCCAAGGAACAACCAGGTGTCACGGCGATCCAATGGATGAAGCACCGCCGGCCAGTGACGCATGCGGAAAAGAGGTCCAACCGCCGAGGCCAGAAGGAAGCGCCGACACGAACATGACGTTAAGTTTGCATTGATTGCATTGGTTTGCATGACTTAGCTTGGGGCGGGGATTACCATGTTGGGTATTGTTTGTTCCGTTTGGTTACCCCACCCCGGTTTGTCTGGTTTGATTTGCTGCTGTTGCCTGTTTGAGGCAGTTTGTCATCAGAAGGACACGGCATTTCCCAACCACCATCTTATCCTATACATCCATCAGGCTTGTCTGATTGGCATCGGACACATCCACCTGATTGATCCGTATTGCATGGAATATGCCTCAGTGGAGCTCGTATTGACCAGTGTCTGTGTCAGCCCAGTGCTGAACTACTGTCAGAAACAAACAATGAAGTTTCATCAGCAGCACTACGGTAGTAGTCTTGAAAGTTACTCAGCATTCCCGCGTGAGTCCGGCCAGTGACGAACCCGACCCCTTTCAGGCATACTTAGTGTAGCTGCTTATCCGATAAGATTAGGGCTGATCAGCTGCTGAGACCAGATCAGCGGAGAGATTCCGCTGGATGAACAACAAATAACGAAAGATGTCTTGAATAATCCGATCAGGTGGACGCATAGTAGCTGCCCAAGAGCATCATATATACGAGCATCGGTGTACTTCGGGGATATCTCCGTTGAACACCGAAGCGCTCAGCTTTTATCCAATATATATCCAACGCTATTAGCAAGTCCGGTGAAACAATTCATAATGGAATATTTGTCGAATGTCTTCTCAGTAGTGAAATACCGTAAACTAGTAGTGTGTATGCAGCTCTCCTTAGAACCATTATGAAATATAAATACCGCTTCAAACCCAGGATCACCCAGGATCCTATGTTTTGAAATCCAGTGAGTTGAGTACCTTGAATTCTGATATGCTGCAAAATGTCAACAAACAGGCGCAATTACTCGCATATGCGAGATGCCGCATTGAATATCAGAGCAGACTGCGACGAGGAGTACGAGCATTCAGATATGGCCGCCAGCGGGGACGAGGCATTGCAGATCCTTATGGAAGCAAATTACAACGATGGCGCTTCGTATGATCAAAGCTCCACGGATGAATTTGCAAACGATGACGGGGACCATTTATGGCAAGTCCAGGCTGATACTTTGTACAGCAGGGATGAAAGCGGTTGTACAGATGAGCGAGAACATGCCTCATGGCAATCTCAACCCACTGATCCTGACACCCAGTGCCAACAATTTGATTACCCACCACCACCACCACCTCCCCAGTTACAACATTCAACCAGGTACTCGCTTGAGAAAAGGAAACCCAAGACGGCAACCGAAGACAAGCCAGATGATATCATATCCTACTGTAATATGGTCGTTGACATGAGCAATATGAAGACTGCTCTTCGCAACGTAAAGGACTACCTCGAGAAGGGCCAGACCCGCGAGGCCGAAGTCGAGGCCCAGAAAGCTCAGGACTTGGCAGAAAAGTATGGGGAGAGACCAGTGATCGCACGGTGCAGATACTGGCAGGCTCGGGTGAAGTTTGCTCAAGGAAACTATGAAAAGGCGTATCGACTGTTTCGCAAATGCCAGTTATGGATCACAAAGCAACCTGAGGCGAGCACAATGGCATTTTACCTACCACTCTGTCAGCCGGGATTGAGCGACCAAGATCGACAGCGCATGTTGCAGGACGCTCACAGACCCGCAATGCAACTGCAGAAAATACCAACGGTTAGTGAAGTGCCAGACAACCGAGACTCGAAACGAAGATGGAATGATAGCCTTCACTTGTTGTCGCAAGACAATATCCCACAATCCACGCATCGGCAGAACATAGCCCACCCCAAGTCACTTCTCGAGAGGCAACCTGAAGATTCCACTGGACTCAAACTTGGTGGCAAGCAAAAGCTATTCACTTTCGAGATGCACCCCAAGGGCATGGCACCCAGATTCCGGCCGACAGATATTTTCGCAGAACAGCCTTATGAAGTTATTGTGCCACAAGAACAATGGGAGGATTTCATTGACTATCACAGGGACCAGAGCGTCACGTTGAGTTATCTGGAGAGGGAGAGACGACGGTACCAAACCGTCGTCCAAGAGAGGTATAATCAGCGCTAACCCGCTGCATGCTGGTCTGCCTTTTTGGCGAAGACATAGCCAGTTCGGTGAAGAAGTGGGGTATTGTTGGAGTAATGGTCTTTGATATTATATATAGCGATTCCTTTATGACGCTCTCCTTACCCGCCGACTAGCGAGTGTCAAATGCACGTCTTTCTTTCTCCCCTTCCTACCTTTTCTACGGATCAAGAATCTAGTCTTTCGAATCAGTCAACGTCATGAAAATCGTCATAGCATTGCGAGTCATAGATACGCTTCAAGCACTCAATGGCTACCACAAAGCCAAGTCAGCCAGATTTAAACCCCAGGCCCAACTTGCAGCACCCATAGCACCAACACTCATTGCAAAGGCCATCAGAAGATTCACGGCATTGTTGTCCAAGAGGTCCCGTCCACTCTCTACCCTCCGGCTTTCGTGTCCCGATTCAGTTTCTCCTGCGGACGTCCCCGTCGACGTTCCAGTAGCCCTGGTTCCTTTCAGAGTGGCAGTGTTAGCGACTGCCTCTGTGGCGTGTACCTGCGCACTCGAGCTTGATCCGGCAGGCTTCAGACCGGTGGTATCAGCTGGGACGCCGGGCTTAGTAGAAGAGGGGTGAACAAGGACCTGCATGACAATATCAGCACTATCCTCTTCCTAACAATCCGGTAGATGTTAATCATGTACTGACCTTCTGGCCACCGGCTCCTTCGATGACCTTTCCTGTTCTCTTGTCCACCACGCTGGCCTGGAGCAATCCACCCAAGACACTATCCAGCACACTGCCCAAACCTCCCCACATTGTCACAGCCAGGATCCACTGAGCCCGGCTCTTGAGTGTCGAGAGAGTATCGCCTTCGGAGCAGAAAGGTAGAATAGCAGCGGATGACACGGCAATTGTAAATGCACCCAGCACTCCTGCTAGGAGTCCGGTGCCCGTTACACCGCCATTGGTACCGGGGGGAACAACGCGGAACGTGGGAGAGGTGATCAGGCGGGGTTTGGACTTGGATAGAATACCAAGCTCGGAGGAGTATGTATCAGCGGCGACAGCGGCGTAGTTCCTATAACGATGACCTGTCAGTAAGCGCATTACAAAGGGTAAGGAATAGAGATAAGTCTTACGCGACTATTCCCACGACCAACAGATCCGCCACATCATGACCATTCGAAAAGCACTGTGTTGCGCTTGCAGGCTTCCCTGCCAGAACATATGTATGTAGGAGAGCAAGCACTGTAGCGACAACAGAGTTCGCCAGGACTTGGATGTGGGTACGTTGACCCTCGCCGCCCTCGGAGCCGGTCGCGGAGAGCGTCAAACGAGCTTTAACATCGTGTTTAACCTGGCAAGTGTGCGATTAGAAATTATAAACCGCGGATCGACGATGTTGAAGAGAATATATACCTTGGTAACTTTGGTGCCCCCAAAGTAGAATACTCCTAATAAGACAAAAGGAGCGGACCATGGATGAAGAGCATGGGCGCTGGCCGTCAGCGCAGCCGCAATGAGGCCGGGGGTGGTCAGCGACTTTCGCGACCAAGCACGATGAACGAGCACTATCACCGCTGGGATACCGATGTATGGTTTCATGGTGAAAACAGGTAGCGACACCAGGGAAAGGCAGGGTAAGATTTGAGAGAGGAAGAAATCGGGGAAAAGCAGAGCTTCGCGTTATCTTAGCTTGACCTTTTAGCGCGGGTAGCTCCGATGGGCCAGGTGACCATCCGCGGTTGGTGATCGTGATCGGCAAACACAGAGCAGCATGACTCTATGCAGATGGATGGAGCAAAAGGCAAATCCAAGAGTATATAATTCTTTCAATGACATCTTCATTTTTGCCCTTGTGCTGTGTACATTGGTCTTCATTTTCGTGACAGTGGAGCCCAGGCTAGAGGGATTGATTCTCAAGTTGATTTACCCCACAAATATACCACTATCCCTAGATTAGCTCATCAGCTCATGAGCTCTTTATGAATGGAATGTTCACTAGATTTAAACTGAAGCTGAGCTCCTGTCATACCTACTTTAGCAGTAAGCTTGCTCTATGGAGGCGTCAGGACTGTGGAAGCATTGCTCAACCATGGCTTCTGCCTGACATGTGCGTAGCTGCAAGCGCCGACCCCGCCTGGCCAGCTCCATCCCCTTCACTTCACACTCCCAACAGCTTGTTCCCTTCTCACCACTCAGAGTATAACTACTAAGACATAGCCTTCTGCTTGATATTTCATCACCTTCATAGTCTAGCATCGAAATCACGATGGCAGTTATCTACGGATTGCCCACGGTGGCTTCCACAGTAGCAGCAGCGGTATGAGCAAGTCCACTGTTCTTGAACGCCAACTGACAAGTCATCGTCTCCAATAGTGTGCGATAATTGCTATCATTCTTGGAGCGTAAGTCACCTTCTCACACTTGATACAGCGGTGTGGCGTCGAGAATCAAGCTTAATCATCTCTTCAGGCTGTCCTGGTCTCGTACAGCTTCACTTTACCTTCCCCTTCCTGAATGGGTTCCAGCCATCGCCACCATCTTCCCTCCTCTTACAGCACTGGCTCTGTACCTTGCCAGTCGACTCGCCCAGCCTGCAGATGACCGCCAGTCGTCTAGCCCTTGGCGAAGACTCTTTCCCGTCATCAACCACCTTCAATCTATCATAACCACAATCATTGCTACCGTGGCCCTCGCCTACTTGTACCCAGAGAGCATCACAACCTGTCGACTGGAACAGGAATGGCAGTCATACTTCCGCGCGAAAGACGCTCAACCTATTCGCGCTATTCAGGACGAATTTCGCTGTTGTGGATTCCGGAGTATCCATGACCGAGCGTGGCCGTTTAAGGACAAAACCACCGGAGATGATGCATGTGAGGTGCAGTTTAATTACGGGACAAGCTGTCTGGTTCCGTGGAGACAGCAGCAGCAGAGTGCTTCATGGATGGTTTTTGTAGCAGCTGTTTTGACTTTGCTCATGAAGGTTCGTGGATGCGCTTCGTTACTGTTAATGATTTACTAAGGAAAACTACAGGTTGCGTTATACCAGGCCATGCGTCAGAGACCGAGCTGGATGACAATGCAGTTTGGAAGACAGGCACGCAGCCAGCAGTATATTACGCCCGCTGCGCTGGAGGATGAAGACGCCAATGATGACGCGGAGGGGGGGCGGCGGGGTGCGTTCCTGCCTCGTGCGGGTCCAAGGCTTGACAATGAGTGGAATGATCGGTAGATCGCTCTTCTGATGGCTGACGCTCGTGATTGCAATCTATTCAAAGGTCGTTTGCAAGGGTTCAGTAATTTGTGCTGCGCGATAAGCTCCACGGGAATTTGTAGCATCTGTTCAAGGATACTTCATATGTGTTTCTGCAATACTCTCGAGACTGATAAGACTTGGATAGCTCTAATTTAGGACTTTGTGCGCCATTCATTTCCAGCGATAAAGCTACCATTCAGGCTATCGGTGCCCTCGCTTGGGACGCTCCACTGCCCATCGGCTCGGCCCGAAACCTCACTCTTAACCATTCTACCGAGCGTCAGAGTTGGAGATGTTATAACTTACAACGTGGTCAACCCCGCGATGGGCTCCAAAACCCTAGGCCTGAGGAAGTACTCACCGCGGTCTCGAACAGGTTGCCGCACATGTCGAACACGACGTAACAAATGCGACGAGACACCAGGACCATCATGCAAGAACTGCACAGCGACAGGTCGTATTTGCGACCGCTCCCCGGTATTTCAGCTCCCTGTGAAAACGCGCCTCCGACACGCTAGTCTTCTGCACACGCACATTTCCACTAATGTGCCCGGTATGACAACAGACGAACGCCGCTGTCTCGCCTTATTCCAAACATATACGGTGCCCATGCTGACCGGGCTATGTGACTCGGAACTCTGGCAACGCCTCGTGCTACAGATGAGTCAGACGGAGCCGGCGGTTGGACACGCTGTCGCAGCGCTGGGGGCATTCCACGAAACTACAACTGTGAGTGTTACCGGAACAGAAGTAGTAGGTGGCAATAACGATTATCGGCTCTTTGCACTGGAGCAATACGGGCGGGCGATTGCGGTTCTTCGTCGCCGTCTTGCATCCAGATCTGGGGATCCCCAGCTACGGGTTACGGCGCTGGTGTGTTGTGTGATCTTTGTGATTATAGAGCTCTTGCAAGATAACTACAGTAATGTGTTGGTGCATCTGAAAAATGGGACGTACATCCTTATGAATCAGACTGGCCCGAGAGCGAGGGAAGCAATGTTCAGAGCCATCTCCGCTGGTACGAATGAGGATAGTAAACTAGAAGAGGACGCAGTGTTCATGCAGATGTTTGCGCAATTGACAGTCCAGGCAGCGCATTTCAGCGAGGATTCCGTGATGAGGTTGCAACCATCGGATGCACATCTTTCCAGGGTGCAGTACGATAATTTAGAAATACGCAGTCTAAAGGAGGCAAAGGAAAGGTTGGACCCGTTGATCGATAGCATGACACGCTTCTGGACGCGCTGCGAAGCAGAACTTCGAGATCGCTCTGCAGATCATCGTCCTCTCTACATGGAGCAACAACAGCAATACAGTAACATGCAACGCCATATCAACGCCTTTGAGACATACCTCTCCCAGGCCCAACACTTTACGCCCAAAGAGATTCGGGCTATTGATACAATCCGCGTCAGTCACATCGTCATGAGTACCTACATCGCCACCTTCTTGGATGTCTCCGAAACCATCTACGACCGATACTTCGCAGGATGGACGCGAGCCGTAACCTTAACAGAGCAGATCGTCGCCAGCCTTCAGGCGGAATACGCCCACAAGCAACAGCCACTCCCCAACGTCATCTCCGATATCGGTGTCTTCGTCCCACTGTTTTCGGTAGGAATCAAATGCCGCGATGTGGGTATCCGAGAGCGTGTGCTGAAACTGTTCCGCGCATGGCCTCATCGCGAAGGACTACATGATTCGATGTCATACTTATATATGATCCGGGAAATAGCGAAGATGGAAAGGGAGGCAGCCGACGCTGATGGGTATGTACCGGAGAGGGCGAGGGTGCGAACGATGATGTATGAGAGGGCTGGAGATGGAAAGCATGCGGTGCTACATTACGCGTTATCGGATCCAGATGCGAAAGAGTTGGTGATGAGGAAGAGGGTGTTCATGATGGATGAAGTCCATTAGTTTCTACCAATTCTAAGATAGATCTTGTATTTGTACTTCAAGGTGTACGGCCAGAGCCTTGAGGGAACTCATTAAACTTGAATGCAAACAGGCCCACGTTTCCATCATTCATCCTATCATAACCCCCAAGCAACCTATGGCACTCATCCGAAAACAGTCGCACCTATAGTCAACAAGGCAGCATAGCCAAAGACTACATCATGCTCTTGCCCGACAGCCGGTCTTCCAACGATTTTCTCAAACTCCAGTATAAGCGGGGGACCGTGGACGGAGGGGGGGTTGGCCTTCATGTTGATGACAATTGTAGAAACGCACCGACGAACGTGGACGGTTCCGGCCGTTTGTGCTCTCGTTCTAGGACCTTGTCGGGCAAACGGGATGTACTTTTCGATGGTAATAGTCTTTCTGGCTCGTGAAATATTCAGAAGCAGAACTAGGTTGACGTCCCCTCCAGAGTTGCCGATCCACCAATCCACCGCCATACGCAGGTGCGGCAACGACTCAGATAAACCACACTCAATCACGCAGTGGGGCCAGTCACCGTCATTAGGTCTCAGAATCTTATTCTTGAGGGCGGAGTCACCTTCCTTGCTCGACTCCGAGGGTGGGTTGGTCGTGTACGTTGTAGCACCCATAGGCACACGCTCCGCCGGTTCGACTCCCATGTTAGTCAAGATCGTTCTCGTGTCCCCAGCTATGCTCAGATGAGCTGTTTCGTGCGGGGCCAGGGGGATTTTAATCAACAGCGTCTCGATGTCCTTAAAATAAGTGAAACGTACGGCCGCCCCCAGTTTGGCACGATTTTTTTCGAGATCAACAAACACACTTCGTCCCACATGCTTATACGAGAGGACCTGGTTAACATCTCTCTCTTTCAGGCGACCATAGAGGGCCAAGATTGACTTTCTACATTCATCAAAGCCTCTGTAGGTACGGGGCGGGTAAATTTCACTCATTGCCAAAGTTGTTGAATCAGGCAATTTGAACGAAGATGACATGCTGTCCGCGGATGGGCCTGGTGTACTGCCCTCTGTGACTTCAGTAAGAGGAGTGGACTCCTCCCCCTCCTCGCGGTCAGTCATGGAACGGGACATCATCTTTTTAAGCTTGGTTAGCGAGGTTAGCTAGTGACATAAGCATACTGTAAGCTTTCGGGACTGACCTTGGTACTGGCGATTTGGCCCAAGGGCGATAGCTGACGACTTAGCGGTATAGCGCGAGATATGCTGCTTGGATAATACTTGGACTTGGGGACATCGATTGTCAGACATAATGAAGCAGAAGGCAAGGTGAAGACGCGTAGCAGATAAGGTAGCAGCTGACAACAACACTGCAAACTACCGAGCATGTACGTAGCAAGCGACACAGCAAAGGACCGAGCAAAGGACCGAGCAAAGGAAAGAGCAAAGGAAAGAGCAAAGGGCCGAGCAAACAGCATGGCAGACAGGATAGTTGACGGCGTGGTGATGACTTGGTAGACGAGGCAGGAGAAGAAACGGGAATGAGTGGAATAAGTAGACGACGAAAACTTCAAACACATCCCCAGAAAGTATCGGAAGTAGGTGAGAAGTGAATGTGGGTGCAAAGTGAGAGGTGAATGAGAAATGAATGAGATTGTAGTATAACACAGTTCTAAGGTCTAATCCACATTCGCTCAGATGCCATGTCTATAGTGTTTATCTGGAAATTCTGCTAGTTTGTATCAGTCAGAAGCAACAAGAAGATAACGAATAATGATATACATCAACACCATCTTAGAGACTCGTAGTAGCTGGATAGCCGCAGATGCTACCTGGAGTTTAGCATATTGGTAGTAATAAAAAAATCAGCAAATTCAATCTGCCCAGATGAGATCTAATCATCCTGTGGGACACACCACCCAGCGATCCTAGCTACGTAGTAAAAGCATGCCTCGGACTACCTTACTATCTCATCTAACATTCTCCTACGGAATCCAACGAAGAACAATCCCGCCAATCTCAACCAAATCCTTAGCCTCAAAGACGATATCACACTCAGACGGTCCAACCGGCCGTCGACCAACAACCCTCTCAAATTCCAGAACCACCGGAGGCCCCTCCACAGCAGGCGGATCCGCTCTCATATCAACAACCGTAGTCGCGACAAGCTGCGGCACAAACCCATCATCCATCCTACCATGCGCAGCCTGCGCTCTCGTAACCGGACCACCACCACCACCTTGCCTGAGCTGTTGTGGAAAGTATTTCTCAATGATCAATCTCCTCTGGCCACAGTCAACCACCAGTAACAAAACCAAAAGTACCATTCCTTCAGAGCACCCGATCCACCAATTCACGTCCTGTCGCAATCGATGCAGTGACCCCGATACACCACTCTCGATGACCAACTGGGGCCAGTCTGTAGCATCGTCGGGCCTCAACAGCCCGTTCTTAAGGCCGGTGTCCGCCTCCTTCTGCGACCCTGGTGCCAGCGCCGATGCTGTGTATGTAGCTGATCCTAACGGTTCTCGCTCAACAAGTTCGGTTCTCATGTTGATCGGATTGGTTACTGTCCCGTTGGCGAAAATTAAATAGGCCTTTTCCGAGGCCGGGGTTAGGACCTTGATTAGTAGTGTCGAGATCGTGGGAAAGTAGGTGAATCGGACGATTCTTTGCAGGCGGTGGCGGAGTCTGAATAGGGAGTGGAATGAGGCCGGCGTGACGTCTTTGTAGGTGAGGTATTGGTCGACCGTGTTGGAGGTTTGTGGGTAGAGATCGTCCCAGAGGGATAGGACGGCGCGCTTGCATTCTTGGATTCCGCGATATGGACGCGGTGGGTATTGGGTTGTTAGGGCTAGGGGGGTTGAGTCGGGGAGGAGGAATTGGGTGGTGGACATGATGCTGTTTGGGATAGTATGGTATGATTCAACTGAATGGTTGAAGCTTCTATTATACCGCACATCGGTCCTTTTAAAGTTACTTCTCCGCAGCGAGATCATTGTGATCTAACTTGAAGCTTGCTTGTGCTGTTTAGTATAGACTTTCGGAACTGGGCTTTTCCGGCCTGGGTCGGGGGCTGATTCAAGGTCTATTTTGACCTGGTTGAACTGTTTGTAGCACGATGTTCTATGATGGGAGGGATAATCTACTTCTACTGTACTTAGAGGCTCTCAAATACCTGCACTATTTAGCTTTCCTAGAAAGAGTCAGTATAGAGTATTATACATGTGGGGCCATCAGTACTACTGGGGTAAAAGAAAACCAAAATCTCATAACATTGCTCAAAACTCTCTTTTATGCTTACTGCATGCTCCTAAAAAGAAAGGGTACCACTCCGCCAATCTAGTAGGGATAAAAGCACCATAAACACCACGATAATCAATATCATGCACTCCTATCTACAGATGAAACCCCCCCATCTCATTAACCTCACAAAACCTCCACAACCCCGCCTGCACCGCAGCCTCCCTAACACCCCCCCATTCCTCCTCCCTAACAGCGCGATTAATCTCCTTATACCTGACCTCCCCATCCTCCTCTCCACTCCTCCCTCTCTTCCTCCTCCCCACATACGCATCCGGCCTATACTGTTCCATAACATGCACATACAAATCCCTGGACACATTCTCCGCCAACCACCTCACAATCTCCCTCCCCTCATCTTCCAACCCCGGCATCACCAAATGTCTCAACAACACTCCCTTCTTCGCAATCCCATCAGAGGTAAAACTCAAATCCCCTACCTGCCGATGCATCTCCTTGATACTCTCCTTCGCTGTCTCGACATACTCCTCTGCTTTGAGTAATCGCTTCGCGGTACTCCCCTTCCAGACTTTGAAGTCAGGGAGGTAGATATCCACCAACCCATCCAGCAGATGTAATGAGTCGAGGGAGTCGAAGCTAGATGTGTTATACACAATCGGGATCTTTAATCCCATATCCCTCGCATCGAGAATTGAAAGCACGACTTGCGGGACGACGTGCTCTGGCGTGACGAGGTTAATATTATGCACGTTCCCCACCGTTTGGAGTTTCATGTACCACTCCGCTAGCTCGGTAGGCGTGAGATCATGACCTGCTTTCTTGTGCGCTATATCCTGTCCACACAACTGTCAACCCACATCACTTATCTAAACCTAGGGGCTTGGGGGTGGGGTATACGCACATGGTTCTGACAAAACACACACCGCATATTACACCCGGAGAAAAACACGCTGCCGGAGCCATGGAACCCCTGGATGCAGGGTTCCTCGCCGCGGTGCGGGGCGATGGTGTTCACTTTGGCGGTTTCGGCGCCGATCATGCACATGCCCGTTTCATGGTATCGGTTGACGCCGCAGCGACGCGGGCAGAGGTTGCAGTTTTGGAGGTGGGCGTAGGCGAGGGAGCGCTTTTTGGAGGCGTCGATGGACGAGAGGAGTTGGTAGCGCGGGATGTAGTCGTCCAGGAGGTAGGCCGGGGGGATGCCGAGGTGGCGTTTCGATGTATACAAATATGATATGGGGTTTAAGGGAGGGGGTTTGGAGCGGAGGAAGGGGGATGTGCGGAGGGAGTGTAGTAGAGAGGGCATTTTGGGGATTATACTATTGTCATTACGAGTGTTGATTTGATGGATTGGTTATATGAAGAAGGTTTTGGTGCTTCGATGGAGGATGGAATGCGAATGCTTATCGGCAGCTTATCTCAGCCATGGCGTCATACCTCGGCTGTTGCGCAACAAATGAAAAGAAAGCAATTAGATTGACCAGGTATCAAAGTATCATGTCCAAAGATCACGCATAGTAGTGTACATGCCACAAATATCCACATATATCACCAAAGTATATGTATGAATCCATATCAACACGAAGTAAGCATATTTCCATTCGCCATGCCACCCCTCTTGACAATGAAGCCAGCATAAGCCCGGAGTGAAATAGCGAATCCAAAAGTAGTATCAAATAAGAATGTAAGAAGCCATTGACCGGTCAATGCACCGCCATAAATCACATCTCATCGTCAGCCGTGTTACTGCAAAACTACAGTGCCAGCCCACTGCCATCGCCGCTCCAGCGGTATAGCGCAAGCACTTCGCGTCGGCGCTGCTGCTGCTCCCCAAAGTCCTCTGGGATGCGTCCTCGAACCTGTGCCAGCGCCGATCGCATGACCTTGCGGAATGTCCTCTACATTGTGTTAGCTATTATTACCAAGCTAGGGAGCGAAATAAGAAAACCTACCTGGTACTCCGTGTTCAAGGTCACGACGCACGCTTCATGCGCCCGCACGATCGTCTCGCATGCCCGCACGACACTGGGACTGGCATCGCCCTGCAACTTGTCGGCCGCCAGTAGCAGCAAGAAACTGCCCTGTAGTAGGTAAATCCCGAAAAAGAACGGCATGAAGCTGAGATCCGGGTCGTACTCCAAGATTTCTGCCGCTGCTTCTGCGGCACCGACCGCATGGCTCATGGCCGAGACAAACGACTCCGAGGAGATCCACAGATCATGGTCTTCCAACAGATTCACCGGATCCCATTTTCCCGCGAGCAAAATATGCAGGACATGCATGATATGCGTCCCATAGGCGACGACCATCCTCGTGTGGACGATGGACTCGCTCACCCGCGATCCCACGGTGCTGCTGGAGCGCCCCGAAGGACTCGTGTGATCCAAGTGGGCACCTTCGACGACAGGTTCGTTATCCGTAGCCCCCAGAGTCAAGTTGCTGGTGTAGCGGGCCTCGAATTCCTTCAAGCTGCGCCCATACGTGTCCAGCTGCCGCGTAACGTCCAGTACCTGACGCTCCCATTCCGGGCTATTGCGGAACGCCAGGCCAAAGCGCGGATGATTCTCAGCGTGGTGCAGATCGACGATCCCTCCGAGAATCGTCATCAGCGGTAGAAAGTATCCATACATGCTGTGACCCGTACACTCGACGGGCGGTCCGACCTGGCGGTAGGCAGCCGCTGCAAAGTCGCCGACCTGCCACAGGTCGTCGTTCATCGGCTGCAGCAGCCCGCCACATTCCTTGTCCAGCAGCGTGAGGGGCCGGTTGTAGCACAGCGCCAGGTGCCGATCGGTCGCATATAAGAGCCACCACAGGCGTCGACGCTCCTCACGCTCCTCTTCGGTGACATTAATGCCGGAGCTTCCTGATCCATGACCCAGCGACGTGATGAGGGTCGGAGGATGTCGTTTGTCCGCCTCGCCATCCCCATCTCGCTCTCCATCTTGCCGTGCGTGGGAAACATTGGGTGGCAGCTCACGGCCTAGCTTCAGCTCACGCGCTAGAGACCACGCCGCAGTCCACCAGCGCATGCTGGCCGCCTTGTACTCGCTGGCGGATACTACCGTCGCAAGATGCACATAAGTTGCTACATCATCCACGGCGCCGGTGGCGCTACTTTGCGCGCCCAGCTGATCCATGGAGACCCCAAATCCGCCCAGAGCGACGCCATTAATGACCATATTCGCCGCATAGTTGGGCGACGCTTCTCCGGTAGCAGGACCATGGACCAACGGTCGGAGCAAACCAATGGTCAGTTCTAGCAGTTTCTGGCATACACGCCCCCGAGCCGAGGGCGGCGATGTCAAAAACGCAGCTTCACTCGTCTGTGCGGCTACCCAGAGCATACTCGCCAGGAGACCGGGGCTGCATATTCGGGGTTTTGTCGGGTGGAGGAAAGACTGCTTGCGGAAGATGTAGCCCACCACGTATGGGGACAAGGGAGACAGGTGGGACGAAGAGGAACTAGTGAAGTAAACATCCAAAAGGTCACACGCTAGCGACTGCGGAATAATGGAGGCGATGTGAGGCAGGACCGGCTGCAAAACAGGGTATCGTAAAGTACTGGAAAACGGATGCAAGCTGAAAGAAGGAAAGTTGGCAGGAGATGGCGAGGGAAGAGGGAGCCATCCAGGCGATTGCCCTGGAGGCGAGAGACCAAGAAACGGTGCGGTTGGGTTTTCCGCTGAGCTTCCCAAGCGAAACTGGTTAGCTGGTGAGCCCGGCTCTTGCGGGTTCACTAAAGCGAAGGCGCTCGCGTTGTACCCGGAGCTTAGTCCTTGCGGTGGTAAGACGGACGGGGGTAGCGAACGCAGATCGGATAGGGACATCGCCGGGCGACCGGAATCGTTCATCGTGTTGAAATGATTCAAATGCATCGCATCGATGGTCGTTCCTAGCGAAGGTTGCGAATGCGACGGTGCCGTCTGAGACTCGTGCAGGCCGGATATACCTGCAGTGTTTGCATGCTGCATATGCGATGGCTGTGAGCTCAGATGGTGGCTCTCAAAAGCCGAGTCGTATGTGCCGTTCACGTCTTGTCCTGGCCGGCTGTCTTCAGACGTTCGCTCGCCCATCAGCGACGCGTTGGCCTGCCCGGAATGACCATTCGACCCTTGGGTAGCCGCCGCAGCTGCCGCCGCCAGATCCTTCTTCGACGCTTTTCCACGCTTTTTGCGTTCTCGCGCATACTCGCAGGTCAGTCCGAATTCTGCAGAACAGGTCAGTCAAGCGTCCGCCTATGCATCGCCAGCATCGGAGAAAGAGCGGAAGCCTACCAATGCAATGAGCGCACGGATGCTGCCCGTCGCATTTCGTTCGGAGTTGGTTACACTGGTCACACGCACGGCTGATTCGGCGGCGAACCGGAGCTGAAGACGAGGTTTTGCGGATGGCAGAGCGAGCCTCCACGAGGGGATCTCTTTGCAGAGCGTCCCTAAAACCCGAGCCAGTGCTCTGGTTCTTCTCATTATCAAAGGGTGGTTGATCCTTCGTATGCGACATGGAATTTCGCAAGGAAGTGGAGGTCGCGCCATCGCCGGCACCGCTTCCCGCAGCGTCTCGCGACAGCTGCAATTGTTCCAGGACGTACTGCGAGCCCTCGGCGAGCGTATCCAACCCGACAGTCTGAGACGGCGCCATGCCAGTCGAGTGCGATCCGGAAGAGAAAGGAGAGAAAGGACTGGTGAATTGAGGAATCGAGGGGGTTGACATCCTCACCGGGCGGAACAATCACCCCAGTGGGTCATGAAGACCCCGGTCGTTGGGGGGGGGAAAGGTGAGGTATTCAGACCGCTGGCGAATGGAAGGGCCGTAAGGCCCCAAGCGTGAAAGGGCACTACGCTAGCGGGAAAGGAGATTAAGGCGACACTGGCGCAACAGATCCTAGACGAGGGCCAGGCGATTCAAGACCAGGAGGGCAGGAGGAAAAAGATGATGAAGCAGAGGAGCGGTCGCAAGGAAACCACGGAACGATCAACTCCACGGCATTGCCGATTCAGTCTGCGGGGCAACTAAAACAGGGACTAAAAAACAGGGACCTAGAAGGCAGCAGAAGAGGAGAATGTCAGCCGGAGAAGCGACAAGGCCGACCATGAACTAAGGAGACTAGCAGCAACTAACCAGTTGGGGGGAAGTGGCTTTTTAGTGTCGGAGGGCAGGTCCGGGGAAGGTGAAGAACCCACGAGAAAGAGTGACTGGACTGACTAGCTTTCTTTTCTCTCTCACACTCACACCACAGACACCACGGTCGGGTCAGACCATCAGACAGTGAGAACAAGGATTGTAGTTGGTAGCAGACCCTCACGCATGCTGTTGGAGAGAAGCTGACGAGGGAGGAGGGGGAGGGGAAAAAAAGACACAGCCTGGCGAGGCAAAGAAAAAAGAAGGATTGGGGATGCAGAATTGCAGGGGAAAAAGGCGGGGAAGCCAGACGGAGACCAACCAAGCCCGGGGCTCTCTCCGGATCGTCAGGTCAATGCCATCGTGGCCCATCATGCAATCCCACTCAGGGTGACCAGACACGGTGGACTATTTTCCTGCATGGTTTCATGGGCCATGCTGTCCTTGCGCCAATGACAAGGCGGATCGGATAGATGGGGAGGAGGGGGAAGAGCGAGAAGCAAACAGCAGGCAAGCCAGAGCAAGCAGACAGGCAATCGTTGGCTCTCCGCACTCACCAAACTACTAAAACTCTCCTCCAGACTCTCGGCCCATGCAGGGTTGGCTCCCCAAAAGGCAAATTAATTCTACGGCCTGCAGGTCAGCTTATCTCCGACTCTCACGCGGCCTGTGCCCAATGGGAGGTTTTACGCTGCTCACAAGGTCACATTATTTATTCACTTCAATGCATTTCACTTCATATATACAATGTGGTTAAAGAAACGTTCCATCCCGAATATATACACCAGTCCCCTTTTATGCCAACACAATGATATCACACACAACTTGAAACAAAGACTGTACACGTTCATTCATGCATTTCCAAACCCATGCAGTATAGCCATGCTAGAAAACAACCAGAACCAGTATTAAAAAAGAGGGGATCCCAGCCGGGTCGATTTTGCCACCCAAAACTGAGACCACCAGAAGATCAATAAATGTACAAGAGGCGATGACATCCGGAGAAGGATCAGGACAGGACACGGTCCTACCGAGATCAAGCTCCATGCCAAAGCGCCATAAGCAGAGACAGCCGTGGCCCGCGCGAACTGACCCCGGCCTAGGCAAATGCGCCCGAGCGTTCCAGGGCGTTCCCGCCTTAACAGAAGAAGTACTTGCTGTCGCGGATCCGCGTCACGTCCCAAGTACCTTTGGTCGGGACGGCACGGAACCGCAACGGGAGCCAAATATGCACATACGATTTTTTGGCCTGCTTGCGCTTGCTCGGTGCCGACTCTTCCGTAGGCATCTCCTCGTGGGGATCCGCCTTCGCCCCGAGGACATTGTCGAAGCCCTGGAAGAGGGTCTCGATGGCCGGATCCGTAGGGTCAGCCTCCATCCCGGAGATCTTGCGCTCCGCAGCCGCCAGGTCTTCCGGCACGTGGCCGACCGCGGTCTCTCCCAGAGAACTGGCGATCGCCAGATCCTCGTCGCTTCCAAATTGCTCGAAAATGCTAGCCGGGGTCACCATGGCACGTCCCTGAGCCTGCAGCTCTGGGTCCTCTGCCTGCAAGAGCTTCTGTCGCTTGTGCTCCTCGAGCAGCTCCTGCACCTTGGTGGCCTTCTGAGAAGCCTTCGATCCCTTCCGCAGGGCCTTGATTTTCTGTCCCAGGGCACTGCTGGCGTCCACCTTGGCGAGGAAGAGATTCTTGCTGTACCGGACTTCGAACTCCGCGGCCAACCGCTTCACCACGTCGTCCGAGTGCATGCGCACGAACGCCTCACGAAGGAGCTGATTCATCGAATCGATGTCACAGGCGTGTGTCCAGAATGAATCGTGGACGGCGGAGAACTGAAGCCCGGCGCGGTGGCATGCGATCGCAGACAGCATCATGTGGGTGGCATCGAGGGAGTGGATAAAGTTAGGAGGGAAGGCTTGCAGCTGCTTACGCTTAGAGACCACATCACCCGAGCTGCCATCAACAATGCTCAGATCCTGGAGTGTAGTGTAGATACGGCGCGCCTTGCGAACCCGGTAGGGCTGGACGACAGGCAAGCCAAGAGGAGTGGTCCAAATCACCGTAGACCGGAACTTCTTCGTCGGGTCCTCCATCTGCTTCGCATCCTCGGGGTTCATAGCCTCCTTGGCAATTTGCTCGATCTGTTCCGGAGCCAGCGACTGGGTGATACGACTGGCGCAGTCACCCAGCCAGTACTGGATATCGTGGGCACCGTTGAACATGGTGCCCAAAGCCTCGAAGACTTTCCGTGCGATGTAGATGGCTCCCTGATGTTTCTGGTCCTGGGTGAGTTCGGGATAGTGATCGATAAGCTGCTTGCGGACCTGCTTCATGGCTCCCATGAAGGTCACACCGTACACGTTCGTCATGACGGTCTGCTTCACCACCTTTCTAGTGATTTTGCCGTCCAAGTATTTGGCTACGCTGTGGCCCTGCGCGGCTTCCCGAGCAACTGCTTCCTTGACGAACTCGGCGACACCAGTATACACATCCGACGGGCGGTCGGACGGCTCGAGGTTGACTTGCTGAGCACCGATCTTATCACCACCCAGTGCAGCATAGTGCTGCAATCCGTTACACGAGCCATCCTGATGGACGGGAAGGCGTGATGCAAATTGAGTGGGATCCGGGTGCTGGAGCGCGTTCCTCAACTCACAGCAGGCAGCCAAGCATTGCCACGGATCATCGGCTTTCAGCCACCAACGCCTGCCATGAAGACCGTTGTTGGCAGAGTCAAGCACATCGTCCAGATGATCCATGGTGAACTTCTCACGTTCAGAGAGACTAGCCTTGTCGAATCCAGACAGGTTAGCAATCTGGACTTTCAGCCACCTCAGTCCACTCTCTCCGAGCGGCTTGGCTTGGCTGAACAAGAGCAGACCTCTCGCATTGTCTGCACCCATCTGGTTGAGATAAGGCGGAAGGGGATAGGCACGTCCACGGAAATCCAAGTTGTGCGGTAGATAGAATGTCTCGTTGCGGTACGCCCGAGCCACCTCCATTTGGAAGTTCTGGAAACAACGCTGGGAGTGGAAACCGGCTCTGCGATTTTCAATCTCCCGCATGTCATTGTCCCATTTCTTCTCAGCTTCGTAGCCCTCCTCTGGGGATGGTTTAGGAGGATGAGGCAATTCGGGCTCCAAGGGGGCGAGATCGGCGACAGGTTCTCCGGAGTTCCAAGCCTCGAGCATGACCTTGAAAACGTCTTCGTTGATAACCCACCCGGTGTTACCGAGAATATCCAGTCCCTGGCGGATTTGCTCAAGCCCATTGTTCTCCAAGGCTGCCTTGACGTAAGCGGGTTGCAATGTTTCACCAGGAGTCGTACGAATCAGGTTGCTCTTGTAAACGTGATATCCACCATCTGATACACCCTTCCACGGTCTAGGCTTGCTCAACATGGGCAAATGGCGACCCAAGAGATCAGAAGTGGGCTCTTTGGTGACTATCTTGACAATTTCAGGGTGCAAATGGATGAAACCAGCACGTCTACCCCAGTTGATTTGGTAGGCATGCTGGAATGCAGGCTGCATGGAAATCTCGGGCTTCTTCGTTTCCGGGTTGTCGATTTTCACAGGAGCCTTGGCGACTTCGAAAAGGAAACTCATCAAGGCAGCACCAACCTTGGCCTTCACACGAGCTGACCAAGCAACGGCAGGGTCATCCTGCTCCAGGTTTCTGACAATTGTGTGCCATTTTGCCCGACCGTCTTTTTGTTTGCGAAGCGAGAGGGTTTGCTTAACGGCTCTCAGCCGTGCGGCATCCGCTGCGGATTCTTTCTTGAGAGTGAGTTCAGCGAGAAATTCGTCGTGGAGTTCAGAGCCAATCCCAGTAGCGATTGAAGCGAGCTTCAGGCCCGAGTCCATACCGCCCCGTCCAAAAGATGACAGCACGCTAAGGATGGTGAGTGCGGCCAACTTGTCCGAATCAACGCAACGCAAGAAGACACCGTATTCGCAACGCTCAGTATCCTCCAACGTCCGAGGGGGCTTGGCCTCGGATTGTTCCACAAGCTTGAGCTCCGCCTCGATTCTGGAAACTAGATCGGTGTGCCATTGGTTGATGATACTGCCCAAACGCTTCTCGCTTCCAGTAGTGTTAAGGCCGGCCTTCTGTCGGTCGATAGTCTCTTGTCTCCAGCGGTTAAGGGCGGCCTGGATAGAATTGGCTTCAAGCTGTTTTTGTCTGGATAGGTTGTACATTTCTCGGGACTCCGCCTCTGCGTATTCACCTTCTGCGGGGGCGGCTACTTTCGAAGCGCCGTTGAAAAGCGAAAGCGACTCCTTCAAGGAAGAGAGACCGAGACCCTTCTGTTCGACAGCCTTGACCTCGGGCAAATCGGATGAATCCGCAAGGGGATCTTCGGTAACAGCGTTGTTATCCAAGCTACCCATTGAAACGCGCTGAATATCGGAGGAACAAATCTATTCGACGCTGTGATCAGTAAATGCGATCAAATGTAGATAGTAGAATGCATTGAAACTCACCTCTGATAGCTCGCCAACTTCCAGTTCAGAGAGAACAGGAGCAGCCAGAACTTCTTCCTCAAGAGACGCATTCTTCGCAAATTCCCAGTATCTGCGGACTGCTCTATCGCGCTTAGTGCCGTGGAACATACGCAGGGCCATCCGAATCATAACTGCATAGGTCGTCGCGTCGGGAACCACACCAGAGGCGGGCAGGTCAACCTCGAAGAATTTTTGCATGGGCAAAACAAGGTTGTGCTGCCTTGTCAAGATCATCTGCGAGACCATTCCCTCGAGATAGCGATTGTGAAGGGCCAGGTACTTAGGAGAAGCAGGCGGGTAGCATCCTCTAAGCCGGGAAAGAAGAATAGCAGCACGGTCGTAGCGGTGGAGTCTCAAGGAGAGGTCGAAGTTTGCCAGCATTTCTTCTTCATCACCGCCAAGACCCTTCACTCTCCGCAACACCTTGGGTTTTGTTTGTAGGGCATCATCCACGATGACCAGAGACGAGGGATCGAATTCATGGGCGAGAGGAGAGAAGAACGAGGACAAATGGTGATCGAAGTACTGCTCGGGGTTATACGCTGGGGTTTCGAAAGATCCATACGACCCTTGGTCAATGGCGGACTGGTCGGCGGCAGTGGCGAGGCTTCGACTCGACTGGAAAGACGGCCGGCGAGGACGTTCCTGGGGAGTGTTCGCAATTGTGTTTGTAAGAGCGGAGGGTCGACTCGACTGAGAATGAAGTCTCAGTGTTGCAGGCGAAGGCAACACCGAGCGCCCCTTTGCAAGGCGCAGACGAGCGAAGGCATTTTTCTGAAGAGCAACACGGGACAACATGATACACGAACACCGCTAGACGCGATGCTGGACAATTAGAGGTATATCGCTGATTATTTGCAATTATAAAGAAGGGAGATGATTAGATGCAGAACAAAACAGGGCGTCTAAAAACTATAGAAGAGAAGGGAATCGGAAATAGATGCAGGATGGATGCAAATGACCCAGAATAAAAAGCTGTCAGATGGTGCACATCTATCCAATCTGACAAGCCGTCCTGCAGCCCTTCAACGACCGAGGAAGGGAACAAAAGAGAGAAAGGAAAGGGAGGATGGGGGAGAATGGGGAGGAGAGAAAAGAGAAAAAGGCGTGAAGGCGAGAACTGCGAAACGGGATCTCCAGTCGAGACGGAGACTTCGGCGGACGGAAGTAAAAATTGGTCCACCGCCCGATTGAGCGATAAGGCACGTGAGCGGCACGTGATGTTCTGGAAGATCGCCGGTGTTTTCCCACGCGCTCATTGGCTGGAGGCTCTCCGTATGTTTTCTTCCATTGATTTCGTCCAGCAGCGATGATCTCGATGGCAAATGGAACAGGCCCATCGAAGCAATGCGTAGAACATTGAGCTGTTCAGGAGCTGTATGCTTCGCTATATTTTCGCTCCGCCTGAGAAATATGGTTGTCCGACTCCCCTAAAGTCTATTCTCCACCACGCAAACTTAGCCGTGAGGTACTACAGCCTACTGCCTTTCTACTATGTATACGCCCTTTTGCTTCCAAGCTTATGTGCAAGTCATTCAGCATTCGTCATATTGCATATCGTATAACCCCAGCCAATGCAGCTAAATCACCCTTGCTCCGTTGTCCCCTGAGCAGATTGCTGTTCCTCCCGCTGCTTCATCCGGTTCTGTTTCATAGCCCAACCCGTCATCTCCGGTCGTGCAGGATCAATCCGCGGCGCACTCATCGTATCCAGATAACTTTCACTATCAATCGCCGACTGCAGCTGCGGCAGACTATCCACATCCTGATGCATCATGTAGTTTTCGTACAATTGCCACGATTCCTCAGTCTGCGAAACAAAACACATACACATTAGCAAAACATTCCCTTGAGCCTAAGGAATCCAACAGCATAACACTCACCTCAGCATCAACCCACTCATAATCCTTCCACTTCTCATCCTGCATCTTCTTCAAAAGATCCAGATTGCCCGCAACCTGCGCCGCCTCTCCATCCTCCGCGGCCTTGATCTTTACATCAATAGCCCTAGCCTCGCTCTCGCCGGGACGATCCTCCTCGCCTTCCTTCCTCGCCTTCCCCTTGCCCTTAGTCGGCATCTCATCCAAAGCATCCAAATGATGAAGTTGCGGGTGTAGCTGTACAACAGCCGAAACAGGCGAAAGATGCAATTTGTCTGTTCCCACCAAAATCACACACATTAGCCCTTTTCCCCCGACTCCAACAACCAACAAAGAGAAGGGAAGGGAAAAACTCACCCCCCCTAAAAGCCGCCAACATGTAAACCGGATCCCCATCCTCGGGACTCTTAATCCGCCCTCCCAGAGTTTGCACCCTCATCAACGACGCCGTCTCACTCTTCGCATCCGCCGCTTCCTCCATCTTCACCTTCGCCGGCGCTCCACCGCCAGCACCACCGGAACTAAACCCACCTGCCATACCGAACGCGCCGCCTTCGCGCGCACTCCGACTCTTCTTCAATGCATCACCGTAGCGCAATCCCTTGCTGACATCGTAATTCACCCGCGTGTTGATGGGGACGTCGACTTCCACAAGACCCGTCTTGGGTTTCAGGCGGAAGGAGGTGGGTTTTTGGCCGTGGCGGTCGTCGTAGGAGGAGCCGGCAGGTCGGTCGAGGTATTGCAGGACGTAGCGGGAGATTTCTGAGTCGGTGAGGCAGATGTCGTAGGAGGCGATGACGGGGTCGTCGGAGGGGTCCATGGTGGGTAGATTGGGGTGGGGGTTTGATTATAAGGATGTGTTCATGGGTTGAGGGATCGTGGGAGAATGATTAGAAAATTTGGGGTATAATGAATGGGAGTAGACGCAGCAATGGCTGTGTGCTTTGCGGGGTGTCGGCTTTTTTGCAACTTTTTCTTTGCTTTATCGGAGGCGGAGGAGGTTTGATAAGCTGCCCGCTTGCAGAATCGATGGGTTTACACCGCCTTCTTGTTTGGAAGGTAGATCTATAAGTTGGAACAATGAGTAGATGGTTTTGATCTAACATGGATTATTGATTTATGTGACGCTATGTGCGCCAAATAGTGGCTGTTTACCAAGTAGAAAATCGGAAAAGTGTACATTTTACAATCACAGCTATGAATGCAGATGCGACAATAATTTGGTCATCAACAGTATGTACAGAACAGCTGTATCGTCGTAAAACTCATGAAACTTCTTGATGTATAACAGTAACACATGAATGCCGACTATCCAAAGGCATTTATTTTGGGATATCTCCAACGTCTACTCCTCCTCGTCGTCGTCTTCAGCAACCTATAGCAGTTTGTTAGTGGTGCGTCAAAGGGGACAAATAGCAGAAAGGGTCAACATACTCCTTCGTGGAAGTTCTGTCCGTCGGTGGTCGCCTTGATGACACCCGCACGGATACACCAATCTCCGAATCTCTCAGGGGTCTCGCCATCAGTGTTACGCTCCTGGGAGTACCGCTTGAGGAGACCCTTCATAATCTCGAGGATCTCATCTTCCTTGATCGAAGAGCGGTAAAGCTTGTTCAAACGCTGGCCGTGGTAGCCACCACCGAGGTACATGTTGTACGCACCGTAGGCCTTACCAACGAAAGCAACCTCAGCAAGCCAAGGTCTGGCACAGCCGTTGGGGCAACCAGTCATACGCATGACGATGCTGTCGCTAGCCAAGCCTACCTCCTCAAGAGTAGACTCCAGCTTGGAGATCAGGACCGGCAGGTAACGCTCGGACTCAGCCATGGCAAGACCACAGGTGGGGAAGGCAACACAAGCAGATGAAGAGAGACGCAGACCGCTGAAAGAGGTGTTGTCAAGCTTGTACTGAGCCATCAGCTCCTTGATGGCGGGAAGGTCTGCATCCTCGATGTTGGACAGGATCAAGTGCTGGTTACCGGTAAGACGGAACTCGCCCTTGTCGAGCTTGGCAAGCTCACGCAGACCAGTGCGCATCTTGAAGTCAGCGGTATCCTCAATACGTCCGTTCTCGATGAAGAACGTGAAGTGGTTGAGACCCTTCTCGTCCTTCAGCCAGCCAAAAGTATCGACGTTCGAAACGAACTTGAAGGGACGGGGCTCGGCAAAGCGCAGGCCTTCGGGAAGAAGAGCCTCGACCTTCTCCTTGTAGGCAGCCACGCCCATGTCATCGATGGTGTACTTTAGACGAGCGTGCTTGCGGTTCTTACGGTCACCATGGTCGCGCTGAACCAGCATGATCTTCTCACAGACAATGTGGGCCTGGTCAGCAGGGACGTAACCGAACATGCGTCCCGTCTGAGGATAGGTCTTCTTGTTGTTGTGAGTCGCACCCATACCACCACCAGCAGTGATGTTGAAACCTTCCAAGTGTCCATCGGCGCCCTTGATAGCAATCAGACCAATATCATGTGCGTAGACATCGGTATCGTTGTGGGGAGGAATGGCAATGGTGATCTTGAATTTACGGGGAAGGTAAGTGGGACCGTAAAGCGGCTCATGGTCAACAACAGCGTCGCCCGCAACCTGGACCTTCTTGTCGTCCTCATCCTTCAACCAGATCTCATGGTAGGCAGTAGTCGCAGGAAGCAAGTGATCACTGATCTTCTGGGCGACGGCGTGCGTCTCGCGGTGGAAGTAAGAAAGCTCAGGGAGGGAACTGCACATGACGTTACGGTTGACATCACCGCAAGCAGCGATGGTGGTCATGAGCGACTTGTTGATAGCGCGCATGGCGCCGCGGAGCTTGCGCTTGATAACACCGTGGAACTGGAAGGTCTGTCTGGTAGTCAACTTCATGGTCTCGTTACCATGAGAGCTACTGATAGCATCCATCTGAAGCCACTGGAGGGGAGTGGCTACACCACCGGGCAGTCGACAACGGATCATGAAGCTGTAAGCAGGCTCAAGACCCTGGGCCTTGCGCTCGTCACGGACATCACGGTCATCCTGCATGTAAGTACCGTGGAACTTGGTGAGCTGCTGGTCACTGGCGGAGATAGCACCAGTGGTTTCATCCAGCAGTCCCTCGGCGATCGTACCACGCAGGTAGTTGGACTGGATCTTGATATCCTCGTTGGTCAACGGCGCAGGCTCCTCCGGCAGACCCTCGACCTTGTCCACACCCAGAGCCTGCCAGAGACGAGGCTCCCACTCGGAGTAGCCGGTCTGGAAGGCATCGGGATCTTGGTCATCACCAAGACCAATGTCGGTCAGCTTGCGTCCACCAAGGAAGGCGATACGAGCATCAAGGTCCTTGGCGGGCTTGTTGTAGTAGATTCTGTCTTCCTTGCGCGGCCAGTAGTGGCTGTCACCAAGACCGAAAACGGAGTAGTTGATGGAAGACAGATCCAAATCACCGGTGTTCTTCACGAACTCCCACAGGCCACGGCCATTCTGGGGGAATTCACCCTGACCGGCGGTACTGGAGATGAAGACCACGTTTTCTTCGGTGGCGAGGTCATCAAGAGGATAGTCATCCATGGCCATGACCATGGTCTTCAGACCTCTGGCACGACCACGGTTGCCGAGTCGTTTCGCCAGAGTCGCGGCGTTGCCGTTGTCAGAGGCGAAGAGAATGGTCAGAGGAGCACCAAAGAGACCCTCAAGGAGCTTCTCATAAGAGTCCTTGGCCTGGCGCTTCTGAAGAGAGCGGACCTCAGTTCCGTAGGACTCAGAAAGCACAGCTGAGTACTTTGGGTGACGGTTCATGAGCTGGGTAAGCTGGTTGTCCCTCCGAAGGAACTCTTCAAGTTCGCGCCTGATCCGGTCCGAATCCAGAGAGAACTTAGGTTCGTCGTTCTCATCGTTGCCGGGGTTCCAGCGGTACAGCGGCCAGTAACCAAGGTCAACAGCCTTCTTGGTCTCCTGAAGCACGGTCAAAGCAGAGTCGTTCTCCTGGTTGTAGGGAAGGTAGGCAACAACGACGGAGGGACCCTTGAACTTCTCGGCCTCAGCCATAGCCTGGAGAACCTGAGTGTACGAGCCATAGACGGCGACGGAGGCAACATAGGCGTTGCCAAAGTTCATGGCATACAGACCAATGTCCTTCTTTCTGCGAGTGGGGTCCGCGGCGGCGCGCTCGGAGTAAGGCTGCGAATCAATGACGAGCATGTTGACGTTGGCTCCAGAGGCAAGAACGTGGTGAACACCGGAGTTGCCGAGATCATAAGCCCAGGCGTCAGAGCCAATGAGCCACAAAGACTCATCGTAGAACAGCTTCTTGGACTGCAAGAGCTGTCTGGCAAGCTGAGAACCGTCGTTGGAGAGGCGGGCAATGACATCGGGTGCCAGCTTGTTGGCCTTGGAGGCATCGGCAGCACTGAGGGCCCAGTTGGAGAGCCATGTCCTGGGGACATCAGTGGCGAAGCTGGTGGACTTGGATGCCTCCTCGACTTCGCGGATAAAGCGCTGGCGGTGCTCCAGCCTAGCGATCAGCGCACCGAATCCGTATTCAGGGCTGGCAGCAATGGTGGAGGAGATTCCGGCATGCTTCGAGCCCAGCTGGTTGGCGATGTGCAGGCGTTCACCGAAGAGCTGGTTGAGAATCTTGAGGTAGGCGTTCTCAACATGGGGCTGCTCGAGAGAAGTCTCAATGGACGGGACCTTCGAGGTTCCGATCTCGAGGTTCTGAATAGGGGACGGAGAGCTCAGGTTCTGCACAATGCCACGAAGAGCCTGAACGGCAGTGGAGGGCTCAACATATCCCAATCTGTATCCCACAATCTTGGGGGTGGCCTGACCAGCAGCCGGGGACAGACTGGAAAGAAGATCCATGAACGCCGGTCCCCACTTCGTAGTCTTGCGGACCTGCTCCAGCACGGCGATCTTCTCAATCGAGCTCGGGATAGATTCGACAATCTGGCCGCCAACCCAGGGACGGTACAACCGCGCAGTGATCAAGCCAACATTTCCAAGCTCACCGGAAGCCTCCTCCTTGCCCAGAACGTCCACAAACACGCCAGTTGAGCCGAAAACGAAGATGGCCGACTTGGCATCGGAGGGACCAGTATACTCGATCGCGCGGTAGTTGCGTCCGGTGGTCTCCGACAACACATTCCATATTTGAGAAGTCCATTCAAAAATGTCTGTAGCACTGACGGGCCGAGTGGCCGAGGCATCGATGGTAGTAGCAGCGGAGCTAGTCGCACGGCTATCGACGCTGCTGTCCCTCTGAGAAGAGCCAACAGACGAGGTGTCAACACTGACATTGGAAGGGGTCTGAGTAGCCTGGGCAGGGGTGGAAGAACCCTCGGCCTGACCGGTGGCACTGTCCACATCCTCAGTCACTGTAGCGACCCGTCCAGAGTCAGTGTACAGCGTCTGGGCACCCAGGCCAGACGTATGTGTCACAGAGCTTCCGCCCAAGTTGAGAACAGAGCGAAGAACCTCGGTATCTTCCTCGGCAATGGCATCATCGCGAGCGGAATTGGCAGGGTCGAAGAAGTGGATGACACCTTTGCCGGACTTGCGGGACAACGCATGAGCGGTGATAGCGATATCCTGGGCCTCCTGGAGCGTCTCGGAATGCAAGAAAGTGAACCCGCATTGCCTGATAGAGCTGATCACGGAGTAGTCTGGGAAGGGGTAGGGCTCCAGAGCGACATGGATGACGACAGGGGTGTTCGCCAAACGGTAGAGGTGAGGGATGGAAGAGAGCAGAGTGGAAGAGGTGGTCACAACAGACACGGTGTTTCCTGTTTGCAGAGGGTGAAAAGCGGAGAGGAGGGGATCTTCGTTATAGCGAACAGCCACCACCTGTGCAGGAGTTAGATTTGCCCTCATACAGTCCAGTTATGCGAGGCTCAGTGTGACTCACGTCAGTGACACCGCGTGGCAGAATGCTACGAGCATTGCTGGCCTTCAGGGTCTTGAGAGTCTTGGAGAACCAAGAATCGGCCTGCAATGACGGTTGAACGGAGAGAACGACATCGCTGGCCAAGTAAGCGACTCTCGCCACTGGAAGCATGAGAAGGATGGTTAGCACTCAAGAACCGGACAATTAATGATTCCTTTTGAATGATAGAGATCTAATCACACAAAGCGAGGAACCAGAGGAACACCATACCTGCTTCACCCGCAGTCGAAACGGACGCCATATTGACAATTGCTGGCTGCGCAGCGAAAAGCGCAGGAAGTGGGATGGCAGAGAGAAATGGATATCACCGCATACGGTGACTCCCCACTCAATTCGGGTTCAATAGATGAGGATGATGGGGTAGGAGAAGGAGAGAAAGAAGGAGAGGAGAAGAGGAATGACTCCAGCTAAAGACAGGGGAAATTTTAGCTTCACACTCAGCCCGTCTTTCCCTAATTTTTCTACAAAACTCCGTGCAACGACGAGCAATGGTTCTGCTCCTCATAGACTTTTGGGGCCCTTCTCCGCCATCGGGGTTGGATTAGCCCGACGCTGATTGGATTGCGATCACGACATCGATGCAAACAGCCGCTGAACAGCCTTGCAAACACCCCCAATCAGGTCAAGTGCGGGGGCCTCGTGACTGGCTCTCGAGCACGTCACCCCATTGATGCCTCGTGCATCAGGCACTTATCGGCTTTTGCTCTGAATGCCGGCGGATTTCAAAGCACGAACTACTTACTAGTACAACTAGTACAACACAACATCAAAAATGATTCACAGACAAAAGATATGAAACGTTGTATTGCATTGTTCTTGTATGGATTAAGTAGTAGTATTGTTCTCCAGTCATACACATTGGTACCATCCTCTACCACTCCGAGAATTGATTCATGGCAGCCCGATTTTCCCCTGCTTACTACTATAGTTGTCGGATAACTATATATATTCATAGTTGAACCAACACATCGGTGCTATTGACTACTACTACCAAGACAGTACTATTCCTCTTCAACGTACTCCGGATGTACTAATAGTAGGATTGTGTATCATGCATGCCTCACATCGGGATTTCTCACGGGTTTTGCTGGGATTCGCTCCAGACTGACTGTCCCAATCACATTAAATGCACCTGACATCATCTTTTCTCGGGCGAGACAGCATCGGAGATAACTCGGATCAAGCATTAAATTACCTAGATAACTATACAGCACAACACCATCCGATCTTATGGAAACCAAGCCACTATTCATTGCCAGTGGAATCTGACGAATCAAATTTGGCGAGGGGTATCTATGTTCTGCACATAAAGTATATGATGCTGTTCTCGGGTGCCCAAGTATAATGGGGGAGGAAGTATATGCAAATCCCTAGCATGATGCAACAAAAATGTACCCCGAAAACAAGAAAACGCCTCGAATGAACCATCCCTATGTCGATACAAATATACAGGTCCCAGACGCCAAGTCCATGTCGGCCATGACGACAAACCTCCTCCAAAGCCAATATATGTTCATCCGTCCAGCCTTGGTGCCTCCTGGTAGCCGGCGCCTTTCGCGCGCGTGCCAATCTCTGATGGATGCTTTCGATATCGCATCACCGCGGCACAAGCCAAAGCTGAAGGAGCGCGGTACCGTTCCACCTTGTTCCCCTATGTCCTCCATTGTCCCGATTCATAAACAGTGTATGTAGATCATTTCGGCATATATAATAACAGGATTGAAAGGAAAACCACGCAACGTGGGTGGGCACAGAGGGAGGAGGCTACGGAATTTTGAGCCTCTCCACAGTTAGAGTGTGACATTCTCAGCAAGAACAGAGCTCTCACTCTGTCCTCCTGTGAAGTACGGCAGACGGTCACAGATCCTGTCCGCCGAAATGCACCCTTGAGTCCCTGAGTAGTTTCATGAAAGTATTACCGGGTCATAGACCGAGGATCCTCAGAATGATAATCCACTGGAAAGACGATCGCAAAATTACCTGCTTTCGGTCCAGCCGTGCATCTTCACGTTCATTCCCGGGACCTGTTCATGGATCGGTTGTTGCAAGGCTACAGCCTGAAAGGCGGACTGGGAGGGCTGGGGAGGTCCGGTTCCAGAGCGACGTCTCCTCTCCCGCTCGAGGGGGCCGGGGAGTTCGTTGTCTTCAGCACGAGCCCGGAAACGGCGGCCAAGGGTGGCCATCCAGTTTCCGCCTTCCTCATCCTCGCCGAGCCAGTAGTTGCGACCGATGCTGATCATGATGCGCCCAAGCTTTCCCTGCCAACCTTGGCCATCGGGACTATACGGGGAGAAGGGCTCCCGGTCGATGTCCGCAACACTGGCGACGCTCGCGATGGAGGTATTACGGCTGTGAGTGGGGAGTTGGGTGTGGCGAGGCACGGCGACGTAGAGGCGGAGTGCCTGACGAGCAAAAGCGAGCATAACGAAGACGAAGTAAGCACGAATGACCCAGAGACAGCAAATGACCAGGATGCTTTGGAAGCTTTCAGGTTGTGCCACAGCGTTCCCGAGCGCATCCGGCCTCCTTGCGTAGGGACCGCTCTCTGTTTTGGTGGTGTCATACTTGGGGCTGGTGAAGCCAGCGGTCTGGGCGATGGTCTCACCACCCGGTCCCGAGGCGTTGCCGTTGTCGTAATGCTGAGACACAACCAGGAACCAGGTCACACCGAAAGCTGCAGTATAGGCGGCATTTATTAGGCTGTCGAAGACATAGAGCCAAGCGAGCGCGAGGCATTGTAGCGGCGTTTGTTTCCGGATGTGCGGGAAGAGCAGAGTTGCGAGACCGAGCGCGAGGAGGGAGTAAATGTACATGGACAGCTGCACCGGAGAGAGGTGGTAACCGGTCAACAGGGCGAGCAAGCCATAAAGTCCGCTGATTTTATTGAGGAGTAAGGAGAGAGTGATCAAGGAAGCTCCTGTCTGGAGACTCATAACATAGAGGAAAGTCTGTGTGAGGTCACCGGAAAGCCGGGATGCGATGGTTAGCCTCATTTCAGCGCGCGACCGGGCAACGGGGGTCCAAACAGGGTCTGGTTCCCATCCTAATTTTTTCAATTAAACAACGGGGGTTTTGTAATTTTGGAACATACCTCTGGCCGCGGGATGCGGAGGAGACGGGATAAACCCATGATTGATATCGCCGAGGAGGGATATCAAAGCTGAGGGAATGTTATGTAGAGGGGGGGTTGATTGTTGAGTATTGGGTGGGTGGGTGGTGGTGGTGGAAGGAAGGGAGCGACAGAAAGAGGAAAAGGAATGGAAGGACTGGCGGGAGAGCGAGATTGAAAGAAGAGGACGCAGCCGGGCGTGTTTAAGTGACGCTGGCGCCCAATTGCGGGTTTCACAGGGGCACGATTTTCCGGGCGATCCGCCCGCCGATCGATGCCCTTTTCTTGCGGTGCTGCTTGCAACAGACCCTGTGGTCACCGCCAATGCGCTGCCCCATGACGTTGTTCGCTGTAGCCAACAGCACAAGAACTTAAAGCGACATACTAGTTACCCCTGTTATTCTGACTACTATTACTATCTTGCTACTGTCAACAGAGTATCGTATACAGGGATTGAACAATCCATTTGTTCGATGGGGGCCTTGATTTCTCACCCACCTGCTTTCGCCCCCCGTTTGGATGGATCCCCTGCCGACTAGGAGGTACTAGACTGCCCATGTCGTACGTACATTCGCTACTTGAACTGTGCTTGCCAAGACATCATAATACGAGTACGACCAATGCTACTGCCTGATGGCCTGCTTACTATTGAACCCACCCTTCTGCATGGAATTTTCTCTCAGGGGCTGATCTTGAAAGGTCTTCCACATCTATGTTGTTGAATTTTTCTCCGACAAGACTAGTCAGATCGCCGGGATGAGCGGTTAACAAGATAACCTAATCGTCATTCCCCGTTGATCATACGACGAGTACCGCAGCACTTGGTAGAGCACCACCGATCCCAACAAAAGCTTATGCCACCCATGCCTCGGCCCGTGCAACATGAACGCCATCTGGAGTAGTGGTATTTCTAACAAATCGCAACAGTAGCATCATCATTATCATCCATGATGCTCCCCGGAGCGAGCGACACAGAGAGGAAAACAGCACAAAAGTCGGGAAACCGCGGGGAAATGCAATATGATGTCAATGCACAAGCCGAACGCCTAGGTCTCCCGTCAAAAGTCGGATTTCATGGTAAGGTTTCAAGAAGAGCAAGAGAAGACGCAGTCGAAAGAAAAAGAAAAGCTCAAGCTTGATCTAAACACGCTATTCACCTGGAACATAAAAGGAAGAAAAAAAATGTACATCTTAAAAATGAAGAGCATTATGGACAATCTCAAGCCTCATCATTGAGATTCAGGCACAGATGGAGAGGGATCGCAAGTAGGGAGTATGGCCGGAATAAAACGAATTAGAGAGTACAATATCTAGCAGGCGCATCCGTCGTTGGTCGTGGTCTCTTTCGGAGTGATGTTGACATCGATCACTGTAAGAGTTGTCAGTACTCATCCCGTGTAATTTGAGCCATGGGCGGGGAAAGGATAACGGACTCTGGTTGTCTCCCCGGTTGGCTTCACCCTCCATGCCCGGTAGGGCTTGCGCAATTCTCCTGAAAAGCTGCTTCACGTTGTGGCCGACTTTAGCACTGGTCTCAATGAACATCAAGCCGTTCTTCTTCGCCTCCTCCTCGCCCTGCGCCGTCGTGACCTCGCGCTTGTCGTTCAGATCGGTCTTGTTGCCCACCAGAACGATGATGACATCGTTACCGCGTTCACCCCGTACATCGTCGATCCATTTGCGTGTGTTCTGGAAAGACTTGGCGTTGGAGATATCGTAGACCACCACAGCGACACTGGAGTCACGGATGTAGGAAGGAATCAAAGATCGGAAACGTTCTTGACCAGCTGTGTCCCAAAGTTGAAGGCGCACAGTTCTGTCTTCCAGGTACATAGTCTACGACGAGCGATGCGAATTAGCTTTTTGCAGCAGCGCGAGCGTATTGGGAACCATGAGACCGTGTGAGAATGGCTCGGTGAGGGCCTGCTAATGCAGGGCACAAGCAGTCGACTAGGCGTAGTATACCTTTGACAAGAAATCGATTCCAATGGTAGCTTGGTACGTGTTGTCGAATGAATCGTACATGAACCGTGTGATCAATGAGGTTTTTCCAACTGTAAGGCAGATGTCAGAGACCGGGTGGCGCCAATGATTGGAGTATCGTCGCAGAAGATATCCGTACCACTCTGCTCGCCCAAGAAAACCAGCCTGCAATTCGATTAGCCACACATTAAGGAGAAGCCGAAAGCTTTGTTGCAGGCGGGACATACTTGAATTTCTTCAGAGGGTTCGAATACGACCCTACCCCGGAGGTGGATGCCATGACTGCAGAAGTTCTGATAGTAGGAGTGGCGGCGGAATCAGGGGTAGCGGAGGCACGTCGCAAAGTCAACAAGTGTTAAGGCGGTGGGCAGCGGTCAAGTGTGGGAGGAGGGCACTAGGGATACAAGGACATATATGGGGGTGGAAGTATATCTGGGGGAGAGACGAGAGGTGCGAAAAGCGACCGTATATATCGGGAGCAGGGAGGTTCAGCAAGACGACGACTGGAGGAGAGCTCGACCCATGGATCGGTCCGGGGAACTTGGACAGTATTATGTACTGCGTATTTGTATTATGCTGGGATGATGGACTGACAAGCACACGCCCGCGGATTAATCGGCGGCCCGACCTCCACCTCCCGCTGTACTGGCGGCTTGTTCCAGCTACACGCTTCGGTCAAGAGCTCCCTACGGTCCTCGTCTAACTCCCTATCTTCTGCTCCTCTCCTCTTCGGGGCCCCCGTCGCTTGTTTTCTTGATATCCTTCAGCACTCAGGTAGTGCCGTAAGCCGGGGTTTCATCATGGGTCTCCTCTATCCTGCCGGTGTTGTAATCGTGGCCGCAGCGGTGGTCGGACTGTGTAAGGAAACCCCATCATTCTGGCGCAGTGGGCTTCATCAAGATACTAATTTGGCTTGTTTCCATGATTAGACTACCTCTTCCGCGGCGAAGGCGAACAGATTAACGTACGCCACAAATCCCTACGACTACGATGAGCAGTGAACACCCGCTAATTCGATCTAGATCGGCTACTTCCTCGAGTCGGTGTCTCCGTATGCCTGGGCGAACTTTGGAATTGCTATGTGCATTGGCTTATCGGTGGTTGGTGCCGCATGGTATGGCTTTACGAGTTCCGCTTGTGTCATTGGGAACGAAATACTGACTTTGTTCCCATCAGGGGTATCTTCTTGACCGGCTCCTCGATCGTTGGTGGAGGTGTCAAAGCACCCAGAATCCGTACCAAGAACTTGATTTCGATTATTTTCTGTGAAGTCGTGGCTATCTATGGTGTTATCATGGCTATCGTCTTCTCCTCCAAGCTCAACCTCGTCGAAGGCGATGAGGCCTTCTCTGGCAGCAACTACTACACCGGATATGCGCTGTTCTGGGGCGGTATCACTGTGGGCGCCTGCAACCTGATTTGCGGTATCTCCGTCGGTATTAACGGAAGTGGTGCGGCCCTGGCCGATGCTGCTGACCCTAGCTTGTTCGTCAAGCCCTGCTCTCGATCAACGGAGTCAACGCTAACAATATGCACGATAGGTTCGTCAAGATCCTTGTTATCGAAATCTTCAGCTCTGTTCTCGGTCTTTTCGGATTGATTGTTGGGCTTCTGGTCGGAGGAAAGGCACTTGACTTTGGAGCTGCCTGAAGAATGCTGCTGGTGGAGGTGTAGAGGGCCATGATGGGGATGATCTGTACGACCTATATCATTCTTGTCTTCACTTTTCTGTTATTTGTCCTATTTATAGGCCGCATTGGGCGCATGGATTCGATTTGACTGTAGACCGGTTGGCTATGCGTGAATTGCATTGATAGTCTTGCTTTTGTTGCTTTGCCTGATGGGGAAAGAAGAGGAGGAAAGGTGTACAGTAATTGTTAGGAGATATCATAGGAACTTTTACAAAACCAAGATAGATAGGCCAGGCTATGTATTCCCTTCTTGAAGTGAAACCTACTGTAGCAGTTTGTAGTACTAGAATGATATGCAGCATACTTAGTAGTAGGCGCTGCGGGTCTCCAATCCGGCCAGTCAAGCAGCCTCCGCTCTTATCAACATCTCCGTTCTCCCCACCCTTCCCGGTAGGAGACTCTCCAGCAACCCCTCACATCCCTACAATGGCAGACAACACCCTCAAAGCGGCGATTTTGATCGTCTCGGATACCGCTTCGCAAGATCCCTCTACGGATAGAGTGGGAGACACACTTACGACCGTCATCTCAGCCGAAGGGTCGAACAACTGGGGTCAGCCCGTTATCAAGATCGTCCCCGATAATGTGTTGGATATCCAACGCTCCATCTGTGACTGGACTGATGGACCAAACTGGGTTAACCTTGTGATTGTAAGCGGTGGTACTGGGTTTGCTACAAAGGATATCACGCCTGAGGTTGGTCTTCTACTTGTCCTTGAGCTTCGCGCTTCATTGCTAATGCTAGACAGGCCGTATCGCCTCTCATCCATCGCCATGCATCTGGCCTGGTGTGCGTCTACTTCAACTCTTCTATGTCGGCTTTGTGACCGGTACTAACTTACTGCGCCCAGACACGGCATGATTGCAGCTTCTCTCAAAGTCACCCCTTGTAAGGCCGTCAGCGATAAAATTGTGGTACTTGACTGCTAACAAACCTGCCCAGTTGCAATGATGTCTCGCCCTGTTGCAGGTGTGCGAGACAAGACATTGATTGTCACCGTACCTGGATCTCCCAAAGGTGCCAAGGAAAACGTTGAAGCTATCATCAAGCTCTTGCCGCATGCGTGCAGTCAGGCAGCCGGCGCAAACTCCAGAGCTCTGCACGCAGGCGGGGTCAAGAAGCTGGAAGCCGAGGCAGGAGTGTCCTCTACGCCGTCTTCCTCTGGAAGTAAGGCAGACCAACATCATCACCACCACCACCATCACCATCACGGTGGCCATGATCATAGTCATGGACATGCCGTTCCCCGCGCACATACTTCCCCGTCAGAACGACCCCAGTCAAATGACCCAAACGCCGGTCCAAACCGGCGATACCGCGAGTCCCCGTACCCGATGCTCTCTGTTGACGAAGCGCTCAAATTGATCAGCCAACACACGCCCGAACCGTCAGTCATTGAAGCTCCTGTGACAACAGCTCTCGTTGGATCCGTCATTGCTGAAGATGTCTACGCCAAGGAAGCCGTGCCCGCATACCGTGCCAGTATCGTTGACGGTTACGCTGTCATCGCGCCCGAGTCGCCCAATGCCGGGCCCAGCACCAAGGGAATATTCCCCGTTGCATCCATAACCCATGCCAATGAAGGAGGCGTTCTATCCCCACTCGAACCCGGCACCATCGCCCGAATCACCACCGGAGCACCGCTTCCACCGAACGCCAACGCCGTAGTAATGGTCGAAGACACCGTTCTCGCCTCATCGACCCCAGACGGCCAAGAAGAAGCTACAGTCGAGATCCTAACCGGCGACATCAAGCCCCAAGAGAACGTCCGCGAACCAGGCAGCGATGTAGCTCTGGGGTCATGCATCCTCCGAAAAGGCGATCTCATCACCTCGGTAGGCGGCGAGATCGGCCTTCTCGCCGCGACAGGAACCCAGACGGTGAAAGTCTACAGGAAACCCTGCATCGGAGTCCTCAGTACTGGCGACGAACTGGTCGAACACAATGACCCTCGCAAGCTCCAAGGCGGCCAAATTCGTGACTCGAATCGTCCTTCCCTCCTCTCCTGCCTTGCCTCTTGGGGTTTCCCTACCGTCGATCTCGGCATCGCCCGCGACACTCCAGTCGGAGCACTCGAGCAAAGCCTCCGCGACGCCCTCCGAGGCGTCGGAAAAGCCCAAACCAGCGTCGACGTAATCATCACGACCGGTGGTGTTTCCATGGGCGAACTCGACCTCCTCAAACCCACCATCGAGCGATCCCTTGGCGGAACGATCCATTTTGGCCGCGTCTCCATGAAACCAGGCAAACCTACCACCTTTGCCACGATTCCATTCAAGCCCTCCTCAACACCATCGTCATCCTCAGGACAACAAGAACGCGAAACGAAACTCATCTTCTCCCTCCCTGGTAATCCTGCCTCCGCTCTCGTCACCCTCAATCTCTTCGTGCTGCCCTCTCTCCACAAGCTCATGGGCATGGAACAGCGGAAAATCACACCCGCTGGGATCTCCCCGCCACTAGGCCTTCCCCTTGTGTCTGTGGCGGTGGCGCATTCCTTCCCCGTTGATAAGAAACGCACTGAGTATCATCGGGCGATTGTTACGGCGTCGCGTTCGGATGGTCGACTTTATGCTATGAGTACTGGATTGGAAGGAGTGGGACAGCGGAGCTCTAGAGTGGGCAGTCTGGCGAGTGCTAATGCGCTGTTGGTGTTGAAGCCGGGGACTGGGAAGGTTGAGAAAGGGACGTTGGTTGAGGCATTGATGATGGGGGCTGTGGTGCCGGAGAAATAAGAGGGATGGCTTCGATACGAGCTTTTGCTAGTATGATATTAAAACTATATCACTTGGTTTACAACCTTTACTATTATATGTGCAAATCAATTTCTTACCCCGTTAAATAAATTCTGGTTATTCTGCCAAAACCATGCAAGAATACAATATTCTATACCAGAAGACAAGTTCAGAAGCTGTTGTATCACATCGCACTGTGGACTCCAAAACAAAGGGTATCGCTACCACCATAAAAACAAGTATTAGATCAATCAATGTCCGCACCACAAGATTCCCAGGACCAGTCGCACTTGCTAACCAACGATGATTTAAATAGACTTAGACGCAAACTTTCGCTATCGTGTCATGGGCCAGACCAACCCGTCAGCCTTTATGGATCTTCCACCCCTTCTTCTTCGCCGCCCGAAGCACAGGCAGGGTATATTCTCTGCCCTGCTTGCGAGCAACTTCAATGACAACGAAGCGAACAAAGTCAGTCAAGGTCCAGTAGCTGCTATGCGCGCTGAGCATATTCAGGTACTGGATGTTCAGAGGCCCGCCGCCGCCAGAGAGGAAGTAGTCGATCTGGCCGTTGTCGTTAAGGAGAAACATGCGCTTTTCGGCAATTTCTTCATGTGTGAAGTCGTGCGTTTCAAGCTCGACGTTGGTAGGGAGCTTGTTGAGGGTTGCTGGACGGGTGGGGACGGTGGTGTTTGAGGGGAGTAGAGCTGGGGGGTTGCTCCAGCGGAATACGCTGCCTACGGATTGCCAGAAGGATGCGGCGGAGGTAGGGATGGAGGCGGGTCGGAGAGATCTGGCGAGGCCGCTATCGACGGCGGCGTTGACGTGGTAGGCGATTGCTGGGTTGTGTATGTTAGTATTAGGTGGTTTGGAGTCCGGAATGATATATGCTTACGATCAGTGGTGTGCATGATGTTGTATAGGTTGTCGACGGCTAAACAGCCGTATGTGTCTGCTTCACCTGCCACGCCTCGGAGCCGGTCGTCGCCTTCACAGCCGGGTTTGTCTCGTCCTCGACGGGGTAATAGGTTCGCTGTATGCTGGGTTAATCCGGTGATGAAATAGAAGGTGGACGAGAGTCTATATTTACCTTTGTTGAGAAGGAGGAAGAAGCCGGCTG